TCAGCTGACCAAAGGCTTTCTTGTCGTGTGTCTATTAGGTGGGCCTAATCATCAGTCGTGCTTCGTACATCGAGGGCATCCGGAACGGCGACCACCCGCCTGCCCGGAGAATCACCACGCTCCTGAGCACGGCGCGGTGCGATCAGATCTACCAAGAATGGCAACATGATGGTACGCGTCTTATTACCCCTTTCTTTTCTCCTTCTCTTTCTCTTTTACTCTTCCTCTCATCCCCGTGCATTTCGTTTCCCTCCTCGTCTTGCTTATGTGCTCATCCCAGGCCAAGGCGACGGCCGCCATCCCGTCCGCGGCTTCACCTGGTTCCTCCTGCGCCGCGTGCGGCTTTCCGCCACGCAGCGGTCCCCCCTGCAGGCTTACCGGCATACCGTCGAGTTCGACACCATCGCGTCCTTGCTGGACACCGGCGGGGCCATCACGTACGCCAACGGGACGACTTTTGGGGATGTCCAAGGGAAGGGGTGTGATAATCAGCAGTAGTGATGAGGGAATCATAAAGCATATGGGACTCTCGACATGTTTCGCTTTCCCTTTCATCTGTGTTTTCCTGTTCTTGTTATTGGGGAAGAACAACCTTTGTGGGGATTGCTTGTGTGAACGACCCACCCACCCAGGAAAATGGGGATTCTGAATGGCGAGAGGAATACATTTGCGTTGTTCGACAATGATATCATGAATGGTACAACTGCAACTGCAACGGCATGCATCAGTCTGTTATCCCATCCCATCCCATCAATATATACATCAACGTCGACCGAATGAATCGGTAAGCCTTGCCCTGCTATGTTGCAGACAACACGTGTTGGTCTCTGTTCGAAGTACGTATCTAGAGTTTCAGGTACATACATACATAGTAGTCGAACAACAAGCTCAAGCAAGCAAATCGTTCGCCCGTTTTCGCAAGGCTAAAGTAAAGCCGCGCTCGTCGATCATGTCGGACACCATTTGTGAGCTGAGCTTCCAGCAAGCTACCATACCAACCACATGACCAGCGGGAGCCACGCTTGCCATCTCGGCTGCTTTAGCCATTAAGGGCTGGCGGGATATACCATCCTGTGCATCGCATCCACTCCAGCTGATGGTATGAACTCGAAAGAGGTCCACAGTACGGTCTTTGCAATCCGTGACAGAAACCCGTGCCTGCACTAGTGTAGCCGCCATGTCCTTCGCCAAGAAACACAAGAATCTCTCGACGTCGCCGGAGATTTCCACGCGCTCGCCACCGCTATTGTGAGCTCCACCATTCCGCTCTTTCTCTTCTCTTCTCTTCTCTCTTCCCCAACAATGGATGTGAGGAGAAGGAAGAACTCATCTGACGTTTTTGTATATTCTTAGCAATCCGGGTTTCCTGTTCACCCCGCGTCTCCCCAAACCCTCGCGTGCGCAACAGCTAGCGCATCTCATGAGGCCATCGCATCATCAGCTTCGAGCACCCAAGGCCTTTTATGGAGACGTGACGCGGAAAGCATCGGACAGGCCACGGAGGAGAGCTACCGGGGACGAGATCCGCAGGGGAGGCGCCGCTGCGGCTGGCGAGAGCGGAGGATACGTGTATGTGAATAAGCGCGGAGAGATGAGGCGGGTGTCGCTATCGCCAGAGCAAGCGCAGATGCAGCAGAGGTGGAAGGCCGGTTATGGGCAGTGATGCTCCTACAGGAGATTGGTGGCAGTGTCATTCTCGGAATCACTTCTGAAAGCAAATTTTCTTTTCACCTCCCCATAGGCCCAACCACACTGCCCACCATCACCGCCGCTTCTCTTTCCCAGGTCCCTGGTTGTACTTTTTTCGCCCCGGCTTCCCTCGCAGCGGGACCTCTATAGCCTCTGTCCACGCACTCTCGGACCGCATCTCGAACGCGATCTCGATTCGTTCGCAAGGTGCGTGCACTCACGCCTCCTCGGGACAGGATCTCTTGGACTCGCGAAGTGAGCTGGTTGGCCAGACTGCGCCAGAAGTACGAAGGCAATGAGGCGGTGTCCAGATGTCGCAAGAGAGGTTGAAGAAAATTAGTATCAGTAGTGGGCGTAGAGATGACAGGGTGTACAGGAGGTCGGATGCTCCCCAGCAAAGCTTCCAGAGCAATGATATTCTGGCACCGCGCTGAGACTTCCAGTAACGTCCTCTCTAGAGTAGGCAGTGTAGCCAAGGCCCTCGATAGAGCAGCCAGGGAGGATGTCAGCGCCGTCTGAAGGTACGATTGTAGAGCAGAGATCAGTAGCGAAGGTTCGAAGTCTCTATCCTTCTTCGCATGCGTAGGACTCAGCAGCCAAAGCGTCTGCAGCGCGCTTGTAGCCCTCGCCTTCGTCTCTTCCGCCTGAGCAAAAGTCTGCCCTCCGCCCTGGAGCAGAGAACTCATACTGAACTCTCGGACAACACCCTGTGCCCGGGAAATCAGACTTCTTTCCGAAGGGCTCGCCAGAGACTGATTGACCTCCTTCGCGACGTGCACTCGGCCCAAACCGTCCACATCATCCTGAAAGACACCTCTTAATTCCAGCAGTGTCCTCGCTGCAGGTACCATAGCCCGATGTCCAACACCGCGTTCTTTGGACGACGGAGAAGACACATCTTCCATCTGTCCTTCCAAATTCCGGCCCAGTTGCACGACCCTCTGCACAGCCCTCCCCAGCCTCAAAGTCTTGACCAATCTCTCGCTCACCAACCTGACCTCTTCCGCCTGTTCCCATCGTTCCGTGACTTCCCTCTCTAGGCGCTTATAGCTCTCCTGCAACGCCGAAACCTGCTCTTCTACGGCCTCCAGCACTCGTCCAGCGGCTTCTGTCTTTTGAGTTGTATGGTCGATGATCGGAAGAGCGGACTGTGTCGTCAGCGTGTCGATGTGGGTGTCTACTTCTTGGACGTCGAAGAGGGCTTTGCTGAGCGGCGTGGAGAGGTCGAGAGGAGTGTCGGTGGGATTGTTGGTTTGGTGGACGAGGGTGTTAGCATATTGAGAAGGAGAGAAGGTTGGTGAGAGGAAGGTGGCAGTGTCGAGGTAGGAGGAGGAGGGTTGGTCGGCCATGGTGTTGGGAGTGAAGTGTTGTAAAGTGTACTTCTAGATTGAAGATTGAAGGCAAGAGGTTGAAGTATGCCAAGATGGTGGGACAACTTTCATGAGACTTCACATGGAGATCGAACCAACGCGCTTCTTGGACTAGGGAAATATACAGATGCATTTCTTGATAGGTACATACAGTGAAGTTGAAAATACGTGAAGCGATACTCTATCAAAGCTCAAGCTTCTTCCCTGAAGCGCAACACCCATTTCATTCGTAGTGGAGACGGTGGTATATCGAGTGCTTTTAACACAGTGCACGGGAGACGTGGAACGCGTGATCAAGAACATTGAACAGGCCGAGGGCAGTTGCGCGTGCTGGTGTCTTCGAGCACGATCGCACTGTCATTCTTTCCTGATCCTTGGGGGCCTGGTCAAGAAACTCACATGGCAGAACTCTTCCCGCCGTCGCCTCCGCGTCCATCTCTCCATATCTTACAACTTGGACATAAGCCCGTGAAGGATCCAAGCTTTTACTCAACGAAGTCCTTGACCCGCTTGAGCCAACCGAGGTACTCCTTCTGCTCCTTCACATCAATGTAGTCTGGAATGAACATGGCGAGGTGGTTGGTGATGCCACGAGCGTTGAGGTAGCTCTCGAGTATGCCCTGGACTTCCTCATCGAGTTGCGCGAATGGCGGGCCAGGGTAGGTGCTGTCGTGGTCGGACCGCAGAATTGCAGCGGCGTCGGTGGTCTTGCCGCTCTGGGGCAGCTGCACCAGCTTCTCAACCATGAAGTCCCCGTCAGATGCTACCAAGTCGAACTTGAGGGCTCCCTTGTTCGGTCGCTGAATGAGAACCTCAACGCTGACTGGGTAAGCAGGTGATTGCTCGTCCTCCTGTGTCACTTGTTAGTCTCCACATCGTCCAAGTGCAAAGATCTTCATGTACCTCATCTCTCAGCTCCTCTCTGTCGGCTGGGGCAATGCTGTCTTCAGGCGCGACTTTGAAGTTCTGGTTCGCAGTGCCTCCACGGTTGACAGAGCCCTTGGTGTTGGCGCCGCCGCTCTGGACCTCCATGTCTTCCTCGTCGGCCATAGCCGTGTCCATCTCGTCCTCGTTGTACATCTGAGAGTTGAAGTCGGCAATCGAGAAGTGCACAGTGATGTCCTCGTCGTCGAATTTGCGAGTGAGATAGACATCTTGGCCACCCTCGGTGTCCTTGATCTCCCAGGACGGGTTCTCGGCCTTGAACTGGTCTACGTTTGAATCGCTGCCGGCTTGTTGTGCGGACTCCTGTGTCTCAATGTCGATCTCGTTGTCAAGCTTGGCGACCAATTGCTGGCTGTATTCATCGAAACGTGTTCGTGTGGTTGTGAATGTGGCGATGCGAGGCGTCTGGGCTGTAATTCTCGATCTCAGGGCATTTTGGAATGCAGGCCTGATGGAAGAAGTCGCTGCGAAGCGGGAAGCTGTTCGTGGGGCGGCGCGGGCGAGAGCGCGAAGGGACAACATGGTCGCGGCTTGGAGAGCAGTCCAAAAGTGAGGCTTCTCGACAGACTGCCTGAAGATGGTCGGCCGGTGTGTGTTGTGGATGGGATGGCAAACCGTCGATGGGCGAAGGCAGAACTTCTTTTCTCAATCGCGGGAGCTTGGACACCTTAGGATCATCCCGACGTCAGCCCGACGATCACAAGGAAGTGCGGCATGAACTCACTACTACTCACCAACCCACTCTTGCACCAAGCCTACCAAAATCACTCTCCACACCAATTGCTGAGCTGAAAACGGACTTTCGGATCATCTGCTGCATCAGTACTCTTGCGACCGCTAGCGACCGTCCTACAGTCCCTTTCGCCGGCCAAAATGAGCACGACGGTGCCCAACACGGGCATACAAACCAAAGCACCAACTCCCTCAAACCAATCGAAGAAAGAGAAGCCTTCACCCTTGCGCTCAATCATTGCAGGCTCCACCGCCGGTGCTGTCGAAATCGCAATCACATATCCCGCCGAATTCGCAAAGACCCGCACTCAACTCAATCAACGACTGCCTAAAGGACAAAAGCTTCCGTTTCCTCCCTTCGGCCCGCAATGGTATGCTGGGTGTACCACACTCATACTCGGAAATTCAATAAAGGCAGGAGTCCGATTTGTGGCATTTGATCAGTACAAGCAAATGCTCGGCAATGGCGACGGGACAATCAGCGGACCTATGACGGTAGTATCGGGGTTTCTGGCTGGCGCGACGGAGAGCTTGTTGGCTGTCACGCCGTTCGAGAGCATCAAGACACAATTGATAGACGATAGCAAGCGCGAGAAGCCACGAATGCGCGGATTTCTGCACGGCTCTGGAGTCATCTTCCGCGAGCAAGGCTTGCGTGGGTTCTTCAAGGGCTTTGTGCCCACCACAGCGCGTCAAGCAGCCAATTCGGCGGTTCGCTTCTCAGCATACACTTCTTTGAAGCAGGCTGCGCAGTCATATGTTGCACCGGGCGAAAAGTTGGGAACGCTGAGCACATTCGGTATAGGAGCTATTGCCGGTACAATCACAGTCTATGCGACACAGCCAATCGATACAGTCAAGACGAGGATGCAAAGCATTGATGCCAAGGGCCACTACAAGAACAGCATCGACTGCGCCGTCAAGATCTTCCGCGATGAAGGTCTGTTTAGGTTGTGGTCTGGTGCGTTGCCCAGGCTGGGTAGACTCATGTTCAGCGGCGGTATTGTCTTTGCCATGTACGAGAAGACCATTGACTTGCTGGAGACCCTGGACCCCCAGAAGAAGTATATCTGATGGAGTTGAGGATGGAAGAGACACGAAAGAAATTGCCATCCCAACGAGGCGATCTAGGTTTCCACACCGACGGAAGCCTGCTCTTGACTAGGCTGTCCGATAAGAGTCTTTCGCAACGTGCTCGAAAGGGCGAGGCCGCGACAGGCTTATGTGAACCTTTGCCAATCCCCACATACGCAGGATTACAGTCGACATATACAAGACTTGTCATCCTTCGATTTGGTCGCCGACACGCACTGAACGACAAAGCCTCTGCGGGCTCAAGCTAAGTGCCAGCTTTGATTCGGATACCCAGTTGATTGGAAACGAAAGTGGGTTTCAGTACGACTGGGGTGGCGGCAAAATGCTCATACTCGCTCAACAAGGACCCATGCCTGAGCATGTTTGCCCAGGTACATACATTGGTCAATTGAGCCTTTTCTATCTCATATCCTCTATGTTTCTCTCTTGCAGGCCTTGGGCACGCTGTGCTTATTTCAAGAAGAAAGACTGTATCAGAGGCCAAAGGAACAGGTGAGCCATCATCAGATCTAGTACAGTGTTAATTACATTCACATACTCGGCATCGAAATCGAAATCGAAGACGAAGACACGAATGGAACATTATACTACGAGAGCTGCGATCCACGGAAGGTCTTCACCTGCGGCCTACGCCGACCACTTCTTCTGATGCTGCGAGCCTGAATCCCCATTCTTCCCCTTGCTGTAGCCCATATCAGGAGGGGCTTGGGCGCCATTGACATCTCCGCACATGTGCGGCGGGCTTTGTTGCTGAGCGGGAGACGCAGGAGTTGAGCCGGAAGAAGAGCTGCCGTACTGCGGAGGACCACATCCCATACTCGCTGGACGAACTCCTTGAGGCGTGCTGCCCCCTGTGCCCATATTGGAACTGGCCATGCTGCCGCCTGATTACGCACCTGCTGGTTGCATACCTGCGGGTTGCATACCTGCTGATTGCATACCTGCTGGTTGAATGCCCTGAGGAGTACCACTGCCACTGCCGGCGTTGGCACTTGCCATACTACCAGCAGACATACTTCCGGGCATCGTACCACCCATGTGGCCACCAGACTGCTGACCTGGAGCGCATGGGCAATATCCGGGAGGTACTTCTTGTTGCGGCATTGCGCCTGTTGCTCCGCCCGCCGGAGGAGACATCTGGCCTGGAGTCGAGCCGAGGCCTTGTGATGTTCCGCTCATCTTGCCAGTAGCCCCAGCTATTGAAGAAGGAGGCGTCTGGCCTGAAGCGCCCTGTGGCACGCCGCCCATAGCACCGGCCATTGCAGCGGAAGGCGTTTGTCCAGGCTGGCCTCCAGCTCCGGGCTTAGCTCCCTCAGCGCCGGCAGCGCCAGCAGCGCCAGCGGGTAGGTTGTTCATGCCATTCGCAGGGGGCATTTGCTGACCTCCCATCAGACCAGCCGTACCCGGCATAGCACCGCCTCCGGACTGTCCGAGGGGATTGAATGCGCCAGCAACCGCGCCACCCTGAGCGCCGCCGGCACCTCCTCCACCCATCATCTGTGCCACCCCAGCAGGAAGCTTCCCGGACGCTGCAAGCTGCGCCAATTGCTGTAAGATTTGCCCTGCTCCCGGCCCAGCACCAACCTGATTGTCCGGCTGTAAAGGTCCCGAACAAGTAAAAACACTTCCAACAGGCGCTTGGAATAACTTATCGTCATCGAAGTAATCGACCGAGTAATCGATCTCGCTGCACTTGCCTCCTCCAGTCGGACCCACATGCGGACAATGGACCTCCGGATGCACTACGGTCAAGATGAGATGAATTGTCCGGCAAGCGATATTATCGCCCCATGCCTCATCAAAGTTGCCGAATGGTTTTGCCCCAAGTTGCTGCCCGCAGTCTTGTACGGAAGTGTACTGCTGGTTCGAGCCCGTGCAGCGTTGCTGAATAACGGGGCAGAGACCTTGGACTGCGGCTTGTTGGACTTGCATGTTGCTGTAGTCCACGCCCGAGGCGAGCTTTGTCCAGGCTTGCAGATTGGGGATCCAGGCTTGGTAGTCTTCTACTTCTCCCATGATGTTGAAACTCCAGAAGGCGACCCGTCGTGCAGGAGCTCATTAGAGTTTTGGAGAGGCAGAAGACAGTGTGGAGGCTTACCTGGGAAAGAGTACTGGTTGGTGCGCTCTTGTTGAGTTGACCCAGCTGGTTGACCTGTCCAGTGCGGAGGTACACGAGCGAAGAAGCGACATCTGGACATCCGGAGACGAAATTGACGACTTGAGCATCGTAGACGGCCGCTCCGGCGGGATTGCCCTGAGGGGTCGGTGCCAAAGCGAAGAAGTATCTGTCGTCCTGTCAGTAATGTATGCCTCTTTTTGATCTCGTGCTTTGGAAAGTCAAGACGTACTCAATCGAATCCTCAAATCCAACAAAGTTGCCTACTGGCGAAACACGGCCTTTGCTGTCGTTCGAGAAGAGACCTTTCGGAACGGCTGCTCCGCCTTGCAGAAGAACGGGTATATTGTCTACACATCCATCCTGTCAGCTTCCCTCGACCACAGACATTTCCCTGTGCGTTCCTTACTCGGATAGACTGTCAAGTCATAGATCTTCCGCACCGTTCTCAGGTTTCTCTCATACCATTCCGGTTGATACTGCGGCGTAACAGCGCATTCTTCTCCTTGGCCTCGACGAAAGATCTCGTTTGGCAAAGGTGGAGCAGCGGCCACGATGCCCGCGATAGAAAGCAGAACCGTAAAGGCTCGGATCAAGGACATTGTTGCTACCAACAAGAACTGCACGCTATTGATGGCAAAGACCCGAGGATTGAAGTCAGCGGTAGATTGACGATGCTACCAAGCAAGAGCGTACGAGGAAGACGGCGGATTCTCGCCCAGACCAACACGACGAGCGAGCACTTCTGCCATTTATATGTAAAGTCAAAAGCATATGCCGTGGGCGGAACGAAACGCATGAATCTGTTGCAAATACCGGGCCCGTTCTTTCTACGTTGTTGGATTTGGCGGAGATGCTTGCTCTCATCGGACGATTTTGCAAGGGCTGCGACTATTTTGACGGCGGGTGATGGCGGGAAGCTGGGGAAGCCTGGGCTGTGAGAAGTTTGGGTATGGGTAAGAATGACAGATGATGCTAATGATGATGGTGATGATATCTTAATTCCCGGGCGTCAAGGTCGCAAAGAGCATCGAGCCGTCCAACACGCGGCTGGCTTCGAATGTCAGACATCGTGCGCCAGAATCCGGGTGGAGACTCCGTTTTCCGAATCGTCTTCTTGAAGCAGGAAGTGGTCGTCGATTACAGCTCTACTTGAACAATCCGGGAGGGCGGATATGGACTGCCGACGAGTGCAGCTCCAGTCAGCCGCCCAGAGACCACATGCAGTTCGCGTGCCCTTCCCTACCTGCATGCCAAATGCGCGCCTAGCAAAGATGAGTGAGCGAGCATGTGAAATTCCGGGGTTTAGCGCCAGGAGTGCCTTAAGGGACGCGCACATCACGACTTGAGAGACTTGCCACATTGACTCATGGAAATGGAAAAAGGGAACAGCTGCGACGAAAACGAATAGCGGCAAGACAGCACTCCAGCCTTTTTCGTGAGTTCAGCGAGAAGCAGCAGTGTTCCTAAGCGGCTATGAAGGGTTCATTAATTCAATAGCGTAAGCTTACCTACCATCTGTCTAGAGCAACCCGGTACCGACTTTCAAACTTGCGTAGTATCTAGATCACGGGTATTTTAACCACCACCAAGCGGCATGAAATGAAATGAAATGAATTGGGAAAGAAAGAAATCGGAAACGGAGACGTGAAGAATAAATGCCATTCTCGGAGCTTCTCTTCACGCGTTTGTCGTTGCTGTTGTTGTTGTTGTTGTACATCGTCCGATGACTCTTTAGGGTTTCTATGATACGATATGTGTGTGCCGTCCGCAGCCGGGCTGGAAATGATGTCAACTCGAACTCGGAGTGAATGCGGGATGGGTGGTTTCCGACCGAAGAGGAGGGAGGAGGCTCTTTGGGCTATGATATCTATCTATATCATATCGGTAGATTCTTTTTTTTTTCCCTTCACACTTTTGGCGGCGCATATGTCTTAACGTATCTATCGAAGGGGCTCGTTGTGAGGTAGGTCTAGATGGCTGTATATATATATGCCTATATCTTTCGGATAGGTCTTCTTTCTACGTGGGGAATCACGCGTGCCAGCTTCCATTGTAGATTTCGATTCTTTTTCTACGGCCAGCCAAGTACACGGTAGGCGACGGCATCTCCGGCATAGAAGGAGGATATCGAAGCCTCGACGGAGGGATTGTTGCTTGGCTCTTTAGGGTCTGCTACTGGGTGGTGACAATGGTCAGTGGAGATAGTACCGACCCACGGGGGACCAAATCGTTTCTCGTTTGAGTGTATGTCAGGCCCCCGATTTCTCTTCAGTGGCCCTGGAAGCTGACACTACTACACAAGGAGAGCGAGTGAAGAACACATGGAACGGAGGGGAATGATTTGGTATCTAAGAATTTTCATGACTTCGTGGTGCTATCTACTTGCCTCTGGCCGCGGCGGCGGGATCGGAGGGGCCGACCGATGCCTATGGGCCACTTACTTGGAGGCGTGCTTCTTGAGCAGCTCCTCGGTCAGCGGCCCGTAGGCATCGTTCTTTAGCTGGTTCTCCCTCGCCAGGGCGAAAGCATTCCTCTTGGCCGCAATGGCCTCGGAGATGCTCTCGCGCAGGACGCCCTGACGAGAGATGGCCCTCTTGCGGAGGACGAGCAGCTCGTGCAGGTCCTCGGCCTGCCCCTCGATCTCCGCCATCTTGTCGGCCGCCACGCCACTGGCGGCGACGTCCGCCCTCGAGATCTCGAATTCGAGGCTGGGAAGCCGGTCGACGGTGAGGAGGGCCGGCGCCGTGTCCCCGCCCTCCAGCTCGTACCAGTCCTCGACAATGGCGGCCAACCTGGTGTCGATCTCGTGGAGCATCTTCACATTCTCGAGGAGGAATTGGCGGTCCTCGAGAATGGGGTCGTGGATGACGGCCATGAGATTGAATTCGATGCTCTTGCCCTGGAACTGGGCCATGCGTGCGCGGATGTGAGGAAGAGCAGCGTCGACCCAGCTCTCGCCGGCGCCGAATGAGCCGAGGATGGTTGGCTGAGGGTCGAGGCCATCGACCTTGACGACGTCGTTCTGCACGGGAATGATGGCGTTGAAGTGGAATCCGAACGTCTCGTCGAGTTGTGGCTCTTCATCACCGGCCTCATCGGCGTAGGTCTTTGGCTTCTTGCGGCTGCGTCCTGAGCGACGTGGCTGAGCGTCTCCGTTGTCATCATGCGCGTCGATGTCGTCGTCGGCCTTGCGCTTGTTCTTGTTCCTCTGGGCAGTGGTCGACTCTGCTTTGGCGGTAGAGGTCGCGCTGGTGTCGGCAGTTTGATTGTTGGTTGGCTTCCTGGAGCGGAGAGATTTGCGAGTTGGGGTTGACTGCTCTGAATCAGGCTTTGGCTCAGACTCGGGCTGGTTGTTGTTTGAGGTCTTTGCTTTGCGCTTGGAATCTGGGTTGAAGGCGCCGTCTGCGTTGTTTGCCGAATCTTCAGTAGACTTCTTGTTGCGCGAGGATCTGCGAAGAGGTGTAGACTCATTGCCGTTGGTGGCAGGCTTGCAAGATTTGCTGGGAGCGTCCTGCGTGGTTACATTGGACTGATCCTGATCGTCATTGGTAGTGGACTTGTCGGGTTTGGTATCAGTGCCCTGCGCGGCTTCCGTGGAGGTGCTCTGATCCGGCTTGGTGGTAGACTTGTCAGATTTGCTAGCGGCGTCCTGCGCAGCTTCGGCGGATGTGTTCTGATCGTCATTGATTGTAGCCTTGTCGGACTTGTTATCGGTGTCCTGCGCAGGTCCCATGAACTTGCTCTCATGCGTCTCGGTGGTAGACTTGTCGGACTTGCTGTCAGCGTCCTGCGCTGCTTCATTGGACTGATGCTGATCGGCATTGGTGGGAGACTCGTCGGCTGCAGCATCTTGAAGGGCCTTTTCGTGGGCTTCCTTCTTGGCTCTCTTGGTGGCAAGAGCTTTCTCGATGGCCAACCGCTTCTTGAGCTTCTGTTGCATGAGCAAGTCTGCTTCGAGGAGATCGTTCTCGGTGGCGAAAGAGTTGTGGATCTGCCTTGCAAAGTCGAAGTTGTTGATGGCTTGGCCGCGAGCCTCCGGACTCTGGTCGCGGGTGGCGTCTTTGAAGTTGCGAAGCTCTGGGCCTACAATGAGAGCAGGGATGTTGTTGATGATGTTGAGCATGGCAATTGTAGCACAGGCATGATCTGGGACTTGCTTGGCGAACCAGACATGGTCGGTGTTGGATGAATCGCTAACTTCAGCTTGATCGCTGTCCTGATACCGGAACAGGAAGATGAAGCCGTGAATTGGCTGTCTGGGAGGCTGTCAGTAAAGTGCTTGGCGGAATCATTGAAGAGGCTTACGGAAGGAATGGAATCTGGTCCTCCGGGGACCACAATTCCTGAACTTGGACACCCTTTGCGCCCAGCTGCTCGAGCATGCGGTTGAAAAAGGCCTGCGAGTTTGTTAGCTGGGAAGAAGAAAAGGGGCGAATGATTGGAGAGCTTACCGGCTCGCTCTCGACTTCGACCCAGCCAGGCCAGGTTTTCGGGTCTGGTGGAGTGAGGCGAGGCACTTTGAAGGTGGCGTTGCCGTTGGTGGAGTTGTCGGTAGCGTCGACTGGGCCAGCAGCCTTACGCTTGAGTCCGCGCTTTGGTGCCATCTTCTCGTTGGTCGGAGGGATTGGAGAGTGATTGGAAGAGACGGGTCTGGTGTCTGGAAGATTGGTGAGTTGTGGTGCTCGATGGCGAATGCTGAAGAAGCAGGCTGCAAAAGCGAAGTAGAAGGGAGACTCGGAGGTGTGAGGGTGAATGTTTGGTCGAAGAAGAGGAAAGAGAGAGAAGACGAAAGGAAAAGAGACGAGGCCTTATAGGAGCACGGCCATGGAGGCTTCAATAGCAACGAACCTATTGTCTGAATATTATTGTGGAGGTCAATTGTCCCATTCTCTCGATATTGTAGCTGTTGCAGCTACGCGTATTGTGGTAGCAGCAGCTATTGTCTGTTTTGTCGACGAAAAGTTCATGGCTGGGGACAATCCGACAATCGTAGCCTGAGATGAGAGATATTGAACGGCTCGTGCCTTGCACACTAGGCCCATTCAGTGCCAACGCTGTCTCGGACCTGGAAAATTATTTGACCGAAAGTCGGGTAAAGCTCGGCCATACGACGCGGTTCTGGCAACGCGAAAGTGAATGTGGGAAAGCAAACAATCGCCCTCACTCGCCCCGACGCTTTCACGTGCCGTTGTTGAACTATCACACATTACCCTCGTATAATAACAGCACATCCCGCCAACCACCACCAGCAACCGCTCCCTCCAATCGAACCAGATCCATCTTTCTGCAGTCAACAAGGGCATCACAACACTCAAAACACCGACCTCATGCAGAAGACCCGGTGGCCATGAATGGTGTACCGCAGACACCGCGCCTCCGCAGCGCATACCCTCAGACACCTCCTCGGAACCCGCGAGATGGCTCATCGGCCGCATTCGCGAGGAGATCACAGCCGGTCCAAACAACACCACTACCGCAAATACCCACCCTCAAATCACAACCCAGCGCTCCTCCCAGCGAGCCCTTAATACCAGAGACCCTCATAGAAGCGCCGCAGCAAAGACTCTACGCCTTTGCATTATGGGTTCTTTTTCTGTCCTGGCGATTATATGACTTCTCCGGTCTGCAAGAGTCGGAGGAGCAGAGCTTGTGGTTGTTCATGAAATGGGTCGCAATAGACGGAGTCTTTCTTTTCGGGCTGCCGAGCCTGCGGATACCGTGGCTGGAATGGAGCTCGCCGACAATGACGCTGATCTTCCTGGCGCATGCTGTGGTGGACGGTATGCTCATGTTCAGAGTACCAATCCCGATAGGAGCTGGGTTTGCCTTTCTCTGGAGCGGCATATGGGGCGCCTATGAGACGGCCGTGACCGAGCACAGCGCCAATCCAGACAGGATCATGTTCAACGATTCGCTCATTCTGGGGAGGCAAGTCATCCACATTCTGCCCGAGGGCTCGGCGGTGTTGAACCCGGATCGAGATGCCTTCTGCATTGATCACACTCGGACTGAGGCACGACTACCAATCAGAATCAACGCTACCAATCCGATTGAGATGTACTTGATGCGGGTGGATCTGGACACAGAGGCGAACGAGACGTACAGAATCAGCAAATCGCAAATCAAGACCATGCATCGCGAGGCATCTCGATTACTGTCGTACAGCGACAAGCCCAACGAGCCCAAAACGCTCTACTACTCAGTCAAAAAGCCTGGCCTCTACGTACTGGAGAAGGTAATGGATGAGACAAACCTGGAGGTGTCACGGAAGCAATTGGCGCATACCGTGGTCGTTCCGTGCCCAAAGGCAGAACTTCTATCCAATGAACCCAATCGTTGTAGAGGCGAGCTTTCGGACGTCTCGATCCAGGTGACAGGGACGCCGCCAATGAGAGTCAAATTCCGGACGGTGATCAACAAGTCTACCCACGATCTCTCATTCGACAACCTCCAGCCCGATGATCTGGTGTCGCCTCTCATGCGGCAGAATCAGAACTCGTTGGTGGTGCCGAGAAAGGTCGAGGTGGAATGGGCAAAGGCACGCACAGTAACCGTGCCCCTGACCGAAGGGATGTCTGCTGCAGGAACATGGACTTACGCTGTCGACGAGATTGCGGACGGCTTTGGCAACACCGTAAGCTACTCCACCCGCGATCAGCAGGAACAAGAGCGTCATCCTGCGCGATTCTCCGGAAAACTCCATCAAGACATCACCGTCCACGAGCGACCGAACGTCAACCTCCAAGGCTGCACTCCGCAGAATCCTCTGAAAGTTGCCGAAGGACACTTTGCCAACCTCCCACTACAGTATGGCTCTACTGGTCGTGGTGCGATCCAGGGGACGGCGTATATCTTGGAGTACAAGTTTAGTCCGCAGATTGATCTCGGATCGAACGGCGAGCACGGCACTGCCCCGAGAATAGAGACTGTCAAGGTCGGAGACAGCTCACAACTACCGCAAATCAAAGAGCCCGGTCTGTACACCCTCACTGGTGTGTCCACAGAGTTTTGTAGAGGAGACGTCCTTGAGCCAGCTTCATGCCTGCTGCAAAATCCCCCCAAGCCGAAACTCGCGATTGCAGACGAGGCCATCTTTGACAAGTGCGCCGGAAGCCCTATTGGGCTGCGTGTCGACTTGGACATGATCGGAACACCGCCGTTTGAGATCTCGTACCGTATTACTCGAAAAGGCGACGGACATCACTACAACGAGGTCGAGAAGGTTGGCGGTCTCCGTGGTCAGCTCAATCTCACACCGAATCAGGCCGGTATGTACACCTACGAGTTCCTCACCATCAGCGATGCAGTGTACAAAGGCCAGCGGCTTGACGGCTTCAAGCTGGAGCAGTCCGTGAAGCCATCTGCATCTGCCAAGTTTGTGCAGGTGAGCGATCAGGTTGGCTGCATCGACGAGCAAGCAAAGGCTCGGGTGGCGTTGGTGGGAGAGGCGCCGTTCAGACTGGAATGGGAGCTTGTGCACGGTGGAAAGCGCAAGAAGTTTGAAGAGACCAACATTACAGCCTCTGCCATCACGTTGGAGACCGAGCCGCTGGTCGACGGTGGGGACTATAGGATGGGCCTCATCAGTATCACCGATAGACTTGGCTGCAAAGAGTTCCTACAAGATGAAACGAAGGTCACAATACGCCATCAGAAGCCCAAGGTTGCATTTGGCATGATTGATGGGCGGCGAATTGTCGACACTTTGGAAGGCAAGCAGGTCGCACTCCCACTTCGACTGGCCGGCGAAGGACCTTGGTCCATCAAGTATCTCGATCACAATGGACGACAACAGAGCTTGAACGCGAACAGCCCCAACGACCGACTCTCTGTTGATCACGAAGGGATGTACAAGCTCGTTGATGTCTCGGACAAGACGTGTCCTGGGGTCGTGGAGGAGTCGGCCCAAGACTTTCAAGTTACCTGGATCCCGAGACCGGAGCTGCGCATCGCACCGCAGGAGATCAAGGAGCAGAAGGGAAGAACAGTTGTGAAGGAGGAAGTCTGCGAAGGCGACGAGGATGCGGTCGAGGTCCTCTTCAAGGGCTCTCCTCCCTACCATCTGTCGTACACGCAGTCCGTCAAGCCTGAGCATGGCGCCGTGGCGCCCAAGAACAAGGACCTTCGCGCCGCGCTGAACCTGGCGTCGCTCCGCATGGATACGACTCAGGCCGGCTCGTACGAGTACAAGTTCACGAAACTGGAGGACTCCAACTACGACCACAGCGCCGCGCACTTCACGCCCCTCACGATCCAACAAAAGGTCAACGCGCGTCCCTCTGCCGCGTTCGCGAACCCGGGTAAGACGTACGGCTTCTGCTCCGTGGAGTCGGATGGGGAAGAGGTCATTCCCGTCACGCTTCATGGTGTCGCACCGTTTGAGCTCGAGGTCGAGATCAAGCACCACGGCAGCGTGAAGCCGGAACTCGTGTCCTACAACAACATCGCGACCAACACGCACAGCATCCGCATCCCACACTCGCGTCTGCACCTGGGCAAATCCGCCGTGTCGCTCCGCCGGGTCAGCGACGCTCGTGGCTGCGCTCGCACGCTCGACAGCACGACGCCTCGCGTGCAGATCTCGGTGCACGACGCACCCACCATCACTCCACTGGAGACACACACGGACTACTGCGTCGGCGACCGGATCAATTTCGCCCTCACGGGCTTCGCCCCCTTCACCGTCTACTACACGTTCGAAGACAAGCCGCACCGCGCGACGCTCTCCTCGGGCAGCAACACCTTCCGCCGCCTGGCGGAGAAGCCGGGCACCTTCACCATCACCGGCCTCTCCGACTCGGCCTCGTCCTGCCGCAGCTCCACGAACCTGACCAAGCAGATCCACGGCATGCCCTCGGTGCGCGTCTCGCGCGGCAAGGACTCGTACGTCGACATCCACGAAGGCGGCCAGGCGGAGATCCTCTTCGAGTTCGGCGGCGAGCCGCCGTTTGAGTTTACGTACACGCGCAGCGCGAATACGGACCAGAAGAAGGGAGGAGGAGGCGGTGGTGGTGGTGCGGTGCTGGACATGCGCAGTGAGGTGTCGCCCGGTAGGGAATTGAGGCTGTGGGCGAGCGAGGAGGGGACGTATGAGGTCGTGGCCGTCAAGGATAAGTTTTGCGCGTATACCAAGCCTGGGGTCAAGGCGGTGGAGAAGAAGGATGGCGCGAGGAAGCGGTTGGGGGGGTTCTAGCGAGAAGAAAAGGCATCAAGAGAGAGAGAGAATGGATGGCATCATGTTTGTTCCTGTTGTTGTTGTTGTCATGTATGTCCAGCATGCATGGTGCTCTGGGAGTTTGCTGGGCGTTTTGGGCATGAGCTCTATGATTTGCGGGAAGAGGTAGCTAGCGTAGCATAGCGCATGCGTGGTGGGTACATTGCACGAATGATTGATCGAGAGACTTCTCACATGAATGAATTCCTCGCTTTTCCTATCGCGTCTCACATGAACAAATTTCTCGCTTTTCCTATCGCTTCTCACATGAATGGATTCCCAACTTTTTTTCCATCACTTTTCCACCTTCAGCACAACAATCATGCGCGTTCGGTCACGACGGGTATATTACAATTACAACAACAAGAGCGCATCGACAATGCTCGTCATGTCCCCAATGCAATCGTCCGAGCATCGTCAACACATTCCAACAATCGCTTTTCCTGATCCAACAGACTTTTCCTCCTCCAAGCAGCAAATGTCACCAGGAACAGAAAGGGAAGAATCAGCACGGGCAGGACGTTGAGGTGCCTGCCGTCTTGTTGTCTGTTGAGAGTCCTTTTTTTCTTGGAGCTCACAGCACGAAGCCACTCCGAGTACCGCATGTTGGAATCAGTACGCCCGGAGCACTCTCTTGCGCTGCGGCCCCTTTTCACTTGCCTTGGAAGAAACTTGCCGTTGCACTTCTCTTTTCGTTCTCTTCACCTCGCGTCCCAACGAGTAGCTGATCGGACATTTCTCGAACAGGTGGACAGGCTGACGCCGGAGCAGACGAATCCTGGTGCCAGACGTAGGCGCTCAGATGATGTCCCACACATCCTCGGCAGCGTGACAGAATGTGCTGCAGGCGACACTGGCGGACAAGGAGTAGTTGCTGATGGAAATGGCATCGTCCTTGAACTGATCGGCAAAGGTATCCGCTCCCTTGGCCATGGCACCGACGAAGACGCAAATGCTCTCCTTGGGACCGAGATCTTGGACGTAGTCCCGTACTCTTACCACGGGCGCGTCGTAGGAGAGGGTGACCTTGCGGCAGTTTGGTGGGAGGTGGTCGGTGATGGGGTTCTTGATGACCTTGAGAAGCTTCTCTTGCGATGTGGTGGAGCGGATGGAGAGCTTGTGGAGGAGCTGGACCATCAAACCGGCGAAGCGCTTAAAGGTACGTGGAATACGGACGGTGGGGGAGACTTCGATGAGGACGCCTTTGGCGGTGTGGATGTAGATCTGGAGCTTGCCGGCCTTGTTGAGCGGCGAGTCGAGGAGAGTGAGCAGACACTGACGAGGGGTGTGGTCAGCAGTTAAGATGACGAAAAGGTATTATTGAGTGGTGTGCATACCTGATGGGTGATGTCGGGACGAGCGTCACTGATGTCGCGGTTCATCTTGCGCATGACGCCGATGTGCTCGTCGCTGTTGAGCAGCGAGTACTTGTCGTCCTTGATGCCATTGCGACCGCCGTGGGCGGCCTTGTAGGTCTCGAGGCTGGCGTTGGAGAGGACGACAATGAGGCGTTTGGTGTCCTGGTCGGCAGCCGGGATGGGAACGGCCTGTTCTGCGACGAGCTCGGGCAGTTTGGGTGGTGGGAGAGACTGAGTCTGAGTTCCTGCAGCGTTGGAGAGATGGTTAGCCGACATGGTGCACGTTCCTTGTTGAAAGGCGCGGTACGATGCGATGCGATGCGATGCGATGCGAGGCGGTGGAAGGAAATCGGGGCAGGCGATGATGGGTGGAGGGTGGTGGGAGAGGTGATGATGATGATGATGATGATGATGTATTCGTCCAGCGCTGGTGGTTGGGCAGCAGCGGCATTCAGAAGCGAACGGGGAGGGGGAGTGCGGCTCTTATCTAGCGGAATGGAATGGGAGGGTGTGGTGTAAGACATGTAAGACATGATATGCGGGAGATATGTGTGATACTGTAGCTGGCCAAGTGGGCAGTCGCGCGGATCGACACACTGCCGTGGCAGGGATTGGCGGTGCTGTGGGTGTGGGTGGGCGAAAAAAAGCTCGCTGGCCAGCCAGGCTAAAATCACCCGCAGCTCTGCGGGCGGGCATCTACGCGAGCGGGCGCCGGCATTGAGGCCACGTCGTACACGTCGTGTAGGGCGGCAGCAGAGCGCATCAGGTGAGGGGAGGGGAGGGGGATGGGTGAGGTGTTGGTGACGAGAGTATGAGGTGGCGCGCTGCGAGTGATAGGGGGAGGGGCAGTGGGATGGAGGGGGGGAAACGTACTTATCCTCTTCGTGTCTCGCCCCGAGGTCGATGGGCGTCTGCCAACGTATTCCGTCGTGGCCGACTGCTCGAGCAGCGACTTCTCCATCACTTCAGCCTTGGAGGCGGAGGAGGCGGAGGCAGAGGAAGAGAGGTCGGAGTGATCGGAGACGGGGGAGATGGACTCCAGGCGCGAGATATCCGGGGCCATAATTCGAGGAGGTAGGTGCGTCGGGGTCGGGGTCGGGGTCGGGGACTGGGTCGGGGACTGGGTCTGGGTCTGGGCAGCAGTAGTAGTATCAGGCAGGAGGATCAGGCAGGAGTCAGCCGGAGGGATTTCACGCGGGTGCTGCTTCTGGGCTCGCGCTGCTGCGTTGGGCTCTTTGCTCTTTGCTCTTTCCTGGTCCGAGATGCGGATTGGCGGTCGAGGTGGTGAGGATAGGATATAACAAAAACGAGCTGGCACAGTCAGACAGGACAGGCACTCTTGGACTCGACTGGACTGGACGGGACGGGACGGGACGGGACGGGACTGAGTTGGTGCTTCTGGCTGGCTGTCGGCGAAGATTGGAAGATCACGCAAGCAGACGGTGTCGAATGATTCCGGACGCTGTGTTGTGTGTCGCTTGTGGCAGCCCGGCTTCCGTAGAGCGAGTCAGGTGTGTGAGGTGTGAGGTGTCCAGAAGGAAGTGATGGCAGAGAGTATCTGGGATCGGGTGGGAATCCGGCTCTTTTCACTGCTGCCTTCGGAGAGTTGCTCAACACGACCGGCTACGAGCTCACACCGACGACCCCTAACTCTGCAGGCGGGCAAAGCCAGCAAAAGCCAGCCAGCAAGCAAGCAAGCTGGCGAAGAAATTTCTCCCTACGCCATCGCGGAGCCTATGATACTCCCTCCTCCTCCCAAACCGCCTCGGAGCTCCCCAATTCGATCATCCGAACCCACTGCACCCTGCCCTGCCCTGCCACAACCGACCAACGCCTACCGGAAAGTCCACCGACTCTGCACAATTAATTCATTCATTCATTCTTCCGTGACGTGACGTCTACCGCGGCCTCCGACTGACTCTTACGCAACAAGATGCACACCTCTCACACACACGACACCGTCCAAGTCTCCGAGCACCACCTGCACCATCAATCAATCAAACCTGCACCACTAACTACATGACATGTTCTAGGCGACTGCGGGTACGCCATCGCTTAGCGCCTCCAATGGACACAACCCACTCCCTTCCCTCATCTCCAACCTTGAACCCTCATCTTCTCACACCGGGCGGGAAGCACCACTTCATCCCGTACTGCTCCGATCACCATCTGCTGCTGCAACTCAAAGATACCTCCGACATTGACTCCGAGTCCGATTGCCTGTGTCCTACCGACATGTCGGATGAACTCAAGGTGAGAATAGCCTGCATCACGCGCTCTCTTCTACCTTCACCATCATGATCATCGATGATGCTTCTCTCCCTCTCTCAACAAACAACGGCTGGTGGAAAACATCGGCACGACTCGCTGTCAGCGGCGGCTTGAGCTTCCATGCTAGCAAGGCGACTGCATGCCGCCCTCGCGCACAAGCTCCATACACTAGCCATGCACATGCACATGCACATGCACATGCACCTGAGAATGCGCGGGCTTTCCACTTGCACATCACATGAAAGGTGACGTGCATGCGCAGGGCCGCCTCCACCGAGCCCTACTACTACTGATGAGAACCATTGGAGAATGCCGGCTCCAACAACAGACGAGACGCTCCATTCCACCAATCAACCTTTTCCTTGGCCCCAAATGCTATCCTCGTAATGCAAATCATACACCTCGCATTTGGACTCTCGCAAAGCCAGGACGACATGACGATGAGCCATCTCACTTTGCCATGCCATGACAGTACGCTCGGAGAAGTACTACTCTCTCACCAACACAGAAAGTATATGCCGTGGATCTGCACCAAGCCAATCCCACCTTACCTTCCAAGGTACATGTACACAGATATCTTATGCCCATGCATCACCGTCTCCACCCACACCTGCTTCTCCGCCTGCCCTGCCCTGCCCTGCCCTCAGCTGTGCAGCACAGCAGTGTGCTGCCCTGCCTGCCACCAACCATGCGCAACCAACCAATCGACCCCACTTCAGACACTCGACTAGGTTCGTACCCAGGGTCCGCTACCGGAGACCCAGTCTCATCACTCTCATCACTCAGTGCCCTGGTCTGTCTGTATGTATGTATGTATGTATGTATGTACGTACTATGTACACTACTACCTAACCTTCCACTAGTATCATAGCCACGTCCCTACAGCGAGACATCTCACATCTCAATCTCTTCCAATTCCATCATCATCATCATTCTCTCAACGGAAAACATCCCCAAAATGCCGCACACGTCAATCTGGAGAAATTCTTTTCCCCTTTCCCGCACGTGAGACATCTCAGACAGACAGACAGACATCTCAGACAGACAGACAGACACCTCAGACAGACAGACAAACAGACAGCTCTGGAACCCTCCCGGTCTCGCACGCACTACTTACTACTACACGATGGATGCATCATCATCATCGACGATGATGATGATGCCCCAGCGACCGACCGACCGACCGACCGACCGACCGACCGACCGACTTCGCATCCTCCACTCCATCGCATGACCGAAATCGCACTGGACCCATGCACTACATGCGAGTGTGAGAAAGAAAAAACTCTACTTGGACTTCACATCACTACATTACTTCTCTCATCACGCCCCACCCACCAGGTGCAATAGCCGAAGAATCATCATGTGTCTGTCCCTCTGTCCCGCTCCCCGTCCCGCTCCCCCTCCGTCCCCCTCGGCAAATAATGATCGTGCACGCTTTTTGGAACCATCCTATGATGATGATGATGATGATGATGATTGAGACCATGTGTGTGTGTGCTCGGAAAGCTCCTTGTATATCTATCGGTTGCCATCACCTAGATATAGATACGATCGTATGTATACACACATCATGACACACCATTGCAACATTTCAACACTTCAACAACATCTACACGGCTTGGTCCGAGTCGAGCTAAGCTCATTGCCGACCGACCAGTGAAATCTTGACATGATGATGGAGCAAAAAGATAAAGGACTTTCCGTCAGCCGACGACGAGGGCGGAGAGCTATTTCAATCCCCTTGTCTCTCTGAGAATCTCTCCATTCCCCCTCCTCATCCTCATCGTCGTCATCATCATCATGCCCTTTTTTCTCTCCATCTATAATCCGCTTGCTCTTCCCGAGTCCCGTTCCCAGAGGAAGAGGGGAGCCCCCATGTTTCAACTTTCCAACCCGCAAACCTATCTACATCGAAACGCAAGGATAAGAGGGCACCATCATCATCGACAGCAACAAACGCATAAGAATCTTTTTCACCCTGCCTCGTGATCCCCCCAACAAAAGCAAATGGCCGTGGCAAATGGCCGTGGCAAATGGCCGTGGCAAATGGCCGTGGCAAATGGCCGTGGCAAATGGCCGTAGCAAACCGCCTCCAGTCGTCTCTTTTTGCGTGCGTGCGTGCGTGCGTGAGTTTCGTCGAAAGCGAAAACAAAAATAACTTCATCCCTCCAGCGCCATGCCATGCCTTGCCTGCCGAATGAATATCGACCTAACCTCCCAGTCCGTACCCAATCGTGACATTCGTAAGTCGGTGTACTCTATGGATAATGTGTGTATAAAGGAGTGATGGGGGTGTGTATCGTCGCAACAGCCGCACTTTCCCGACCTCTCAAAAGTCCAGAAAGCTCCAGGTTTCAACGGAAGCACGTTGATCGCCCAGTGTAGTCCAGGGCACTTTACAGCCATCCACGGCCGAAGACTCCCGTCCAAGAACAAATGCCGTCTCTCGCTTAAACGTAAACGATCCCGGCTGCTGCGTCGCCTGGAAATGCGTAGGAGGAGAACCAATGCCTTTCTTCTCGGACCAGGATTCCTACCTGACATCCAGATTGAACGGCTTAAACGTCGAGTCCATGGCGTGGCACCGTGGGCACGACGTCATGCGTCCGCGGCTCTGCTCCTGGACCAGCGCATCCGTGCACTCGCCGCACAATCCGCAGATGCATTGCGTGCAGGCATACGACTGGGTCAACATGTTCAGGCGCCGGCAGCCGGCGCAATAGATCTGGATTGCTCCACTAGTGCCGCCCATGTTACTGGCTCCACCGGCGCCGGGCGTGAACATGGGAGAAGACTGTGAATCGATGGAGGAAGGGTTCATGATCTGGAACTGGGATCCCGAGTCCATCGAGTTGTGGTGCTGGTGGGAAGGATTACTGCTGAGGCTGCTGTCCACCGATGGATAGTGCTGCAGAGTCAGGTCGCCCTGGGCGCCGGCCGAGGGCGGCGTCAAAGCCCGGTTGAGGGGCGACGCTTGAAAAGATTGGAACTGGGAGCCCATCGCGAAGGGCGGCAAGCTCGTGCGAGCATTGCCTTTCGGCGATTGGTATGGAGATGCCGGTATCTGCAGCATTGATGAGTCGTCGAACTGGATGACTGTGTCAGGAGCAGCTTCACTCACAGGCGTCAAATCCCGGGAACCCTCCTCTTCGGTGGCACTTGCGGCAGCATCGATGAGGTCTTCCCACCTCTTCCCATAGATCGAGGCCGCGCTGCCCGGCTCGGCGGAGAAGGCCTTGCGATCACCGCTGCTACGTTTGGCAAGCTCTTTTGACCGCTTTCGCTCATGCTTGCCCAGGCGAGCGGACTGCGAGAGGCTCGACTTACGAGGTCGGTTGACGCTCCGAGACGCAGACAGGCTCCTCTGCAGAGGAGCTGGACGATCAGGCGGCGACCGCATCATGCCGCTGGGCAGCAAGCCGGACTGCTCCTGGCCCAGGCCGCTCTGGAAGGTGTTGGGGTCTGGTAGGAGCGAGCTCTCTTCGAGGGCCGGGTCGACGTTGCTGCCAAAGTGCTGTGGCATCTTCATGTCTTCGTGATTGGCATAGAACGCCTGAAGAAGATCGGCTTCAGTATCTGTCGGTGACATGTCATGCGAAGGGTAGATCACCTGTCCGATGCCGTCCCCTCCCCATTCTGAATCGGGCCTGTGATAATGAAGCTGGGCAAGAGCGGCGGCAGCCGAGGCCGCAGGGATCAGCGAGCCCCGGCGATACTCGTCCGAGGAGCGCTGATGCTGCGCCTGCATGTTGCTGTAGATGGCCTGGGCCTCTGTATCTCCGTGCGTGTAGTAGCCACCATCGTGTTGACCGAGAGCATGGAATCCTTCAAAGGATGAGCTCAGGCCGGGGTCAATGTGGAAGGCGGGTGACAGACCTGACGGATCAGAGTGCTGTTGTATGTGGTGGTTATGATGGTGGTGGTTCGCATGATTGGGATCTTGTGCGGGACGCTCGTGAGGTGGTGTTGATATCATCAAGTCGAAGCTCTCCTTGGTCGCGGGCAGCTTGGGGAGGTAGTATTCGGGGTGGGCTCGGCGGATGTGCTCCTGCATGGAGCGGTAGCGTTTCTCCTGTCGAACGGGGCATGGTCAGTGTCATGATCTTGCTCGGGCAACTTGTCGTGGCGTGGGCGAGGAGGCATTGGCAGGTGGCAGGTGGGTTTGACTCACGCCGAGGCATCGCTTCCGACACTGCGAGCCATCTTGGTTGTGGAGCGGGCAGACGACCTGGAAGGGAGTTAGCGGGTCTGATACATGGGACGAGAGGCATTGACGCCGACGCGGCAGTGGACGGAGGGATACAGTAGATGGGGGGAGGTGAAGGTGTGGGTGTGGGCGTGGGCGTGGCAGCGTACCTCGTTGTTCAGGTCGGAGACGGAGAAGGAGCTGGTGAGGTTGGCCTTTGGAGGCATGGCAAAAGACGATGCAAGCACCCTGGCCAGTTACGACGGGATGACTGGAACTGGAGCTGGTGATTTGCAGCTCGTCCTGCTCCTGCTACCTTTGTTGGAAGCTGTGTGTAGCTGTCGACTGCCTGGCTCTCAGCTGGGCTGCTCGCTCGCTGTGCACGGTCGGTCGGAGTGAAGCGGGCAGCAGCTCTCAGGCGGCTCTGTGGCTCGGTGCGGCGTCGCGGATAGGTAGCTGGCGCGCACGGGCGGGGGTGTCGATGTCGTCCCAAGAGCTATGGAGCTCCCTGTCGGAGTGTCCAGTAGCAGGCTCTTCTCGCGGTGCAATGGCAGACAGAGCTCGGGATGGTGCGCGGTGGTGTACAGCGCGATACCACGGGAGCAGCAGCTCGCACGCCGAGACTCTATCGATACGCTCCCGCGGTGCAGAGTGGGGGCTGGGGAGGGCGGAGGAGGAGGGATTGGGGCCAGCTGCTGAGGAGCGTGTGGTTGTGTGGCTGCTACGACTCAGTAAGGTACCTACTCAGGCAACAACAGCAGTTGAAGCTATGGGCAGGCGGGCACGGCGTAGCGTGGCGTGGCGTGGCAGCGTGATTCGAGTGCTCGAGCTCTCAGTGTGAGGTGCTCGAGCTCAGTGAGGTAGTGGAGGTGCCCGGAGGTGTGGCGAGAGTGGGCAGTGGGCAGTGGGCAGTGGGCAGTGAGCAGTAGTGGGCAGTAGTGGGCAGTGGGCAGTGGGCAGTAGTGGGCAGCGGACAGGGCAGTGACGGGAGTCGGAGTCGTCGGGGGCACTGCTATTCTGGGTCGCTGTCCCTCTCTTTCGCTGCTGCTGCTGCTGCTGCTGTCCGTCCGAGCTTGGGGAGAGCTTGCGAGCAGGCAAGGCGAGCTGTCGGCCGGCTCACCACGGTACTGGTGCTGGTGCTGGTGCTGGTGCTGGCTGCTGGTGCTGGAGCTGGAGCTGGCTGCGTGTCGCACAGCTCTGATGACCGGGTCGGACAATCGACGGCGGAGCGCGAGTGGATGTTGCTCTCGTCGGGTGGGAAGAGTGGATGGATGATACACTGCGCTGCGCTGCGAGGGAAGAGAGGGAGGGGTGAAAGAGATGGGGCGGGGCGGGGCGGGGCGGGGTTGTCGCGATAAGCCGAATGATTGGCCACAGCCCGCCCTCACCCATTTTGCGTCTGGAATGTGCTCAGGTCGCTCGCTCGGAGAGTGCTCGGCCCGATCGCATCTCTGCCCTGCATTGCTCTGCATCTCTGGCATCATCCGCTCCTCGGCAACCCAGACACGCTGCGTGCTGCAATGTCGCCGCAGACAAGGATCATGGCGACGGCAAGGATTGGCGAGCCTCTGCGCCATCTGTCATCTGCCAAAGCCGAAGACAGACGCGCCCAACGACACTCGCCCATGTGGAAATCTCGACAGAGAGAGGATGGACATCTCCACCACAGAGACAGGATGGGAGAGATGAGAGAGACAGACCATGATTATCTCTCCAACCGAGCCTCTCCTGAGTCCTGCCCTCCCGCGGATATTGCCGCCGCACGAGTCGTCTATACCTGCCTCCCAATCCACTCACCCACTCCCCCACTCACCCACTTTCCGCTTCTAGACTTCGTCAGACCTTGCCTCGAACCATCCCACCTCACTCTCACATGCGCCTGTACAACTCCATTGCGTTGCGCATGCCAAGATCCTCTCCTCCCTGCTTTCCATCTCTATGCGCATTCCGGCGTCCGTCGGTGCACAATTTCCCTCTTACCACAGTCACTGCTATCCATGGCTGCCCTGTCCAACATCGTACATGTATCCCGTGTCATGCCCGTCATGAGAGACGTTTGCGTGGCATCATCCATTGACCGCGACACCACCCATCCGGTCTTGCCGGTCCTTGACCAAGATTCGGTTGTTGACCCTCTGTGTTCCAGTGCTCCTTCTCTGAACCCAACATGATAAGTAGTGCCGCCAACGAGGCTAGAGACCCGACGCTGGCCCTGCTGTGTTGGGCCTGAGGCACCAAAGAGAGCGTACATGGCCAGATGGCATTACATGTTCGCAAGTTGAATGGCGATGCTACTCTCCTTCTGACTTTCACTCCATCCTTTGCTCCAAAGGGGAATCAAAATAGTCGGTTTCCTGGAAGCTACACCATCCTGCTAGACCCATGGCTGCACGGCGACTCCACCATCTTCCACGAGAAGTTCGCAACGAGCCGACACACGACGCCCGCTGCCATCGAGTCTATCGCGGAGCTGCAAGAGGAGGTGGATATGATCATTGTCAGCCAGGACAAGTCGGACCATCTCAGTAAAGAGACGATGTGCTCCCTGCCCAGGGATTGCAGAGCGACCATCCTCACAACGCCCAAGGCTGCGAAGAAGATACGAGAATGGCGGCATTTTGAACATCCTGATATCATACAAGAGCTACAGACGTACAATTCCAAAAAGGATAGCACGATTTTCAGGATACCCTTGAAGCCATATTCTTCCGCGAGTGCAGAGGGCGAGATCACAGTCGCGAACATCATACAGAAGCGGGACCTTGCCGATCTACACAACGCGATTGGCATTACATATTGTCCACCGGGGACTGTCTTCACAGCCGCCAATGGAAGCGCCGTCAAATTGGACGACATGCCCATGATGTCCCGCCCTGGCAGCTCCAGTAGCCCCAGTACAAGCAGTTCCGCAAGGACACCACGGCAGAGATACATTCGTACTTCTCTCGATGAAGGACAACCTTCTAGAAGTAAGCAACTTGAACAGACGAAAGAAATCGAACTCAGTCTGCCTAGTCCAAATGTCTCGGCCCGGCCGTTCGCAAAACCTCGCGCTGCTTCCCCAGCTGGACGGCCGAGCGTCAGTGGTTCACGTAGAGCGACCATTGAAGCAACCGACAAACGACCGCAAGACGACGAGAAAGTCCTGAGTGTTCTCTACACCCCTCATGGGACCGACTTCGCCTCGCTGCAAGCATACGTCCGCAACCATCTTTCTCCCTTGCATGGCGCTCTCCCCGTCACTGCACTTTTCCACAGTCTGAATTACGAAGCTAATCCTTGGTGGTTTGGAGGTGTAGTCTGCGCGGGTGCTCCAGGCGGCATCAAGGTCGCTCGAGGCCTTGATGCCAAATACTGGATCAGTGTGCACGACGAACTGAAGGAGGTGGAGGGCTGGGGTACCACGCTGCTCACCAGCCGCCCGTACAGCTCACAGGAGGTGGTGAAGATGTTGCGAGAAGCGGACGGCATTGGCGGTGGGAGAGGCATGGGGACCGAAGTGTGTGTTCTGGGCAGCGGGCAAGAAAAGAGACTTGTCGGCTGAGCGTGCGGCCTGTTGTACGATGCGTCGAGATGTATTTGGGATGTTGGTCCACGGCATATGAGCGTCGAGATGCATACCTCGAGGTCCAGGTGGGCCCCGCCCTATACGAGTGCTACTTGAGATGCCTCATGGTTGTAACGCAAGATGTTCCAGGATATCGACACGCGACCAATGTCGGTTGTTCTGGGGCACAGCCTCCCGACTTCTTCACAATGGCACGGCGGCACGGCCAGTGGCGAGACGTTCGAGTCACTCCGACTTTCAATCAGGATCATGATGATTCGAGGCAAGCCATCTGCAGCATGCTTGAGATGCCGCCAGGGACGGATTGAGGTACAGACGGCATTGTCCGTAGGCTTATCATCAAGAGTAACTCTGTTTGAGAGGGTGACCACGACCCGGCGGCATGCAGCAGCTGTACTAGACTGCACTTGCGGTACGAAGGATACCGCGACAGACATCTCATCCGATTCTGCTACGAGACCGATGTCGTGAAAAGCAAAGCTCGAGGAGTGTTCTCGGCGTATAGCATCGCGCCGAAAACTGTTTGTGCGAAACGTCGCGAGCCGGCGTTGAGCAGCTCCAGAGAACTTGCACGTTGAGTCAGTCACCCGCCATTCGAAAACCTATGCCTCCTTCACTCAAACGATCTTGGCCTCTCGCTCTTGTTCGACCACTCTGATCACGGCACAGGCTATAAGACGGACAATTTGGAAAGTGGTCGTCTGCTCATGGGCCGCGTAGAAGCTATAGGGCTGGCTGCCATTTGCGAACATGTCGTGCTCTCCCACGGTCGCCCCAGAGGCGCGCCCTCCATACGTCTCGGCTTCATCGAGCACAAAAAATGATGTTCTGTACTCCACCTTCTTCGTCCCGGGACCATAAACGACTTCATCGTAGCTGCTAGGCAAGCTCTCCGTGCGGATGAGCATCTAGAAGAGCAGTCTCATGGCTGCAATGTATGGACATTCGAATATCTAGTTGCTCCAGTCTCCGGCAGTGTCCTATCTCTGCTTCGTGGTCGCCTGTCCTTTGGCGGCCAAATTGCCCTCCTCGTTGTCCGGATGCTCGTGAGGCTCCTCATCATCGTCCCTCCTCCATCGTCACTCAAGGAAGAAAATACAGCGATAGAATTGCGTTGTGCCTCACCATTCCCTCCTTGCATCCCCTGGAGGAACGCATTTCTCGCCACTGCTCCCGACCAGGCGACGCTCTCTGCCAGGGAGAACGAAACCTTCTTCCCGCTACTATCTAATACCACGCATCAATCATCGTCTCCTGTCAGCACAGATGGGAGTCTCGAGTGTGGCTTTTTGCATGGCTGATGCTGCTCCTGGCAAGGTCTCTTACCAGCCGGGCTCTACGATGGTCTTGTCTTGGAGGGGGCTGGATGATCCAGCCGTCGTGGGGCTGTCGTCTTGTCTGGGCATCTTTCTTGGTTGCAGAGGTGTCGGGTCCTGGGTGTGATTTTCGCAAGAGGATGATGGAGGTGTTGAGGAACATTCAGTTGGTACTGAGTACAAAGCTTCTCGCGGGTTTAATGCTGGCGGAGAGGTTGCAGAAAGGTAGACAAGATGAGATGATTGATGGTGAGAATCATTTGGTACATTGGTAGAGCGATCCACGCTTCTACAACAACATCTAGATTCTCCGCCTCAAAGCCATTGTCGACGAATTGCCAAAACTTCATTTCAGAGGAGAAAAAAATCAAAGCTTTCCGCCTCGGACCTTTTGAGAGAGAGAGAGCATGGGTCAGCAGCTATCATACCAAAATCAAAACCATCACTCCCCAAGACTTTTTTTCCGGGGAATCGCAGCCATCGCGCTGGCGCTGGCCGGTCTAGGTCTATCCGCTTGCCTTGTCATGCATGCTCTTCCACGGTTTGCCGGCGGTGTAGAATGCGCCCTCGCAGTGCTCTTCGGCCTGCAGAAGGAGAAGGAGAAGAAGTCAGCCGTGCCTTCCGTCCCAACTCTCTCCGCCAGGTCAATCCATACCTTACTAGCCGGCAACCACCCGACGCGATCCTTCTCAAACGTCTCAATCCGCGGCTTGAATTTCGTCTCCTGCAGCGCAAAATCATCCACCGTGCCGATGCGCGGGATACTCATGCCCGGGTACCCGCTGCTGCGGCGGTACATGAGGGTGCCGCAGACGCTGCAGAAGGAATTCTCCATGCTGTTGCCCGTGGCTATCGTGGCGGATTGCTTGAATTTCGTGAGTTTCGCTTCGCCGCGCAGGTGTTTCAGGTGCGTGTCTTTGACGACGAAGTTGGAGGCGAACATGGAGGCTGTCACCTTGCGGCAATCTGAACAGTGGCATATGAACGTATCCACGAGGCCTTCGCCTTCGGTGGGCTGTTGAGAGATAGAGAAAGGAGGGAGTTAGCTGGTGTTGATTTTGGGGGGGGGGGGATGGAGATGAGATAGCGTACGACTTCGATCTGAACGGCACCGCAGTAGCAAGTAGCTGTTGCGGTCTTGGCGTCCGGGCCACCTCTGGCGCCTTCGGAGGGGAGGAAGATCTTCTCGGCCATGGTTTCAGAATAGCAGTTCAGTATTTTCGGATGAACAATGTCGGGTGGTTGTGAGGTGGACCAAGAGTGTGAAATCCTGCCGAGCTTGCTCAGCTGTACTTATACCTCAGCTCTTTGCGGCCGGAAAGAGCGGCCGGTCGAAAGGCCTGGGACTCAAGCAATGTTCGGTGCTACGATGACTGCATAGCTCTTGCCCGTCGACGATGACAATACCTGGGAGCTCTTGCACCGTCGAAGCGAGTCGAGCTTAGATGACCAATATGCGAGATGACGTTGCAGATCGCTTAGAAGGTGAAGACACAACTCCCATTGTGGAGGCCATTGCAAGTTTTCGAATAGAGAACATGTTATAGGCACGGACAGTCGGCGATGTCGACAGCGTGTTGTAGGAAGCACGAGTCGAAACTTGTAGTACGAACAGTCACCTTGATGGAGGCGTCGGAGCTAAGGACGGGCATTAGGATGCAAATGAGAGAGCTCGGCTTGCTGGAGCAGCTTCATGGGTGCGGGATCACAAACCTTCTCTGCGCTTTCAATAGCTGCTTCTGTCATCCCATAAGGAGTGTGATTGGCCCGAACGAGTGAGCGCGTCGTCGAGCAATATTTTATGCATCGGTGAAACGGGAACTGGGCGATTCTACTGCTGACAATATGACTAGAGTGGTATCAGTGCCCAAAGCTCAGAAACATCATACGAAATTTCGCTCCCAATAAAGGAAATTCTCCATTCTTCGGAGTGGGGTGTCTCTCGCAATGCTATGCCAACTCCAAATCATCTGCTCGAACGGCCCAGGGTGAACGTGATGACGATGACGGCGCCCAGAATTACAATGGCACCAGGCAAGAGCAGTTCGTTTGGTACCCCTTGGAGGATCTGTTCTTGCTGTTTTGGACCAGCTGCGGCTTTACGTCCCCGACGACGATCGCGAACGCTAGGCGATTCTTCTTCTCCCTCGTCGTCTTCATCTTCTTCGTACCTTCTGCGCTGGCGGACGTGGCTCTCTGGGGGCGTTGGCGGAATGATGGCGGGCTGAGGGTCAACGGTTGCCGGAAGGGCGGGCTTCTCTGGATCGTGCACAAACAGATCGACCTTGTCCTTGTGGGCTTGCCGTGCGAGGATGATCGCTTCGAGCAGGTCATGGTCTGTGGTAATCGAAACAGTGTCCCCTTCGTTGTCCATGTAGCTGAGCGCAAAGCCAGCGTGGCCGAGCTTGCCATCCTCGAAAACGGGAACACCACCAAGACTGTCAGCCTCATGTCCGAGCTTCTCAGCCACAACGCTGATGAGATTGGCCAGACCATTCGATGCCACCACATGTAAGCGATGGACACGTCCACCAGGAGCCCTGAACTTGAATGTAAAGGGGGTGTCCTCAATAGCTCCAGCCAGCGCGGAGGATTCGTCTATGTCCTGTCCGCCATGGTGCGAAGCCGAGTCAGTGGGCAGCACACTGTCGCCGCGGTCCATGCCTGGTCGAGGTATCTCGGGAGACATCATACCAGACCTCTCTGGCGTGTGAGGCATCTGAGAGTGGCTGTGGCTACCCTCACCCGACATCATCGATTCGGTATCGCCATGGTCCATCGACATCCAAAACTTGTTCCACGCAGGGCCTTCGCCGTCGCCGGTCGACATGCTGTTGATCTGATCCAGCGTTGCGTATGTAAGCTTCAAGACGTCTACCATGCCGACGATCTCGTCATTCTCCTTATTCATGACAGGGAGGTTCAGGTAGTGGCCGTCGTGCATCTTTCGTAGGGCCTGCTGAATGCTCATGTCGAGGGGAGCAAAGTCTGGGTGGGGAGTCATCACGCGAATCACACTGCAAGTCCCTGGGTCGAGACCTGCAGCGATTACTCGCAAAACTACGTCTTTTGAAGTAAAAATGCCAGTAATCTGGCCCTGGTCCTGCACGAGGACTGCAGTGGTATGGTTTTCCTTCATGAGCTGGGCAGCCTCCTTCACGCTCGTTCGTACCGAGACAGTCGTGGGCGGCAGACCATTCAGGACAGACTCAAGCGTTGGTCCAGACATACGAGATCTCACAGCCTCGACGTACTGGATGATCTGCTGCGGTTGACTTGATCCCAACTCCGCCTGGACACCCTCCAGCGCATCGTAAAGCTTCTTGGAAGAGCTGTAAGCACGCTCTAGCTTCTCCATCGCGTCGTAGAAGCACTTTGTGATATCCAGAATACCGGAAATGTCATGGTTCTCGTCCATGACCGGCAAGTGTCGAAATCCTTTTCGTACCATCAGGTCTAACGCGTCTGTGGCACTTGTGTCCGTCTTCGCGCAGAGAGGGTTCTTGGTCATGATCTCCGCAATCGTTACACTGTTGGCCTTCAGTCCAGCACCGACGACCCGGAAAGCCAAGTCTTTTGCAGTGAAGATACCCGCAATTCGCTCATCGTCGTCGGTTACCAATACGCAGTCCTCTCTCTTTGCGGCCATCAATTGCGCAGCCTCGGTAACGGTGGTGTTGGGCTTGATCTGCAAAGCCTGGTTCGGCTTCAAGGCGAGAACGGTGCCAGGAGGGGCTTTGCGACTTTGGCGGGATCGTCCAGCAGCGCCGCGCTTCTTGCTGAGGTCTTTTTCGAGCTTACTCCGTAGGGCCTTCATCTCGTCAACGTCCATGTTCTGCAAATCATTTCCGTGAGAGTATTGATCCATACCTCATCTCTTTTTGACTGCTTGGCTCTGCTTGCACTCAACGAGGACGTCGGCGCCTCGCTCACATGAGATTCCAGCTTGGGCCGCGGGATGCCAGATGGACCTTCTGACATTGTGCTCTGTGGTCGCTGGCCTTTTGGTGTGCCCCGGAGCGTGCCATGACCATGAGCACCGCTAGTGGTCGACATGGTGGCGTCCTCGCGCGCAAGATGGACGTGCAAATCAGCAGGTGGAGTTGTTTGTTTCGAGCGGTCAGGACGAGTGTCGTCCAAAGAGGTCCCGAACGCCCTGGTAAACAATAACAGGGATCTACCCGAAACTTTACGCTACCGTGACGTTTTTGCCTCAGGCCATCAAGCTCTTCGCGCCAAGCCTCCGCTTTCCACTCTGAATTTGGCCGCCGATCGAGCAACTTCTCGAATTCGACGACCACTAACCACCACAGCCAACACCCCTCGCACATCGTCAAAATGGTGAAGAAGCGCGCTTCCAACGGTCGCAACAAGAAGGGCCGCGGCCACGTCAAGCCCATCCGCTGCTCCAACTGCTCGCGATGCACTCCCAAGGACAAGGCCATCAAGAGATTTACCATCCGCAACATGGTCGAGTCCGCCGCTATCCGTACGATATACCCGCCGAGAAGATGAGAGTGAGAGATTGTTGGACTGAGACAAATTGCAGGTGATATTTCGGATGCCTCCGTCTTCACAGAGTACTCCGTCCCCAAGATGTACTTGAAGCTCCAATACTGCGTTTCCTGCGCCATCCACGGCAAGATTGTTCGGTATGCCCACGAATCACGCATATCTCCTGATGTCCCGATTTTATACTCATATTTTGCAGTGTCCGCTCGCGCGAGGGTCGCCGCAACCGTGCTCCACCCCCACGTGTACGATACAACAAGGACGGCAAGAAGGTCAACCCACAACAAGCTGCTCAGGCCCCCGGCCCCCGATAAGCACGTGCATGATGGATATCGGAGTTCATGGGACAAGACAAGACAAGACGACTAGGGCAAGCGCATCGATTTGGTGCTGGCGTTCAGCATGATAGAAAGCTGACCAGACGGCCACGCTGGGTGCGATTTACTCGCATCCCGGCTTGGGGCTTTTGCTGGCGGAGCTGTGGCGAAGGCCGAAAGTCTATGTGCTGGGTTACGAATAGCTTCGAATGAACCAAGTTTGAGCAAGCCAACTATGGTCTCGACAGTTGAGCCTCGCCGTGCGTCCTACGGGAGGTCGTCACTTGCTTCTCGGTATCCTCAATGCGGTGGCGGTGGCCAGCCAACGTGAACGTCGTGACAATGACAAGCTCAGCATCTATTGGTCTAACATGAGCAGGCTGCTGCTGCTATGCATGTCCATGACAATGTTGAGCTGATGTCAAAGTAACACTCAACCGACACCTCGAACACCAGCACTTGCGCTGTCAATGTCCTCAATCCAAGCGCTCAACATCGCCAGTGGCATCTCATGGAGTGGAGGCTTGAAGACGCGCCGCCAGGCTGGGTCTCTTCTTCACCTGACGATTCTCGAAACATGATGTTATCGGCATTGGCACTTGCATGTCATCTGAAACTAATAAGCCTCAATCGTCTCACATGAACTTCTTAATCCGTTCGCTTCTTCGAATCTGCCTCTTCCTCACCACTCACACCCGCAACAACCTTCGCCGCCTCAGCACCTTCTTCCTCCCAGTCTTCATCGTTCTCATCCCAGTTATCCAGTTCTTCGGTGACGTTGGTACTCTTGGCTCCCGCGCTAGCCTGTCCATTCGTATCCGCCGGCACACTACCCGTCTCCTGGTTTCCGAGGCCTACACCTTCGCCGAGCTCTACGTCTCTCTCTGGATCGACCTCTCCTTCTTCATCTCCGGCAACGATATCGTAGTGTTTGTTCTTCCGTCTGCGTTCCAGCATGCGCTTGTGGTACCAGGAAGAAAGCAGTAGGGCACATGTTGATCCAACGACGTTGGCAAGGATATCAAAAGGGTCGAAGTCGCGGCCGTTGGGGAGGAGTGCTTGGGCTACTTCGCTTCCTATTGCAAGGCCCGCGGTGCAGAACAGGAGAGTGAGGTGTATCACGCGGCGACGAGAGGTTTCAAGGATCCAGTAGAAGGTCAACTAGATCCAAATGAGCTCTCAGTACATTTTCGTGGTCGTATTTGAGGGGATAGCTTTGGCGGTTGCCTAGCTTGAGTGATACCTACGGTGAGCAAGAAGAAGCTGACGAAATGCAATCCCTTGTCACTCTGGCCATAGCTGGGGATCTTCTCGGTGGTGAGCCCCAGGTAGGCCGAGGCGAAGAGCAGGACTCCGAACGAAGCTGTGAGGCTCAAACATTAGCTGTGTATGATCTCGGTGGTAGATCTAGATGATGTTGGTGGAATTGGGTAGTGGCTTACCCGCAAACGGGGTGCGGATGCGCATGGACGGCATCAAGGCATCATTCCATTGCATGAGTATGGCGTGGTGGTGGTTGCATGTGCAAGCGTTAGAGGGGTGAGTAGAGAGCGACGTTGCGACAACTCGACAACTACTGTTGCTGTCCTTGCTTGAGGCCTGTGAAGCTACCTACCTTCCGTTGTCCGCTCCTCGCTTGTGCCTCAGGCTTGCACGCAGAAGGCCTGGGACTGGCCCTCTACAGACAACAGCTTACGGACAATAGCAATTGTTCCCCTTTTGACTCGAATATGCTGTTGTGGAGCTATTGAGACCGTATATTTCAATTGAGAATCGACATCCTCCTCCCTGACAACATAGACCGTCAACTTGGCATGTGACTGCTCCCACGACTTGCGACCGAACTCTGTCTTTGGAGAGCCAGGTGATCGGCTACGGACGCCCGACCAAGTGACTTCACTTCACGGCCGCGAGAACATTTCATTGAAATCCACGATCCTTCCATCAGAAACGACACCGCCATTCACGTGCACCCCATCTCCTCGCGCCGGCGAACTTCATGGTGCCCATATTGCCGCACACCTCCTCCGCACTGGCGAGCGCCTCGCTGGATGAGGAGACCGGCCCTTCACGTTCACGCGCCGAGAGGATATGACCTCGACACCCAATCGCTCATCGGCTCTGCATGGCGCGCGCATCAATGGCTTCAGCAATGGCTCCAGCACTCGGACTCACAGCATGACCAGAGATGCCACAAATCACAGCGGCCTGGCCGCGGCCTCTGCCGCCGATGAGCAGGATCACGAGGACCCCATCCATACCCTTCTCAAATCTCGTTGGGCAGAGACCGAGTCCAGCATCGCTAAGCTGTTTGGATCCGATGGCTCATCGAGGCGCGCGTCCAGAAACCCCGTCGACAATAATACTACCACCGCCGAAAGCGGCCTTGCATCGGAGGAGCCCGCCAAGACCAACTCCGTCCCGCCCAAGAAAGCTGCCCGCCAGATCGACGATGATTATGGGGACGATGATGATGAAGAAGATGAAGATGAAGCTGACAAACAAAGTCCACTCAAGACGAAAGGGAAAGCATCACTCCCGAATGGCATTTCGCCCCACCACATCCGCACTCCTGCTCCAGCAGTGAAGCCACCCATCGTACGCACAACCACCTCCGCGGCATCCGAGCAAGCAAAGAGCAGTGAAGATGTGCGAAAGCAGTTGGAACAGGACAAGAAGGAGGCCGCGGCTGCAGCCAAGTACAGCTTCCAGAGCATGTTCTATACTCTCGAGAACGACAGGGACGCGATGCTGGAGCAGCAGAAGCTGGACGAACTCGATCGCGAAGTGGAGAATGAGATATCAGGAGGCCCCAATGGCGCTGGCAACGCAACTCCTGCTGCATCTGGGGCAGTGGCGACCGCCAATGGAACGCAAGGGACACTGGGCAGTGCGGACCTGGGCGCGTCAAGCTTGACTCTCAAGCATCTTATCGCGCGGATAGATGCAAAGCGCGACATGGTCAGGGCATCCGACAATCAGCTTCGAACACTCATCTCAGAAGTTAGGAAAGGCCGCAGCAAGTGGGCAAGCGAGGATCGTGTTGGACAAGAAGAACTTTATGAAGCTGCTGAGAAGGTCCTCATGGAGCTCAAGGCCATGGCCGAGTACGCTCAGCCCTTTCTGCAGCGTGTCAGCAAGCGAGAAGCGCCGGACTATTTCAACGTGATCAAAACGCCCATGGATATCGGCACAATGATTAAGAAGCTGAAATCCCTGGGGTATAAGAGCAAGAAGGAGTTCGTGGATGATCTCAGTTTGATTTGGGCGAATTGCTTGAAATATAACCAGGACCCTAATCATCCACTGCGGAAGAAGGCGCTGTACATGCGAAAGGAAACTGACAAGCTTACGCCGCTCATTCCCGACATCGTCGTTCGCGATCGTGCAGAGGTAGAGGCTGAGGAGCGTCGCCTGCATTCCGCCGATGCAGATGATAGCGATGATGACGATGCGCCTATCATGGCATCGAGGGGGCGAAAGGCGCCCAAGAAAGGAGCACCGACATCTGCTCGCAAAGCTCCTCCAGTCGCCGTGGAAGACACGTCAACACCTCAGCCAGAGGACCGCAAGCCGCCAATGCACCCATCCGCATCCAACCTGCGCAACGACTTTTTACGTGCGGATTCGGAGACACAGGACATCAGCTCGGCTGGCTTTAATACTCCGCCGCCTGGCTCCGCAACGCCGCTTCCGAATGGAATTCATGGGAGTGGTGTAGCGGGAAGTCAAGTCGATGTAATGGAGGTAGATGGCTTGGGTCACTCGGTTGTTAGCGCACCCCAAGATGATCCGGATGAGGACGACACGGAGTTTAAAACTTGGAAGCAAGTGACGAAGAAGGATCGTGCAATCGCGGCAGCAGAACGACACCGGCTCTTTCGTGGCGAACACCTGAATCCGGATGAGCCTGCTCTACTCCGGAGTAAGGCGATGATGCGGAGATGGGCACGGCAGCAGAAAATGATTCAAGAGAAGCCATCAATTGATGGTGATGCACAAGACGATGCCGGCGAGAGTGGATCTGCTGCCGGTGGTGAGACACTCGCAGAGGGCATCGCTGAGGATGAAGACTCCACCTTACCGGACTACTACAATCCTCTATCCGCCATTCCTGATTTGGATCCTCGATGGAACTGGACGACAGACTCTCAAGGCCACACGATATCGCAAAACGACGCGTATATGCGCTTGTATCCGAAAGATCTGTACAAGGCGCCCGAAGGCAGCTTGAACAGGAAGTTTCAAGAAAATGTCCGGCAAATGCAAGAGACTCGTAAGGTTTGCGCGAAAATTGGCATCGTCAAGCAGATGCAGATACAAGCACAGGTAAGATGCTAACGTCTCGATTTCACCCGTGGCTTTCGCTGACTTGCCAAAGACATACCAGAATCAATTCCAGAAGTATGAGCCGCAGCCTTTTGAGGAACAAGACGTGGAGACTACTGTCGTCTCCGAGGACGGACCGCTCATGGCTCCTTGGGTGAACCGCGCTGCCTTGCAGCGATCAGTGGGCAAAATCTTCTACCACGCTGGATTTGAGGACTACCAACCTTCTGCCTTGGACTCTGTGACCGACGTGGCGATTGAGTATATGACGAAGATTGGACAGGGTCTGAAGCTCTTCAACGAGCAGCCTGCCACGACTGCGGAAGCGTCACGATTCACTGTTGAGGAGCAAGTGCTTCATACCCTCGATGAAGCTGGTCTTGACATTGAGGGGCTGGACACATATATACGTGACGACGTTGAACGGCTGAGTACTAAGCTCACCGTTATGCATGACCGCATGAAGTCGCACTTGGCAGATCTGCTGGTAAGTTGCCCATATGAAATGCAAACGAATTTGGCTAACAGATCTGAAGCGCCCTGCCTTGGGCGATCACGCTGGTGCGGATGGCGCTGGCGCGTTCAACGATGGCAGCGAACAATTCGTTGGCGGCGACTTTGCAGAAGATCTGGATGAGGATTTCTTTGGATTCCGCGAGCTTGGCCTTGCTGCCGAGCTCGGTCTGGAGACACTTTCGGTTCCTCTCCATCTTCTCCAAAACCGTATGCACAGTGCGTACCAGGCACAGAACCAAGGACCCATTACCAGTGGCGGGCTAATCCTGGATCCGCCTGCCGCGTACGAAGCGGTTACGACTGAGAATCTGGGTAGCCAAATCGGTCTGGTGCAGGACTTCTTCCGCAACAAGCTTCGTGCGAACCGAGATGAACCGCTTGTAGAAGACGAGGATCTACCTCAGAAACAACGGTTCCCAAAGCCTCGGTTACCGCCAAACGGCAAGATTTCTTCGCCGCGCAAGAGGCCGCTGCGGGAACAGCAGCAGATGGCCAAGAAACGACGTAGGCTCGAAGAAAGCGGAGAAAAAGCGAAACTCACCAACCCAGTCGGAAAACTGCAACTGCAACCGCCAGACTCTCGGGAGAACGGAGTTGATCCGGAGAAGGACGGAGAGCATAACGGAGCGCCGATGAGTCCTGAAAGCATTAATGGCAACTAGCTCTTCCATTTTGACCTCGCAACATCGACAATGCTCCCAGCCCGCGAAGAGGGCATACAGTCGAAGTACTACTTTGCTTCTTGCACACACGGCTTTTAATCAGGAGTTCTGGAGCTGGACTGATTGCATGCCGACAGAAGGCACAGAAAATTCATTTATCATTCAATCAATACCTTTATGACTGAAGCAACAGTCGAGGTCAAGTACTGAAAGCGACGGAATGGATTAGGAGTTTCAGGGACAACAAAGGGGGTGGGGTCAGCAAGAATGGATCGATGGACGGGTTTCGTTTTGTTCGGGTCGGATTTGGCTGTTTATTCTTTTTATACCCCACAGTCTGCACGCAGCGAAGCATCAGGGAGGGCAAAGTTTTTCTTTCATGTGAATCAGGAGGCGCGTGTAAGTGGTGGGTTTTTGGCTCGGACTTTGTATATGGGAGAGGCGAGACTGTGGACGACGGGGTGGAGGGGGGAGGGGGGAGGAGAGCATTCGATGCAATGAATAGGGGCGCTTCTACCATCTTGACTTGTCTTGTTTTTAGCTTGGAAATGTGGATAGTACGTACGTACTTTATGCATAAGGCGTACTGTTCCATGATGCGTGAGAAAGGAGGGGGAAATTTTGATGTTCCGGATTTTCGTGCCATGCTCTCGTTGAGAGGACCGACGTGCCCCACTGGTCTACCATGCACATGTTCCTCCTGGACTCCGCTCCAGCTCCGCCCTTCTACTTCTCATTTTCCCAAGTCTCCTTCGACAATCTCTTCGGAATTAAACGGACCAACCTTTGCCTTTGTCGAACATGGTTGATGACTGCCTCTGGCGGAGGAAGGACGTTACAAGACTCGTGTGCACCGACTGGTTGCTCTACTCCTCTTTTTCGAAGTCTATTGTATGACGGGCAGGCTCGACAAGCCCACTCGAGCGCGAGCAGGGGCGGTGAAGTTTGACGTATGTCGCGTGGGGGAGGTGGCGTAGAAACCTGAGTCTCCTCCGCCCCAGTGTGGTACTCTTCAGGACATGCACTCCATGGGCGTGTCTTGCATGACCTCTTCTCTGCACGGCTCTGCTCGTAGTCCTTCCTTCGCGGCTTGCGCCTCCTCCTGCTCCAATACGGCGAGAATCCACGCACATGGCTTCACGGGGTGTTCTTCTCTGCATTTCCGCTGGTGCTCCGTCCATTCGGCTGACGGCACACGGTCTGCGGCCCAGCGGATGCTGGTCGAATGGGTCGCAGGGAGGAGGTGCGCGCTGCCGTCGAGCGAATGCATGGGCACAGACACGACACCGGTGCAGCCGGGACAGAAGCGGAGGATTTCGTTCTTGGGGCTGCTGGGGAGTCTGCCGCAGTGGCAGAGCACGACCGTTCTCTTTTTGGAGTTGGAGTCTGGTTGCGTGAGTTCGTGGGCGTGCTCTTGCATGTATGTCTGTTAAGGTCACAGTGCTGGTCAGTCTATGCTTTGATGTTTTTGGTCTGGAGAGTGTTGACTCAGCGTATGTATTCCTAGGCTCTGCCTGCCCCTGCCCACCACTGCGTGATGTCTGTGAACGTCTTCGGAAATGCCAAGTCGGGCATCGAGAGATGGCACTCGCAAGTTATTTTCTTCGTTGTACTCACTCACCGTCAGAGCCTCCCGTTTGAATTTCAAATGGCACCACGCGCACCATTTGCCGTCCAGGATGTTCGCGGCGCAGACGCAGGTATCCACGTGGACCGGCGACTGCGCGGGCAGTGTGATGGCGAGTTCCTGTAAGCGCTCCACGGCACAGCCGTTGCACATTGGCATGAGGTGTCGGTCGTGCAGTGCGGACTGGTTGACGGGTAGGCGGCCGTCGAGGATGGTCTGGGTGTGGACTTCGCAGACGGATAGGCCGCTGTCCAGTGGAGGCATGCCTCTCGATAGCACTCGTCGAGCGCTGGGCTAGCAGGATGTTAGTAGCTATTTGACGCGGAGCATGATGCGTGCTGTGTGTACCTCGAGGAGCAGCATGCGCCAGCAGTAGTCTTTGCACTCCTGGAGGACTGGATCATTCTGTGCCTGTACGTCCATGGCTGGCTCGGTCTCTGGGTCAGGACGTTGCTGCCCGTCTCGGTGCTGTGAGCTGCTGTCCATGTATGTTTTACTGTCATCAAGGTATGTGTGTGTGTGTGTGTGTGTGTGTGTGTGTGTGTGTGTGTGAAGCGGTGACTTGGCCCATGGGGTTTAAGGTTTCGCTAATGCTGTTCCGTGCATTTGCATGTGAAGTGAAGAGAAGTGAAGAGAAGAGAAGAGAAAAGAGAGACGGTACATGGAATGATGGGGTCGTGGACAGGAGACACTTGGATTGAATACCTACCGTTCAGCCTCTATGCAAAGCCATGGACCATCGCCTATCTTATAGAGAGGCCTTGCGGACACAACAGGAGACATAGGTCAGGTCGTAGGGTGTCTGCAAGCCGTACTCGTCCGCGCTCGTTCCAAGAAGCGGCGGAAACATGATGTCCCGTCCCATATAGACTTCCCCTCTTCCCTCGACATCCATCGCAGGCCGAGTGGTGATGGAAACAACAGAGACGAAAAAAGAAGCAGGGCAGGGCATCGGGAGGTACGTCAGCCGCGGCCCGTCGGCCAAGCACCCGAGCCGAGGAGCAGGGGAGCAGGGGAGCAGCGCAGCGACTGAGGTGGGCACTTGGATTGATTGTTGGTGGGGTGCCGAACATTGCATGGATCCATCATTGTTCTGGATATTAATAAAGGATTTCCGATCATGCACTCCCTGTGCTCCCTCAATATGACCCTCAATCCAGCACGCGCAGCAGCAGCAGCGGTGCACGGTGCTACGGCGATCGACCATGGCTGACAGCTCCCACGTGCAGACACCCACTTCACCCAACTCGGAGCCTTACCTTACCCTGATGCGATTCGTTTCACCATCGCCGCAACTCACCCTCACCCTCATCCTCACCCACAGAGCCCTTACCATCCGGCATCCGCGGAGGACGGCAGGAGAAGGAGGCAGGCGGCATGGCGTGGAATCACCAGAGCCACCAGGCTCCCACCGGCATGGGCGCAACCTTCGTGCCTGGCTCGTTCGACGACGACTACTACATGCCCGTCGCTACTCCGCCGCTGATTGCGCCGGAACCGCAGAGGTAAATATGATCTGCCCTCCTCTGCCCACACATCCTCGTTGCCGTACATCATGAATGCTTTCGGCGCAGAGATCGAGTGGGTTGGATCGCAGGAGGAAACGCTCACATACCGATGGCAGGATCAACCCCGAGATGCCTAACCAGATCGCCGACGGCATCCACAACATGGACCTCAACTCTTCAAAGCGCGGATACTCAAATCTGTCAGAGCTGCACGATCCTCCCCATCTCTCACCCTTCCCGAAGCTCGTCAACCCGCCCCCCAACGTCCCGCCCTCCGACGATGAGCTGGAAACGCGGCTGGAGAATGCGCGCGAGCCCGTACTCAACTCCAACGACCCGGAGATGCAGTTGGCATGGGCTCAAGACGCGCTGACACACTGCGGAGTCTGCGCGGATGAGGCAGAGAGGCTGGCAGCAATGAAGCCTCTCCAGGCCAGAGCCTCGACGCCTCGGATAGAGCATCAGCTCAAGACAGACGCGATGAACATCGTCACCTTCCTCGCCGATCAACATCACCCGCGTGCCGAATTCTTGCGGGGCATGTGGTTGGAATGGGGCCGCTTTGGACAGAGAGAGGACAAGAAGGAGGCATTCCGGTGTTATTCGCGGGCCGCAGACAGAGGCTATGCTAGAGCAGAGTACAGGATCGGCATGCTTTACGAGTCGTACAACGACCCGATCAAAGCCTTACGACACTACCATCGCGGTGTGGACGCAGGAGACTCGGCATCCTGCTACCGACTTGGTATGATGACGATACGAGGCCAGCATGGGCAACAACAGGACCTTGCCAAAGCCGTGGACCTCATTCGAAGATCGGCAGAATCTGCAGACGAGAATGCGGCTCAGGGAGCATACGTCTTTGGCATGTTACTTGCGCGGCAGCTTCCGCAAATCGACGTACCTGAATCATATCTGGAATTCAACGAGCAGCTGGCGAGACAGAACATCGAGAAGGCTGCCTACATGAAATTTGCCAAAGCACAGGCGAAGATGGGGTCTATGTACGAACTTGGCTCACTTGGATGCGAGTTCAATCCGGCGCTGTCCATGCACTACAATGCACTGGCATCGAAACAAGGCGAAGCAGACGCTGACATGGCGCTCAGCAAATGGTTCTTGGTGGGCTCAGAGGGCATCTTCCCCAAGAACGAGGAACTTGCATACACCTATGCTGAGCGAGCTGCGGCAACCGCCCTCCCAACGGCCGAGTTCGCCCTGGGCTACTTCAATGAAATCGGGATGCACGTTGCTGTAAACCTGGACAAGGCATCTGAATGGTATCAAAAGGCGGCAAAGCATGGCAACGGCGATGCCAAAGCCCGTCTTGACGCGCTTTCCAAGAAGCAGGTCCTTTCAAAATCAGACCACGAGAAGGTCGCCATCAATCGGATAAAATCTCAGCATGGTTCCATGAGAGGTCAGCGACCGGAAAGATTTCGGCAAAAGCAGGAGTCTAGTATGGGTACGGTCACGGAAGCTGCGCCTTACGGAAACGCTGCTGTTCGGCTGCCGCCGTCCAGGGGCTCCTCCAGGACTCCATACCCCGAAGACAATGCTCCTCCGAGACCGGACCAGAGACCGGCGTCAGCCGCACCGTACCCCATGGGCAACGGGCCACCGCCAGCAATGGGCCCAATGGGTCAAGGACCAGTGGGTGGCTTCTTTGCCGCACAGCATCCAGAAACGAGACCAGCGTCGAATGTCTACCTACCGGAGATCCGCCCCGGCTCCGCCTTCCAGCTCAATCCGGAGGCTCGACCGAATTCGACGGCAAATGTGCCGATGCAACAAGGAGCACAGCGGCCGTATGGTGGTGGCCTTGCGCCACCTCCAGGCGTGGGTTTCCGACCCCAGACAGCGCAGCCGTACGACAGAAAGTCTTCAGCGCCAGCTCACGCACCCGACGGTCGGCCTCTCCATCCCAATGACCCACGTGCAAGACCCACAATGAACACTAGAGTTGCGTCTGTGCCAGCGGGTATGATGCAGCAAGGACGGCCTCCAACGACAGGACCGCCACCTCCTCCAGGGCCTGGACACCTCTCCCACCAGCCGACTTCTCCTGCCGGCCTAGGTCTATCTCCTTCTCCTCTGAGGCCTGGCGGAATGGACATCGGCTTCAGCGCGCCGCATCAACAACGCCCGCAAACAGTCGATCCTACGTACCAGGAAAAGAAACTCGCAAGGAGAAGAGAATCGGGCAACTATCAACGGGAAAGTATGCCCAACTTCGACCAGCAGCCCCTTTCGCGCCCGGGCTCGAAGCCACCTCCTGGAGATAGGCGAGCGACTCCGAACAGCAGTGGTGGCGCACCAACGCCACCTATTAAACAAGGTGGGCCTTCGCAGGCTCCTCCGAAGACTCAGCCGAATGCGCCGAGGCCGCCTGGCAAAGGACCGAAGACTTTCGAGGAGATGGGTGTTCCTGCGCACGATAAGGACAAAGAATGTGTAAGTGTGATCCGATCCGACGCGAAGGAGGATGATACTAACATTATTGCAGATTGTAATGTGATGTGCTTTACCATCTGCAGCGGCCACTTGGCATGTGAATTGTGGTAGCGTGGCGTTCTGATGATTCCTTCGTGGGCTATGTCGCATAGAGTGGATCTGGAGTCGGGTTACAACACGGTCAGATTGGATTGCATTGGTCTCGGAATGTGACATGTGTTGCTGTATAGCGAGCGTAGGATAAGGTACAGTAGCATTGCATCGCATCAGAAGTGGCGCTAATTCAGGAATGGTCAGCCCCGGGGAATAAATTTGATGCACTGCCCTCGCGCCTGTCCCAGACTGCGCCAGATGCTATACCTTCCATCGCGAGTATCCATTTGTGCGAGTGTCGTTGCAATCGCCTGGCGATGCCGCCGCACTGGAACCTGGTGTAGATCTTTGACATCAGAACTCCAAAACCCTGATCACGGGCCGCGTTTCAGCCATCTCGATCTGTCACGATCAAAGTCTCGTCACCTCAGCCCTACCAAGTCTTCATCAACTCATCCGCCTGCGCTCTTGGGGCCTCGTCGACTGTTTTCTGGCCGCATTTCCTCGCCGGTCGAGCGAATCAGAGGCAGATGATGGATCGACGTGGAATCGGCGAATGGCTTTTGACCGCACCAAGCCTGCCTGAGCTGATCTGCCTCTGGATTTGGACCTGGAGCGACCGGCCACCGTGAAATCACTGATGCTCCCCGGACGAGCATGGCTATTTCGGTACGCAGGACGACTTGGAATGGCGGTTTGCTGGACGTGTGATTCCTGCTCCAGATGAGTCGATGGCAAGTCACCTGGCGCCGTGTGCTCCGCAAATGACTGTGACCACCGCGAGCGGCATCTTGCAGCAAACTTGTGGTCAGCTCCAATACAGTTGAGAGATCGCGAAGAGCTGTGCGATGAGCTTTACGAGGGAGGAAGAGCTGGAGTGCTGGGGAAAATGCCACGCTCGCTGAATATCCTGCTTTCGCGAACTTGCCAGGAGACAATGGAGATTTGGCATCATGTCGTAGTGGCGCCATCCGCGGACAACAGATCTTCCAACAAGAGATGTCTAGTTGGGAACAAAAGCTTCCACTTTCGAGACGCTGATCGCGGCCCGTAGAAGGCATTCAAGACACATGCCAAGAGAGCCGCGGGCATGTCGACCGCCGCAAAACCTCCAGGATATTGCTAGACTACGAGAGTGGAGTATACGAAACACAACAGTACATACGCGGCTTATCATGATACTGCAGGCTCTCAGCTGCTCCGTGTCTATTTCGGCCTCCACAGGGGCGCTATTGCTGCAATGACTTGTCCAGCTAACTGCTTCTGTGTCTTGGCCGAACATGTTGGCGGCGATATGGCGTTCTCGCTGAGCGTTCAACCACAGCGTATCGTCGGATTCGTCGTTTCCGGACGGACTGCAAAAGGATTGCAAGAATTGGGAGCCTGCTCAAGACTTCGTATCGACAAACTCTGAGAGACAATCGGTCCAATGGTCGGGAAGTCCAGAAGTCCAGCATCACTCCATCATAATCTCCGAGGATACTGCCGCTTGCGCCTGGAAATGCTCCTGAAAGCGATGGCCAGGAACAGACATGAGAACTATTCCTGCCAATTCCCAAGAGCGGAATACAACGCCAAGGGATGTGACCAGGGTTCTGTCTCCAAGCAGGGTCGCCGCTGGACCTTACATCAGGAGAGCAAATCAATATCAGTGCGGAATTGCTCCTGGACATCGGCTCCTCCAGCGACGACCAACAAATACACTCATCATGCTTTCGTAAATCGTGGACCCACAGTGCTCTCCAGGCTCCAGCTACTGAACGGCAAAGCCACGCGTGGTAGCAGCCAGACGATAACGATGCGGTATCAGGCGCCAAGATGAACTGCATGATCATCCTCATCCTTGAGAAAGTCTTCGGGGCCCGCCTGCACGTTGATCGGTGGAAAGGGTCAATGAAGGAGCTGTGGGCAAGCGTTCCCTGTGGCTATGGCCTCTGGTCTGGTCAGGCACCGTGTACGTCTCCCCGCAGCAAATTCAGCCGACCGCATTGTTCAGATGGGCACGTCCCGGGCACATACGCAAGGGTCAGACAATGTGCGACAAGGTTTACATTGACATTTGCACTCGTCCAAACTTTATCTTCACGTGCCGGCTGTAATCGTAGCGGTTTCCCCCTTTTCCGCGTAAGGCAATCCTGGTGCACACGGCAACCCCCACAAACTCTATTTGGACCGCAGCAGGCTGCCTGCTTCGGCAGCTCTGATGATTCGATACAACGGGTTGCATGGTCTACACTGGCTCTGGAGATTGCACATCCATGGGGTCGGTCGACTCCATTGCTGCTTTGGATACTGCCGAGCTCTACACTCAAGAGAAAGGTGCGATGGCAATGATGCGTGGTTGGGCCTGTTCGTGCCAGCGATCCTCATCCATGCGTGCATGATGAATACAATGGAGGACCGCAGTCTCGTGTTTCGTAACCTACTCGGGGAACATCTCAGCCATCCATTCATTGTCCACTGCTCACTGGAGTTGTGAACGAGGGTAGACCGTGGTGTCGTTATCGCCTAGGGTCAAATCCAGCGGGGAGATTACTGTTACTCAGACACGACGATGATAGGGGTTGAACGGTATGAAACATCCCCATTGGAGGCACTGCTCCTCGCTCGGTTAACTTTCTCGAGGTCGTTCTATGGTATGGCACTCAGGCAAAGCTCAAGCCATGGGGAAGCCAATCTCACTGTGCAGGACGTACTCATACGACCCCTACCAAGAGTTGAATGAGAGGTGGGTCGACATGCTTTCAAGTCCTCTCAGACCATGCACGCCGCCGCTTGGTCCGGGCTAGCGAGGTATACAGGCCAACGAGGTATAAAGCGTGGACATCTCTGCTACTCCTCCTTCTTCCCATCAGCAACCAACGTACTCACCAGTTGCGACAGCCTCTCTTTCTCCCGTCACTCAACTCCAGTCACTCGTTTTGAGACTACACATCCACGATTATCGGGCTTTCACCTCTCTCTCGCACCTCCGCAAAGACAATGAAGACTTCTCTCCTCGCCCTCCTGGCCCTCGCCAGTCTCGGCTATGCTGCTGAACAGGGTGCTCAGGAGGCCCAAGACGCTCAAGCTCATCAGGCTGACCAAGCTGCCCAAGCCAAGCAAGGCGAACAAGCCAAGCAAGGCGAACAAGCCAAGCAGGGTGGTTATCCTGGCATTTCTGGTGGTTATCCTGGCGGTGCTAGTGGCCCGAGTACGTTCCAAAGTGCAAAGAGCCCGTGTCAAATCAGCTTACATTTTCCCACAGGCCAGTCTTACGACCCTTCTGGCAGCGGCGTGTACCAAGGCGTTGGCTACCTGGGAGGTGGCAGCGGAGATGGCAGCGGAGGTAGCAGCGGCTACCCTCAATACCAACCTCCTCCTCCAGTTCCTCAATACCAACCTCCTCCTCCAGTTCCTCAAGGATATCCACCTGTAATTGCACAGCCACCGTGGGGACCAAGACCACCGACGGGACAAACATACCCACCTGCGGGCTCTCCACTGTGGCCGATAGGATCTCCTTTCGCCGGCCAGGGAACAACTCCATTCTCCAACGAATGCGGAGTTCAGAACAACGGCAATCTCGCGTGCCCAGAGAGCAAGTCCTCAGGCAATGGTATTGCGGATGCACTTGACCCTCTTTCTTGTGTCAGATTGCTGATAGCTCCCGGCAGGTCTCCTCGGCGGTCTCCTCACTCTCGACCTCCGTAAGCAATCCCCTCTCCCCTTCCCCAAACTCTCCATGACCTATTCCCCCCAATCTTTCGACTGACTCTTCCCTCCCTCCCCGCAGTCTCGACTTCCTGCAGCGCGGCCGTCACCTGCTGTCAGAACCAGGGAGCCAACACCAACGGCGCCCTCTTGGGACCCCTCATCAACATCTGCCATCTGCTCTAATGCAGCAGTCCGTCATGACGTCTCACACACCATCACGACGACGACTTCTTGCATAACGGTACGGCGGTTACGACGGACCATCTTGAGTGTCTGTTTCTTTTTTTATTAGAGTCGGCCTCGTCTCTCTGAGAACCAACATCAGTGGGGGCGCGACGGGTTTCACTTTCTTGAACGTCCGGCTCCAACAAACGAGTGGCTGACCTGACCTGGCCCTGGCCCTGGCCTTGAGGGAGACCTGATCGCCTACTTCGCTGGGTGTGAAAGTGTCTTTGTTCTTGTGTCCACAGGACAGGACAGGACAGGCTGCTCTCGCGTGTTGCTTTCGGGGCGTGGTAATCGGGAGGCGCATTGTAACCCCAACAGCTCCGGTTTCAGATCTTGATGCATATAGTATAATATCCAATGTTGAGGTTTTTTGTCTGCCCAATTCCTTTTTTTTTCCTTTTAACATTACATTATATACATTTTGTTGTCACCTCTCAGCATCCATGTCATGCCTCCTGCTATCTGCCTACCAACCTCCTTCGTGGTGGTTCCACCAGCCTTCATTGCCACCACCCTGGCCCCACTGCTTGTTACCACAAGACGGGCCGTCCAGCGAGACCACCAGATCCTCTGCCCATGCTCCTCCGGCTTGCTTCGTGATGGTCTCCAACCCGGTGATGTACAACGCCTTACCATCACAGGATGCCTTCACTCCCGAGGCCTCGCTGCCGCAGTCCCTCCCACCGATCGTGACGCACACGCTCCGAGGGCACGCTCCCGTGTAGCCAGCGATGGTAATGTTCGCCAACGGATTGCCATCCTGGTACTGACCGCTAGGCTTCGCGTAGAAAGTGTCATTGGTAAAGCGGAAGTCCACAGTCTTGGTCGCGCTCTGCACCAGCGAGATGCCATCGTCGAGGAACAGCGTCCCGCTGGCTTGGGACTCCTCATCCAGCGCGACGATGATATTCCACGGGTTGAGACGCGAAGTCTTGGTGGTGTTTCCGGGCTTCTGGGTGGGGATGATGTAGCCTCCGCGGATGTGGATGGGTTGGTGGGTGATGGGTGCGTCCAGAGTGACGTTCTGACCGGGCGTCGCGTTGACTTTCTGGTAGTCGTAGAAGTCGTACCACACGGTTCCTGCTGCGATACCCGGGAAGACGCCCTGTACCGTCGTAGCCAGAGGGGCGAGGACGGGCGTGATGAGCAGCGCGGGCCCGGACATGAACTGCGTCTCCACGGCGGCGAGTTGAGGCTCGTCGGGGAATTCCCATGCGAGGGCGCGGAGGACTGTCTGGCCCACGGTGTGCGCTTGGTGGAACAGAGTGTACGTGTACGGCAAGAGCGAGTATCGGATGTTCATGATGATGCGGGTGCTCTGCGCCGTCGTAGCCCAGATGTACGCCTCTTGCGCGATGGTGTTGCGGTTGTTGTGGTTACGGTACATCGGGTACCACGCGCTCAATTGCATCCATCTTGTGCAGAGTTCCTCGTCGGAATTGCCGTTGAAACCGCAGGTCTCGACGCCGAAGAAGGGAATTCCGGCGATGCTCATTTGTAGGGCCTCTGGGATGCCGTAGTACATGTTTCCCCATTTGGAGTTGGTGTCGCCTCCCCAGTGGCCTGCGAATTGGCCACTGCCAGCGAATGTGCTGCGGAGGATGAAAAAGGGGCGTTTCCCGTTGTAGAGCGTTGTGAGGGCGTTGTAGGTCGCATTGCCAGAAGTGTGGCCGTAGAGATTGTGCAACTCATATTCCGTGCTGTTGTAAGGACCATCGTTGTGGGTTGCATCGGGAGAGATGACCTGCTTTTGGAGCGAATGGCCGGGCAAGAAGTTGTTGATGGCGTATGGAGGGTAGGTCAGGTTCCTGACGCCTGGAGTTGGCAATGTACGTCCAAGGACAGGAGTAGGCGTGGCACTTGTACTGGGATACGCCGCGGATTGCGAAGCGGCTGCTGCACTAGCTGAGGCTGCTTCAGAGGCATTGGTGATCTGGAACATCTCCGGGTAGCGATAATCGACTGCGATGGAAGTGTTTGGGTCGCCTGGAAGAGCAAAGGGGACGTGCGCTGGGTTGTTAGCAATGTTCCCCGTGCCACAGCTTCCCGTGCAGAACGAGGTTGCATCGGCGACATCGAGCCAGAAGCCGTCGAATGAGATCAAGTCATGGAACTGGAGAACGGTCAGTGACATTCTATCGTGTCATTTCTTAATCTTACTCTCTTGATCTCGTCGGTCCAGAACTTCTCGCCATTCGTTCCTGGTGCAGCATCCAGGAACACGCTGTAGCCTGGCCATTCATCCCCCTCGTAGAAACTCTGATTGTCTTTGCGAACATAGGCGTTCAAGGCAGCCCCTCGGTCGTAAGTAGGGTAAGCATCACTGGCGTTTTGCGGGTTTGGAATGTAGACATTGGGATCGAGAATAGGCACCCAGTATTGACCGTTGGCATGCAGGCGCGCCAAGAACTCTCGACCTGGTTCAAGATCATAATGACCTGGATTGAGCGTGAAGATCCGATCGACTAAGAGATAATCGAGATCACTCATGACTGACTCCAGTTGGATGTTTTGCTGAGCGTACAGGTCGATGACGTCCTGCAGGTTGGTCCAGTTCTGGTATCCCTACATCGAGAGTCAGCAGTGGTGGTGGATATCGGGAGGGAGAACTTCAACTTACCCAACGAACTTGGTGGAAACCGAGGGCCCAGTATGGTTGCATGCCAGGTGTACCAACAATACCGGTATGATACTGTGCGATGGCTTGCTTCGGCGTGGGTCCGCTCAAGAAGTAGAAGTCGAAACTGCCTCCGATGGTCCTGTAAGTGACTCGCTCGTTGCGAAGAAGCCAATCTTGACCATGTGCATTGCGAGCGTACACGCCATGAGAGGTCGAAGTTCCGTTACCATAGCGGGTCTCCAGATACATTGGGTGCGTGTCATGACCATTGACGTCAATCTCCTGATCATTGTCGAGATTGTACGCGTTCCAGAATGTTTGAGTGAAATTGTTACCGAGTCTGAAGGAATGAATATACGCTGCCAATCCATAGATGTTGTAGTTGGGCACCATGGCAGTCGTAAGTTCCAGAAACTGGTCTTCGAAGATGATATTACTGCCGTATGTGTCGAAGATGACTTCCCCGGAGCTTGTCCTGGAGATGCGAAATTGGAAGCTGGGTTCGTTGCTCCAAGTGAACTGAAGATCACTGGTAGATTTACTGGCATTCGCTTCTTGACTTGGTAACGGAGTCAGATATTCCGAGAGCATGTACAGCGATTCGTTGTATGGCGCGAGGTACTTGGGAAAGATGCGGACTGCGAGGCGCTCTTTGCTTTGGTACTCCACATCCAAAGTGAGGTGTTCGATGTCGTTTCCGTAGACGTTGCAGGCGGGCCCGGCCATGGTCAAATCTGCAGTGACACCTTTGTCGCTCTCCTTGACGTTCGAGGCGGTGTATCCGGGGCATTTCGCTGACAAGCTATGAGAAATCGCCGCCGGATAGGCATAATACGACTTACATTGCGCATTTGGAGCTGTCAGGTCGTTGACATTAGGCGTAACGCTTGGTCTGTTGCAAGCAAGGTGAGCAACGGGCTTTCCCCCTCCACATCTTGCACTCACGCGTAGTTTGCTGTCGCCGGGATCATAGGACGAGCTGGCGTAGGCGGGAAGGCCGGAGGATACTGAGGCTTCTGCGCCTGTGCCAGGAGTGGCAACAGGGCCAGCGAAATGATTGAAGGAAGCATCTTGTACCTACTCTTGGTGAACAAGATGCCAGAACTACAGGATGAGGTCGAGGGACGCGTCGGCGCGAGGACTCAAGTAGTGGCATCTACAGAGTGTACCATCACACGCCATAACTTAGCCGTCCAGCCGGTCAACCGGTCATCGACTCTCAAACCGACTATCTTCGGACGTTGAAATTACCATCCAAGCACAGCAAGAGTTTGTCCGGTGCAAATTAAGTGATCGCCCGAGTTGCTCCTCGCAAGGTGTGATTGCGCCAGCCCCGTGTATTTGGAACGGGAGGCGGTATCCCGCATCTTGCAGACTTGTGTGAGCCGGAACCGGGCATCAGAGTGCGCATCGTCGCAAGTCTGCACCTTGTTGTGGTATGGACGGACGTTGCAGCGGGAGGCTCGTCTCAAAGCGTTGGAAGTGATGGAACTTAAGCTTTGCGAGGTGCGGAGAAGCTTTTCTAGCGTTGATGCATCGTGATCATCACGTGAAAAGAGCATGGACTATCTTGAGCCTTAGGGTTACTCCAATCTTGACTCCTTAGGGTCGCTTGGGGTTAAATAAACATGTGGGATCTATCTGCATATCCTCCACGACCTTCCTCTACATCTGCATCGCCATCGCCATCGCATCGGCTTCAGGTTTAAACAGAAGTTCACCGTCTGCCTGCATGACTGAAAGTCTGTATGAGTTGTCTCCGAGGATGCTTGGCTAATTGGCAGTCCCGATATGCGTCTCCCTGAGAAAGAAACCAACAGAGTTTCGATGTCTACATGATATGCACCGCTGTCTTGCTAGGCCCATATCGCGGCGTCACCCATATCCATATAGTATTTTTCCAATTCCGACATCGTCGTTAATCTAGCATTGCATACCGAGCTGCCGCACTGTTAGTAAAACACAGAAAATGCAACCAGTAAGCCCTTCTGTCACATGTCAGCTTATCACATCCTCCAGGATCCTCGTACGTATCTCACTTCTCGCTAACGTACAAAGCAGAGCGCCATCTTCACTAGTTGGAGGAGAGAAACCCGCTTCTCCTGTGTTCACTCAAGTCACCTACAGCCGCCTTGATGTCTGCTACATACCAAGCCCAAATCCTTCAAAACTTCCTCTCCGGCTGGAAAGGATGGAATAAGTAAGCACTAGCTTGCTTCGACGACAACAACTTTCAGCAATCAACACTTCCCACTGCTCTCGGCATTCCTCCACGAAGTAAAAGTGAATCCGATCAGGGGACGGGAGGCTTGATGAAAGTCATATCAGATTACTAGGTAGTTCTAGAGTCCTCGTCTCAATTCGGTGGCTTTGCGCTGATTCCGTTCATGGCAGTTGACAGTCAACCACACGGTGCACAACCCCGACCAAAGGGAGACTGCAGTATTCGCCTCGTCCAAAGGTAACACATCTTGGGGTCCATTCGCGATGGAATACGGCAAGTCATCAAGTTTTCCGAATCTGGCACGTCTATTGCGAAGCTAGGGGATATGCTTGATTCGGCGTCGGCTCAGGATGACTTTTCCAACTTCCAGAGGTACATGCAAGAAGAGCAAACCGACGCTCAGTGAATGAAGAGAGGTGGAAGGTCTTGGCCAATTCTCGATGAGGGTAGCTTGCATACAGCGTTCATGCAGAGCTTCTCAATGCAACAGTACAAATGTACAAGTACGCACTTGCGCTTCTCGAATCCATATCAAAAGCTTGAAGACCGAGGAGATTCAAGCCGGCATCAAGCCCTAGCAACGCGCTGAAAGGAATGGGTATCATTACAGATGAGTGCCAAGCTTTAGAGCTCCTGGCCATTGAAGTTCAAATTCGTCTGCCCCCGTTCGGGATCGCCCATCCTATCGTAATGTTAGTGTCCGAACACGCGAAGCCTACGATCACTGGAGCACTTACTTGTGAACCTTCACATCCTCATTCACCTCCACACCTCCCATAGCCTGCGGTGAGATAAGAATGAACTGTCTCCCCACACTTCTTCTCGCCGCGCCGATCAACAATGTCATGCTCTGCTGACGGTTGACACTGTCCATGAAGACATCGAACTCGTCCAAGCAGCGAATAGGTGAGCCCATGGCCTCCCAGATGCTGAGCAGCAGGCAGATGGTGGAGAAAGACTTCTCACCACCGGAGAGTGTCCGTGCTTCGCGTCCAGAGTCGGACTTCCGGGAGAGATCCGGCTCGACGGCGATATCCAGTTTCTTGGCCAAGTGATCCAACAGAACTCGTCCACGGAAGTTTCGCTCGCTGAGCAAGTATTGGAAGTTGATCCTGGAGCGTGCGGATATGTATTTGCGGAAGAGCCCCCAGCGTCGGTGACGCTCTCTGAGCGTATCCTTCAAAGTCTGCTTCCACGTTAGCAAATGGGTTGAATCGACAGGAGAAGGATGATCTTACAGCTTCAAGCTTCGTAAACTCTGCAATTTCGAGCTTGGCCTTTCGTAACTCGTCAGAGGCCTGCTTCCACGCCACAGTCAGTTGCTCTCTCGTGCCACCCTGGCGACGCTCGGCATTCTCGATCTGCTCCCTGTAGCTCGCAGCTTTCCTCTCCAGTGACTCGGCCGTCTCACCCTGTGGTACTGGCAGCCGATCGCAGACCTTCTTTGCGTTGTCGATGAACTCTTTGTGGAGGGTCTCATCCTGTTCATCGACTTTCCTCTGCATGCGGGTCGCATACGCTTTGGCATCCTGGAGGGCGTCGTGGACCGCATTCTTCTCGAGCAACTTTTCGTGACGAATTGCTTCGGCGTCTTGTACTTTTTGCTGGGCTTTTTCGATGCGCTTATTGACCTCGTCCAGTTCTGCTTGGGAAACATCCAGAGCATCTTTCAAAGGCCTCGCTTGCTCGTCAAGGCGCGATGATGCAGCGCAGGAGTCTTCGAATGACTCTCTGGCGGACTGCTTGTCTTTCTTGGCGTCTTCCAGTTGTCTCTGAAGCTCCTGCAGCTTTCCATCCTCTGGTGCGTTCTCGTCGATCTCGGCTTGTTTGGCCTCGACAGCGTCTTCCGCCTGTTGTCTCTGCGTCAAGAGTTTCTTGGCTTCTCGCTTATGGCGTTCGACGGCTTCTCCAGCTTTCTTGAGATCGCTCTGGAGCTGTCGATAGCGATCACTGGCCTCGTTCCTGTCCTGAACAGCGCGATCGATCCGCTCCTGTTGTATGCGCTTTTGCTCTGCGAGATCTGTCTTCATTCTCGTATGTCCATGCCAGGCCTCTATAGGCGACGACCTGAGCGCATGCATTCGCGATCGGTCGAACCTAATGCCACAGCCATGTCTGGGCGCGAACGATAGAACGGCCTTGACGTTCGCGTTGTTCTTTTGGAAGTAATTCGACGCTTCGTTGTTATTCCTGATCAATACAGTCTGCTCAATCGCGTTCTGGATGATGAGCGATTTTCGTACTTCTTCGTCGTCAATCTTCAGGACTCTCAAGATGGTGTCGACTCCTTCTTCGGGCTCGTTGAGTGCCGGCAGCGCAGCGCTATTGTTGACGAGGATTTGGGGATTACAGCCGACTCTCCTCGCGATCCCACTGAGCCGTACTTGATCGTCCTTGTGTACAACAATAAATGCGTTGAGATTACCGCCGAGGGTCTTCTCCAGGATCGACGACCACTCCGGCTTTTGCAAGTGGACGTACATGCCCATCGGCCCGACCGGCTTCCTCTCCCAGCGAGTGTCCTTGTTTATCTCTCGCAAGAGCTGTTCAGTCTTCGGATCGTAAGCAGCAAATCTGTTACGCTGGTCACCTTCAAGTTCCATCATGCGTTGTTTCGCGGTACGCGAGACCTCTTCAGCTCGCTCATATGCCGTCTTCGCGTTTTTGACTTGCGAAGTAGCATTGGCGACATTCTGCTGAAGATCTGGCAAACATGCTGCGTGATCTTTCTCAGCCTGTTGATGTTGTTTGGCATCCTCTTGAAGTCTTTTAAGGTCCTCCGTACGTCTCAGGTGCTGCGCGCCATCAGCTTCTGACAAGCGTGTCTGCTCGGCCTGGATCTCGCCGTCCAGGCGATCCACCTCTTGACGAGCCTTCTGGAACTCTTGGTTCATGTTGCGCTGCTCCGCCTTGAGGTTCATGAGTTGTTGTTTGTTCGCATCAAAGCGTTCCTTCTCTACGCGATGCTTTTCCTGCGCGGGCTGCAGCTCATTATCACGCTCTTCCAAGACACGCTCAGCCGCCTCTTTTGCAGCCTCGAGGCCATCATATTCGCCGTCAATTACCTGAACATCCTCTTCAGCCTCCTCCAGTTTCTTCTCAGCATCGACGAGATTCCGTCTCATCCCTTCCAATATGCTTTCTTGCTCTTCTACCTGGGCCCAGGCACTCTGGTTGGACGCTTGTCTCATTCTGGTGCGGACTTGTTCGATGTTGTCGGCCTGCTTTTTCTTCTTCTCCGCCTCTTCGAACTTGTGCTTCAGTACAGTCACGTCGTCATGCCGAAGGCTCAGCTTGTCTTTAATGCCGTCGAGATTCTCTTCGAATATCTTGTAATCGTTGTCAAGGGCCTCGAGCTGCGTGCCGCGGAGGAAGAATTTGTACTTGTCGGCAGCAGTGCTGTTGGCGAGAAATTGACGTGCGTTGTCCTGAGATAACACGTTGATGGGGTTGTCCATCTGCAAGCCAAAGTAGTCCAGGATGTCGTCAAGATCGCCCTTCTTGGTGGAGATGGTCTTCCCGTCGGCGTTCTTCAGCTTGAACCCGCTGCCTCCGTTCTTCGTAAAGTGGCGCTCAACCGTAATGCTGTGGCCGTAAAGCTCCCATTTGTACGCATTCTCGCCTCGATTCTTGATCTTCACACCAAGCATTGCGCTGTCAGTGCCCTCTTTGATCATGCTTGAGAGTTTGCTTCCGCGATTGGTTGCAGCAGCTCTGCCTCCCAGACACATTGTCAAAGCTGTGAGGACGGCACTCTTTCCACTACCGTTGTGGCCAATGATGAAGTTGATGTTGGGTCCCAGAGTGATGCGGAGCTTGGTGTGACACATGAAATTGCGGCATGTCACTTCTTCGATAATGCCTTCATCCATGGCAATATTGTCGCGCTTCTCCTTGAATTTCTTCCCGATGTGTTGTGTAAACGCCATCTCGTCAATCTCGTCCTCTTCCTCCTCCATCTCGCTATCGGCGTTGTGCAGACTATGCTCAAGGTCGGCGTCGATGCGAGGAGGGCTCGGACTGTTGGGCTCATCTTCGACGTCGGTGTCGTTCGGACTCTCCAGTAGATCGTCGTAAAAGTCCTTCTGGCCAACTTCGCGGGCCAGAGCAGTCCGGTTGCGCTTCACACTCTTGTTGCTCTGACGGAAGCTGGACGACGCGCTCTCGATCTCAATCTCCTCTTCCTCTTCAGCACCATCCACATCTTCGGTAGGCCGCGTCCGCTTTCGCGCCATGATGACTGCGTGAGATGTTGTGTGGTGTTGTAGGTGTGTGCGCTGAGTTGAAGAAAGTGGATGCAAGTCAGACGCGTGAGACCGCGTCTGTGGGGCAACTTTAAATTCGCACGGGCCTCAGCTCGCTTTCACGTGCACAGTGGAAGGTCTTTCTGTCGGAACACCGTCCCATACTTCTTGAAGAAGGCGAATACCTCCTTTGCATCATTAGAATTGCCGTATCGCTAATAAACTATCTTTAATTTTCACACCGTACTCAGGCTGCCAGATTGCCACCTCTTCCCCTTCATGACCGTGGTGATGGCATGGCGAATGATGATGCCCGCCTTTTCCGTCTCCTTCTTCGACAGTCCAGTCGTGATACACACCTTCAACGCCGCTCGAGGCTGCCACTCTTTCTCCAGATCCTTGGGCGCCATCCCTAGAGCCAGAGGCATGGACTTCAAACGCGTAATGAGAACGCCATTCGCGAGGCACTGAGAGGCGGAGTCAGCACGGAAAGGGATAAGAAACTTCATCTCGACTTACTTCGTCCACGCAGTCTTGAAACAGATGTTCTTGGTCAGCCCTCGAAAGGCCTCTATCTCGGATATGTTGGTCCTTCAATACAAGTAGCACCACAGGATTCTCAGCAGCGCTTGTACACCGGACCCAGTCGCTGCGAGGATCGAGCTGGGCTCTCATAGCCCGAATGTTCTCACGCAGATTCTGAATGATGGACGGCTCCTCTTGCAGGATCGTGACTGTCTCCGATGCAGTGGTGGCCAGAAGTGCAGGCAACGCCGCGGAAAATGTGTACGCCGCGGCTGACAATCGCTGATGCTCCACAATCTCCTCACTACCCGCGCAAAAGCCTCCACCGCTTGACATGCAACCGGCCAGACCACCAATGATCATGTCAACATTGTTAGGATCGACGTTCTGGTGTTCGGTGACGCCCTTTCCAGTACGGCCCAGGATTCCATACGACCAAGTCTCGTCCAGGATCGCACGGAACTTGTACTTGAGCTTCAGCTCGATGAGTTTCGGCAGGTCCACAACATCTCCAACGTTCTCGAACAGACCCTCCGTGACAATGAAACGTCTTGTTAGCGGTTTACCGTGGCCTTCCTTCACGACCTTTGCTAGCACGCGCTCCAGATCTTCCATATCGTTATGCTCATACCATCTGACCGTGCTTCGGGAAATTTGGAGTCCTTTTCGAATGGGATAGTTGACCGCCTTGTCTGCAACTATAACGTCACCTCTTTTGCTGAAAGCTGGGATAACACTGCTGACGGTCGAGAAGCTTTGCGCGTAGATAATGGCAGCCGGCATACCCAAGTGTGCGGCGATGTCCGCCTCGCTCTTCATGTGCACGTCCTGTGTTCCGTAAAAGCCAGGAGGCGAGCAGGGCCCAACACCGTAAGTTCGCACAGTATTCACCGCTTTGGCCGTGAGCTCTGGATTGGAGGCGAAGTTGTAGTGATTGTAGCTTGCCAAGTTGGTGACTGTTCGTCCATTCTGTAGCTTGGTTTTGGCGCCTGCTGGCCCAACTATGACTGGCAGCTTCTCGTTCTGCAGCTTCTCGAATTCCGTCTCTTCGCTCGCCAAAGGTTCTGGGGTCCAATCTTCCACCAATTCATCGATCTCATCCTCTGTCAATGGCACATTCTTCGTCTTCTTGGTGCTGTACGAAGGAGCAAGGAGATAGCGCACAGCGAAGACGAAGAGGATCAACTCGATGACGCTGCGGACTGGGTCGTTCTGATAGGAGGAGCGGATATATCGGATCACGATGGCGGAGCCTGGGATCTTCTGAAAAGAGGCAGATACATTGTCGATGAAGGCGAGTGCGCTGGATGGCAGCTCAGAGCCAGCGAAGTTGGCGAAGGACGAGGTCATATTTGATGGAGGGACATTCGCGGGAGGTAGGGGCTCTGGGTCGCTCTTCGGTAGCGCATTCATGAGCTCGTGATGGTCGCGTTCGTTTGTCAAGGTCACCGCGTTCGTCGCATATTCTCTGGGTCGTGTATGTCGTTTCCACAGGCCGTCCGTCCCCTAGGTAACTCCAGTAATGTCGATGTCAATCATCCAGTGGTTGACAGCCCGTGAACTCGCAGCGCACGGCAGCCCGAACCCGAGCTGCTTACTAACAGGATGGAGTGAAACATCCCACTTGCAGCGAGAGGACATGCTTGCCCTTTCCGAATCGACATGATCCTGTCCATATCAACGGAGAGGCGTGTGAATCGGCACGTCGGCACCCACAACATCTGTTGCAGACACGTGAAGATGCCCTCCTGGATGTCGACATCACGAGACTGCGCGTCTCTGTTCCTGCAGGTGGACCCATGTCCCCGCAACCCGCCGGCCTCTCGTCTGTTGAGGCTCAAGCCATACCAGTAACGACTTCGCTCGCCGGCTTTGTTGCGCAAGAAAATTTCCAGCTGCTGTTGCCGTGTCTCTCGCTGTCGCCAGGCTCTCTAAGCTTGACACCGAGCCAAGTCGCGTCCGGACTGGCTGATTTGGATGGAGAGGTATGGTACGCGCCTGAAGAGTGTCACGTGCCCTCCAGACATCATTTCCTAGACCTGTCATGGTCATACTGCACCGATAGACGTCTACACCCAACATGGACTTCTTTAATGAAATACTCGACGTGGGCCGCCGTGCCACGGTCGACGTCCTCCAGAGCACTGGCATCGAGGACGACTCTCCCTTCTCCCCCGAAGTGCCAGAGGATCTACGCCACAACATGCCCGACCTCTTCGACCGTTTCCCCCTGGTACTCCCCTGGACCAAGACGCAGCCCATCGACCCTGCGATTCACACGGTCTGGATTCTGGACAACACCGCGTTCAGGACACCTCAGCCGGGTGACAAACGACCCAGTCTGGGCCAGCTGGTGGACAAGAGCGACGCGCAACCTGCACGGATAGGAGAAGATGGCTTGGTGCAGCCTGTCCGAGCGGGTAGTGGCTGGGAGGTGGAATTCGTCGCCTGCTACTTCATCAAGAACTCCGGTCGTGATGTAGCCCGTGTTGTGAACCGTATCGCAAAGGAGCTGCAAGTCTCCGACGACGACGTACGTCTAGTATTCATACGAATTTGAGCTATGATTTCCCGACAGCAGCTGACTGGACCAGACTGCCACCCACAAACGTATATCTGATCGTCTACAACCCTTCGTCGAATCTGTCCTTCCAAAGCGCAAGCTACGCATCTCCATCGACGACAAGGAGCAGCAAATACTAGGCCCATCGTCATACTCCGGAATCAGCTCTGGCCTGCATCAACTGCACTTCGACCCAACAACTACTCGACATTTCCAGTCGCACCCTGTATCGTTGCCTCCGCCCTTCGGCATTCCCAGCACCACGATCGCCGCCGAAGAACGTGGCTGGGGCGTCATTAGCGAGTACGTGGTGCCTACGGTAGATGTTAACATACAACGCTCACGACTGACATCTAATCGCAGCATCGACGATACGATCAAAGTGACAATGACGCCCTCTCCCACCGGCATTCTTCACAGTACTTTCATCGTCGAACATCCGGAGCCAGTTGAAGGAATGCCGGCTCTTTATGCGCACATTCAATCCACTCTTCAAACACCACCCTTCTTCTACCTGTCAGCCAGTCCATACAACCTGTACCCTTTCTTGCGCAATTTTCGAGAGCGGCACTACCCACAAGGCACAATGATGCTCCGCGACGCAAGCTGGCAGAATCTTGGTGGCCTCATCGCATCCCTCAACGAAGGCACAGAAGCCTACAAAGTGGACCGCATGGTCAAAATCCACTCTTGGTTCCCTCACAGACGTTTTGTTTGCATCGGTAACAGCACTCAGTCGGACCCAGAAAGCTATGGCGATATTGCACGCAAGTTTCCTGGATGGGTTAAAGCAATTTTCATTCGTCGAGTCACCGGTATTGCTGAGATGGACGAGAAGAGCAAGAACTCTACGGAGCGATTCGAGCAAGCATTCAAAGGTCTTGATCGGCCACTTTGGCATGTTTTCAACGATCCGAGCGAGCTGGTGGAGATGATCGATGCTTTGAGCGAGGAGAATGTGATGCAATGAGTCTGATAGAACTGGAACCGCGATGTACGGGCCGCGATTGCATCTGAGGGACTTTTATTGAGCATGCTGGATTTGTTTGATCTGATTTGCCCTTCGTAAGGGGTCACGGCGAGCACGAACCTATGAGCTTGTTGCTCGCCTCTTGAGACTGCGACACTCATAGATTCACTTTCGAATATGGAGCTGGATCAGGTTGGCAGCCTGTCAAATGATGGGATCTACCTATCTAGTCAGACAGCCCAGCAATCAATGAATATCGTTACATGCAGGAGATAAACAAGACCCAGCAACATATGTATAGGCTTGATCACGTCTGTGAGAGCGTTGTGTGGCCACCACGCGTCCCTTTTTTTGCAGTTTGAGAGAGGTCCTGCTATGGCAAGTTGCAGATTCATTCCATCGTAATACGTCTTGCTACGGTCAAGCTAACGTGACTCCAGATATTCTGGCGTCTTCATTAATGTCCTTCTCATAGCCTTCGGCATGCCATACATCAGATGACATCTAATATCGTTTCCGTCAGGTTTCCCGTTGCCCATTCATAAACACACTTTTTGCATAGACGAGGTAAGACGCTGCGTCGGCGACAACCCGTAATGGTGCTTGTCGCCGCCATCAAGCCTTCTCTTCCTTGTATTTCGACTGGCACTGGCACTGGCACTGGCAGGGCGCAGCATCCTTCTTCTTCTTTGCAGCTTCTTCCTCAACAGCTTGATCGATCCTCCACAACGCCTCGGCCTCCTTGATATCCTCCGCGGCAAGTTTTCCATCCGTCTTGCGTGTGATCTCCCTAGCGGCCTTTTTCAACGCCTTGAACATCTCATCCCTATCCTTGATACGATACGACAAAGCGGCAAAGTTGTGCAGAAAGGGCGTGCAGCAGTCCAGCGGGTGATTGGGGAGTCCATCGGGTTGATTCTCGCGGCGGAAGAAGGTATTCGTGGTTTGGATCTTGATGCCCAGGTTGTGCGCAATGGAAGCCAGAGCTTCGTCACGCTCTTTACGTCCTGCTTTGCTGAGGGAGAGGTATGGTTCGTTGATATTGGTGTTGCCGAGAGTTGACGAGGTGCGGATGGCTCCCTTGGCCTTGGGGCGGAGCTGAGGCTTCACCAGTGCGGCCTTCTTGTTCTCGATCGCTTTCGTAGGGCCGCATGATGTTGGGCCAGTAGCTGTAGGCATCTTGGCCTTTGAAGCAGCTGGCTTGCTCAGGTTGAAGTGGTTGCGAACGTCGGCGGGTTGGGCAGTCTTGCTCATAGCCTGGCGTTTGGCGTGTGGCTGGTCAGAACTGTCTGCAGAGGCTGGTCGTTTGTGGTTCGGCGGAGTGCTCGTCGATAGAGCCATGGTCGGTGGTGCGTACTTATTAGGACAGCTCGGTCTTTTGTCGATTGACTGCCTGTCGTGGAGAGGCAGAGCGCGAGTTGCAGTAGGTGGTAGTTGCAACTAAGGTGATCTAGTTCTGATGAGAAAAGGTGCAGTTCGGAGGACAGGAGGCGGCGACGTGTTGTGATCCAAAGGTGGCCAGAAGCGATGTATATATATTATGGCTCATAGATGCTGGATAGCTTGCGCCGTCCACGGGAACAGAACCAATGGAAAGTGAATGTTGCCGCGAACGATATCGATGCGACATGAAACAGCAACGCTAACAGACACTGGTGTTGTGTGCCTATAGTGTCATGAATTCATGAACCATGATAGTGGACCTGCTCGAAAGTGCTAATGGTAGCGGAAACGTCTCACGGAGAAAATTCACCGATGCTCAATCGTTATCGTATGCCTCGACTGCTCTTGACAGTCCGGAAGAGCCATGCCGTTGGGTTGGCACGCAGGTGCAAACGCAGTCGGCCGACCCGGCCGTGTTGCGCAACGCGGGACATGGGAATTGGCCTTGTTGCGCAACGAGTGCCGGGTCAACACATGAAGGTTGTCAGTGTCAACGCCAATCCAGCCACATCCGGGAGTCGCCATCTCGCTGACGTGGAGTATTGCGATCGAATTCTCTCGCCTTGCCGCGCGGTAATCGGAATATCCAGGGCCAGCAAGTCCGTTGCGTGGCAGGTCGAGACTTGAGACCTGAATGAATGCTGCGGATAACCCTCAGGTTGTCATCAGCAGTGCAATGTAGCTACAGAGAAAGTCCTCGAAGGTCAATCAACATTCAGTAGCAGACGTCGTCTTAATGAATCGCACCAGAAACCTCGGCTCAACGTCCATAACCTCAAGATTGGGTGTTGTCCTTAATCCCAGATGACGTGACCCGACACTCTCGAAGATGATAGGCCACGTCACTGACCTACCTCCTGTATCGCGATGCAATTCTCGCTGTCTGCAGCATCGTCCATCTCGACCATGTAGTATGCCCTTCAGTCTGCGGACTCTCACGCAAAAGCTATACACCTTGATGTTGCGTGAATCGCATTGGATTAGCGACCATCAAGATACCGTCCCGTTTGAAACATTCCTGAACTCCATGATATGTACAAATGAGCTTTGTGAGCTTGGGTTTTGCATCTATTTCGTTACATTCGAGGGAGTCACGGCGTATGTCGGCCGCACGAACCTATCCACAGTCAGTATCGTTTGAAACATGTCCCATGGAATTGAAGCCCCGAGGATTCCATACTTGTCGCTGTTGTATACTGGGACTTTCTTGCCCAGAAGCTCCTCCTCCATCTTTTCCTGCGCGAAGTGTCTCCGCACGACATCGCGGTCCTCCTCGGCCTGTAGTAGAGGGTTGAGGTAGATTCGTGACCACATCTTTTCACGTGCCAATTCGCTAAACCGTCTTGGTCAGATATGATCTGTTCTCCGTGTCTTCCGCGTGCATATAAGCCCCCTTACTTTTGCTCTCTGATTCCCTGGCCGACTCTGTAAAAGCCGTATGTCATGATGCCGGCGACGGCGGCGAGGTAGTACGCGGGTCTGAAGCCGCGGACGGGGAGGTTTCGACGGTATTGGACAGGCTCGTAGCCGCCCGTGGGCGGCATGTCCTGAGGCATGATTGCGGTGGTGAGGGCGTGGTATTGGGTGAGGAGGTCGCTGTGATGCGCTTCAGACCGGAGGTGTTGTTGCCAACGGCCAATGGCAGCTGCTGCGTTGGAGGCCCTTGGCGGAATCTTCGGCTCGGACCGTGGCAGGCCGATGCTTCACGAGCTCGAATTTTTGCGAGCTCCAAATTCGAAGCATCCGCAACAGACAGCAGAGGATAAGGCACATGGACAATTAATCCAACCCGGAACACGCCGTCACCATATCTCATTCGCACACGACACCGGACGAGTCCTATTGATTGCCCACCATGTCGGGCGTCGACTACCTCCTCCACGAATCCTCAGTGGGATACGCCGTGTTCAAGGTGAAGCTGCAAGCAGACACTGTTGGTGCCCGCCTGAAGGAAGTTCAAGATGCGCATGAAGACCTGAGCAAATTCGGCAAGATGGTCGAGCTCGTCTCCTTTGCGCCATGGTCTGGAGCTGGTCATGCATTGGAGAATGCCAACGAAGTCTCCGAGGGCATCATGAGCGACTATCTGCGCACTACACTCGAAGCGAACCTGCCCAAAGCTGGCAAGAAGAGCAAGGTATCACTCGGTGTGGGTGACAAGAACTTGGCCAACAGCATCAAGGGCGGGTTCCCGGGTCTGGATCTTGAGACGCCAGAGACCAGCGAAGTCGCAGCCGACCTCTTGCGAGGAATCAGATTGCACGCCGAGAAGCTGCTGAAGGACTTACAGGCTGGCGATATCTCGCGCGCCCAGCTTGGTCTTGGACACGCCTATTCGCGCGGTAAGGTCAAGTTCAGCGTACAGAAGAACGACAACCACATCATTCAGGCAATCGCGACAATCGACCAACTGGACAAGGCGGTCAATACCTTCTCCATGAGAGTCCGTGAATGGTACGGCTGGCACTTCCCAGAGCTTGTCCGAATCGTCAGCGAGAATCAAAAGTACGCCCAGTGTGCTCTTTTCATCGGCGACAAGAAGACCCTCTCGGACGACAGCCTGCATGACCTGGCCAAGCTTGTTGATGATGACGAGAGTGTCGCGCGAGCGATCATTGAGGCCGCGCGAGTATCAATGGGACAGGACATCTCGGAGGCTGACATGGAGAACGTCATGATGTTCGCGAAGCGCACTGCCGAGCTTACAGCATATCGCAAACAACTTGGCAACTACCTGGTAGCCAAGATGGGCACTGTCGCTCCCAACCTGGCCGCACTCATCGGCGAGACAGTCGGTGCTCGTCTCATCTCGCACGCCGGATCGCTCGCCAACCTCGCCAAATACCCAGCCTCGACTGTTCAGATCCTGGGTGCCGAGAAGGCTCTCTTCAGAGCACTCAAGACGAAGGGCAACACGCCCAAGTACGGTCTGATCTACCACTCTTCATTCATCGGTCGCGCTGGTCAGAAGAACAAGGGCAGAATATCAAGGTTCCTCGCTAACAAGACCTCTATCGCATCTCGAATCGACAACTTCAGCCAGGCACCCACAAGGAAATTCGGCGAGGCACTGAGAGCGCAGGTGGACGAGAGATTACAATTCTACGCCGAGGGCATCAATCCAACCAAGAATGCAGATGCGATGGTATGTTCTTTCACAAGGACGCCGCGAAATCACGCTAACACATCTACAGAAAGCCGCCATGGACGCCGCATTAGATTCCATCAACGTCGCAGATCCATCTGCGATTCGCGCCGACGAGGAGATCGCCGCGCCAGGCGTCACTGCAGGCGCCGTCGAGCAGAAGCAGCGCAAAGAGAAGAAGAAGAAGTCGAAGTCGGAAGACGTCGAGATGGCTGACGCAGACGATGCCAAGGCAGCGAAGAAAGCAGCGAAGAAGGCGAAGAAGCTTGAAACCGAGGCCAAGATGGACGTGGATGAGGACGACATCAAGGCCAAGCTGAAGAAGGAGAAGAAGGAGAAGCGGAAGTCCGAGGTACTTGCAGGTGGTGAGGTACCGGACGAGCAGATCAAGAAGAAAAAGAAGAAGAGCAAGTCTGAGTAAGGTCTCGCTTCCTGTTTATGGGAATGTACAGTGCGGTGTTCGTGGAGTTTGAAGGATTGCAAGGGAGTTCACGGTGTTTGGTGGTGTTGGCACGAAATGCCCATGGGACCCACTATTGTTGCAGTATGTCCCGAATGAACGATTTGAACATCACTCCCCTTCGCAGACGAGTAATCAAGGACAAGCTCACGTGTGCAGGTATACCGATATTGGGAAGAGCTGTCATTTCCAGGACCAGAATGAGTTCGCAAGAAGCATGTCTCAGTACCAGCGAGAAGGCATGCACTTCACGACGCCAAGAGAATTTATGACGGAAGCAGGCCAGTGTCCTTGCCGGGAAGGCTGCTGAAGGACTTATATGCAATGAACGTCGACGAACCCACAACAGAATAACGCCTACGGTTCCTTCGATTAAACATCTTCCGGCCAAAGGAACAGCACATCGTCGCCACCACAAACAACGATAGCATGTACCAGGATGCACGCAGATTGCACGATCGTCCAAAGCAGGAAACCACGACCGACAAGATATCCTACGTGTTCAAGTACAATCACGACGAATTGAACGTCCATCCTACGGCGTATTGTAAGCAATGTGCTTGATAAGTACTTCAACAACCGCCGAGAATATTCCCCGAGAAGATGCAGGGGGATTTTCAAAGTGGACCAGGAGGCCGAGAGGCATACAGACCGACGCTAAAACTCCGCACGGATTCGCCTCAATATATAGCTGTGCGACAAGACATGGAGATAGATAACTTCATGTCGTTGAGACGCAAAGAACCCCAATGAACGAGGAGGTTGTGCAGCAAGATACCTCATGATGATACCATTCTTCAAATGGGATTACAGAATACTTAAGTAGACCACCAAAGACGACGAAATCTTCAGTCTTCCAAAGCGACCCAGAACCTCTACTCAAATTCCACGATCAAAGGAGCCCAAGCAATCAATTCCGAATTTAGCCATCATGCCTGAGCAGATGACCAAGTCTGATGCGTCTCGCATCCAGTCCTCACAGGTGCCGTTTGGAAGAATTGCCATCCTCCATGACCAGGACTAATAGATGTCAGGCCGGCAAGGACGAACAATTCGCTAGCAGAGCTCAAGCCGCCGGGGACAAGAACGCCAACGCCGCCAACGCCGGCAACAATCCTGCAAGTGGAGGCAACAGCTCTGGTAACAAGAAGTAGATGCGCTCGACTGCACTTCGAGCAATGCGCATTTGTCCGCGACTGAGCGAAGGGAGGAAGGAGTGAAAGAGAGGGTTTGTCCGACGGAGGCTCATTGCAGCCACAAACACTCGTTCAGGTTCAAGTTGGCAAAAGATCCTACAACACTCGATGATTCCACTCATACTCGGCGAATGATTGAAATTTAATCGACAGCCAAGTCTCATATAGTGGTACAGGGAACCGCTGCCTTTACTTGATCTCTTGTGTCATTGCTCAAGCGCACCAAGTCATTCCGGTTGTGGAGTCGAATCTTTGTTTCTGCCCGAGATCAGGCCCAAAGACGCGGGCTTGAACGTCCTGCTGTAGATCATAGGTCATTCGTCGAAGAATAGTCAAATCGCTCTCTCGACCACTCTCGCTGCTATCCTTCGATCGCGGAAGGCCCCAATGCAAGTACACGTTGCCATGGGTTGGTCGCATATGGAGATTGTATGGCAAATGCTTCAGATAGAGACCGCAAGCACAACATGACGTTTTGCTACAGCCAATATACTGGTCGTCATCCACAAAGCGAAGCTTCTTGGAATGGAAGTGTCCAGCCACAGCAGCTTCTGCATGTGCCAGAGGAGCTAGTGACGCTTTGCGGAATGTCTCGAAGCTCTCCGCACTAGCCGATAGAGTCTTGACGGCTTTTGCCATGAGGTCTTTGGATTGACCGACTCGCGGTAGGGTCCGGGCTAGAAGGGTCTCTAGATCTGGAGCAGTCGTGGTCGGTTTTCGTTTCGGCAGTCCTCTCGAATACGGGATGAGGCAGACCTTGGCATTCTCGAGCCGATTGGAATACTCGTTGACTTTGTGTGCCACAAAAAGCGATGCTCTACGCCACGACCCCAAGCGCCCAATGTAGTGCCGCACTGAGCTGTAGGGCAGTTTGCTAGCTGATATCAGTCCACATAGTGTAGCATGCGCGGCTGATCTTTCGAACGAATGGGCCTTTAGGCATGCTTGATGTCTTCGCACAAGGCATGACTCTTGATCTTCTCCGTCGTGTCTCTCTAGGCTCGCGAAATATCTGATGTCTCTCAATAGGTCGTGGTCTATCTTCTGATCAGTGACTCCTTCTTGATTCGCTGATGATATAGAAGCGTTAGTACTCACTGGCCTGAATTTGACTGCCACTCAAATCATCCCCTACAGCTTCTAATATCTTCCGCAGCATCCTGCTGTAATTTCTCACTCTGTCATCGCAGAATCGCAGCGAATCGTAGAAGATTTGATCTGCAACCGCGGAAGCGTCTTGCAACTCTGTTTCCCTTCCATTACACAGCGTGCGGATCGACTTCTCCAGATGTAGCTTTTGATCCGTCGGATTCCCTGAGTTGGTCGCAAGCCATATTGTTTTGCCGCTATCGGCTTGCTCAAGACCTATCGCACACACATTGTCTCCTGCTCTGTGAGACTGGCAAAGCAAGCACACTTCGTCTTGGAACCGATGCCAATCGGGTGGAGATATTCTTTCCCGACGGGCAGTTGTTCTGGAAGGAGACTTATCATCCAATTGCACATCTTGTAAAAGCTTCCTTAGGAAAAGTGTGTCGTAGAATTGTTCCTCCACATCAGAAGCACTCTGAGTGATAATGCTGCTGCTTGAACTCATCATTGACAGATAGTCGACGGAATTGGAGTATTCATTCATCCAGGAACTCGACCGGTGAGCTCCAGCTCTACAAGCAAGCTGAATGAAGTCATGGGTGGGTGCGGGAAGGCGAAATATAGGCGGCGCTTTTCACGGCTAGCGGCTATCGGGCTTCACGTGCGATACAGACTACGTGCGCATATCTCAGAGGCTCGCTGGATAGCCGGAGGACATGCGAACTCTGCTATGTCATCTTTCCGGTGCGATGAAATCTACACATTGATTTCCAGCCTCTCGCAGGCCTCTTTTGTAGCAAAGTGCTCCGCCATCCTCTTTGACCTTGCTCTCCCTGTAAAAGGCTCCCCGTCAATGCAAACCGTCACCTCAAATTTCGGGGGATCCAGGCTCAATGTTTGATCCGATTTGATCCGATGTTTGCCCGATTTAGCACACCACTCGTTCAATTTGACGGTGTATTGGGCCATGTGTACACCTCCATCCACTGAAGTTGGCGGAGAAGGAGGGAGATTTCCAGGTATTGGTGTTGTGGCGGTTCCGCGGCTTTCAATCAGACCTGCTAGACTTCTGCTAGGTTTTGTGTCGCCATTGCGTATCAAGACACCTCCGACCTTGGTCATGAATGTAGCGTAGGGATTTCGCTCTTGAGAGCGAGGGTTCGTTGGGATGTTGATCGCTTGAACCGCATCAACTTTTTCAATACAATCTGAAAATGGAAACTCTATCATCGCTCGCTTGAACTCGGCCTGTAACATATCAGCTGTGAATAACATTCTTCGAGTTGCGTTGACTTTACGTTCAACTCGCCATAGCCCATCGAGGGCGCGGCATTGCGGATGATGCTTCGAGCCATGATGAATTCGAAGTACCGCTCCCCGTACCAATTGCAAGCGGAGAAGAATAAGTCTGTATCGTCCACATCTGGCTTCATTGACTCTTGATTGGACTCTGCCCATCGACTGTAATCGTCGTCGCTGAGACCGTCCATGTTGGAGAGGTGGAAGGGTTGAGTATCCGAGGACATTGCACGTGCGATTTCTCACTCGAGGACCTCAGACCGGTCGATGCCGAGTTATTATACATCGCCGAGCAGTCGTGGCAATCGTCATGTTGCTGTGCTTTCGTCGTAGCAGACGCGACCGAGAGGATCCACGTTGCAGAGCCGTGAACAACAAAGACCCATTGCAACCTCAAGAGTCGAGATACCGACTATTTCACATGATGGCCAGAACACTTCGTCATCCATCTCGTGCGATGAGCACAGAAAGAGTGATCCAGGAGCGAAGTACTAGCCAAGCTTCCAACTTCACTCAACTTTCTGTACAGATTTTTAGCGTGGTCGATCAGCCAATCAGGTCCTCCGGGAAGGAGCTAAATCCTGGCACATGCATGTTGCGCTCACAGCTCATTCCCTAGCTCCTACCATCGAAGTTCTTCGAATGGGAGCCGGATCCGCACACCCAGGAACACTGCTAGCGTGAGTATTTCTTTTCCGTGCGAACAGATAGACTCTGCATTCTCTTGTTTCTTCACACCATCTCCTCGCTTCATCGTCATCTCTGGTGGACGATGGTGGTGTCACTGGCGTGGTGAGGGAAACCGGATCGACGGACATGACTTCCGAAGAAGCTCTCGAGCGTCTTGGAGACGCTGTGAATGAGTTGCTCACTAAGCCAACGAGCGAGGTACGCATCGTGCCGAACCAGAGATCTCGGGCTGACCTTAATCTTGCTAGGCCGCTGAAGCGATCGACGAATTGGTAGCCATGATCGATGACCGTCTCGGTGAGCGCTCGGATGTAGCCAAAAGAATGGTCTACCGCTTGAAAAAGCGATACGGGAACGATCAGGCCCGGTACCAGAACTTCTTCGAATACCGTGGCCCTGACAAGGACACTCTTCTCCTGTTCCGAGACCGCTATCAGCAATGGATGGAGAATCCCCTATCTTTCTGGTGCGATTGGGAGTTTCAGGGAGGACTGGGTCCAATCGTTGATCCCACAGCCCACGTTGTGGAATGCTATATGCGTGCCAAGCACGATGGCCTTTAGGCTCGGCTTGTGAAACGTATGTCTTGCATTTTGCTGGCGAAGGTCAGGAGTTCCAGGAGGGACGGTCATTCGACATACGAAACCGCGCAAGCGGTTTGCCAAACCAAATTCTTTCCGGACGTTAATCCAAAGAGGCTTGAAAGAATCGTGGACGGCATGGACAATTGCGGCCACAGATACCTGAATCTAGAGCAGAAGCTTGGCCGAGGAGTTTGTCTTGTCCTGGGTCATAGTCTTGATGAGACTTAGTACGTGAGGCCCCGTCCTGCCGCGCAGACTCATCGAAGCTTTTGGCTGACGGGCATTAGTTGGACAAAGCTGCTACCCAAAGGCACCAAAGGCGAAAAGGTCTTCCGATACCTTCGAGAAAATACGAAGCTTACCGAAATGGCTTCGGCTCTTGAAACATTGCAACAGCGGGTGATCGACGCGAAGCTCTTCCATCTCGGCGTGCTTTCTCATCGTCCGCCGCTAGTCCCACGGAGCGCCTTGCCTTTGGCAATTGAAAGTGCTCTTGCGGACATGACTCAGCAAGCAAGTTCTGTCAGCTCTTCAATTGCGAGTCCTGAAGCGAGCGCTTAGCGAAGGTGCAACGAAACAGTGTCATCGGTGGCTCTTGATCGTGTAATCGGCATACTTCGCATACCTCATCTACGTTCGTCAGTATCAAATGGACAATGAAGCTGTCTCTGCACGCCGGGCACTTGGGCTCCTCCGCAAAATTCCACTGTATTTGTGTTGTCCTTAAGCAAAAGTCTGATTTTAGTCAGCACGTCACGATACATAGAAGATTTCGAATCTTACAATCTCGATGACCGCCTTGTAGTACGCACCTCTGGTCCATGAAAGGAAGATCGTCTTGCCATCCGAGCTCATGAACTTGGGCACGATGTATCCACCATAGTCGAATCCACTTGGTGGTTCAGGAAGCGGGTCGCTGTAAAGAGTGCTTCTGTTGCTCCAAGCACCCTGCGGATTGTCGGCAGTCCAGGCATAGAGGTTGCGGTTGTCCAAGCTGATGCCCATGTTGAAGTAGATGAACGTCTTGTAGTGGGTGGAGTAGAAAGCGGTATCTTGATCGACATTGTCGAGGCCGACAAGATTCTCGGCCGAGCTATCGCTGAGGTTCGAGATGTAGATGCGGTCCTTGGTCAATGAGCTTTCGTGGCAGTATTCGTAGGTGTTGAGGTTGAAGACTTGAGCCTTGGGAACATGGGCAAGAACGACCTGGTTGCTTTGGATGTTGGCCATGCCGTTGTGGTAAGAATTGGCGTAGATGTAAGTGTAGCCATCACCATTTCCGCTAACAGCGCTCAGCTGGCCCCAGTCAGGCTCGTGCTCTCGTTCGACCTACGGGATTCGAAGCCCTAAGACCGTCGGTGTTGGTGGAATGTTTCTGGTGGCCCTCAGCTCTTGATCTTGCTTCCTTGGCACGTCGCTGGCCAGTAGCGCGGCGTCCGAAGTAGATTTCATGAGCTGAAGCGTAGTAGCGAATGTCGGCGGAGTAATCGAGGCGCGGACGAGCTGCATGTTGCTGTCAGAGCTGTGTCGCTCTCGTGCGCGTTGCAACTTGGGCACGACCTGCACATCCTGAGGCACTGTGATAATTGTGTGGTGTTATTCTAGCAAAGAAGTGTCTGTTACAGAGATCAAGATATGAAATTAAATTAGTGTTAATCGTTGTAGGAAGTCACGAAACTTGCACGTGGTGCCCCGATCAGGACCGTGCGCTGTCATATCACAGGTCAACTTGGAGAGCTCACCATCTGCTTTAGGTTCATGTCCAAAAGTTTGCCCTGGTCAATCGTTGACACGTCGCCGTCGCTGTCAGTCCAAAAGGTCCTCGATGATAAAGTTGGTCATGACTGCGGACATCGGCCTGTTTCGTCCCTGTTTCATCCCTGAGCATCTTCACGTACGTATCTCATTGACATATCCACAGATCTGAGGTCTATTTGCCCTTGAAAGAAGGCTTCCTCTTTTCCCCGAACGCTCTCAGAGCCTCGGTCCTGTCGTGTGTCGGGATGACAAGCTCATACGCGGCATTCTCGCTCGCCTCGCCCTTTTCCCATCCTTGAATGGCCTGCATGGCTGCCCTGATGGCGACTGGACCGCCTTCGCAGATGACGGTCGCCATCTCTATCGCCTGCTCGAGCACCTTGCCTCTGGCAACACCTGCACCGTCAAACTCTTCCTCTGTGATCTGTACGAGTCTGTCGGCCAGACCAATGAAGTACGCCTCTTCTCCAGACACCCTTCTGCCCGTGAGGATCATGTCCCGCGCGCGGCTGGTCCCAACCAAGGCAGGGAGACGGTAAGTACCACCACCGCCAGGAATAATAGCTAGGCGCGTTTCAGGCAGACCAACCGAGGCCGTCGAAGCCAGCACGCGAAAGTTGGTGCATAACGCCAGCTCGAGTCCACCGCCAAATGCAGTGCTACTGATGGCCGAGATGGTGGGAATGGGCAGCGTGGAGATGGCCGTGAAGGTACCTCGCAAGTCCCTCAAGAAGTCCTTGGTGCTGCGGGGGATCTAGTCTTAGCGATGGCTCTGTGGCTTTGCATGTCAAGCTAAGAAGGGCAACAAGCTGGCGCGGCATACTCTTGTTCAGTGAAGTCCAGTCGCTCTTTCAGGTCTGCTCCCGCGCAGAAGGCATCGTCGCTCTCACTCGCCAGGATGAGGGCTCTTGTGCTGGTATTCTTGCCCTCCCGGTGAAGCTGTTCCACGACGTTCTTGAGCTCGCTCAGCAGCTGTCTCGAGATGGCATTTCGCGCCTTGGGTCGGTTGAGGGACAGGACGGTGATCTCGCCGGCGTGGGGAGCGGGGATGGAGGACAATTTGATGGGCGAGGACAGCGAGCCGGATCCCGCGGGCGTGCTGTAGCCACGAGCATGACTACCGGTCAAGACGGATGTGGCCTTCAGACATTGTCGGCCGTTCCGGACAGCTTGGCGATGTAGTACTTGCAGCATGATGGGATGAAGGCCATCATCATCATCCTTCACCAGCAGACGGGGAGGGCGATGGTGACGGCGAGCCACAAGCTGCCCTGGCTCACCAATCAAGCGCAAGCCACTCACGCCACTTCGATCGCGCGGGAGACGGCACACGGGCCGCAGCCGGACCTCAATCAAAGTGGAACCAATCATTGATGGGATCGATGGCACGGATCTGCGAGACACCGACGGCCTGCCTGTGTGCCCGTTCCTGCTGATCATCCAGCCCCGATCATGCACCCACCACACCTACCACACACCTACCACACACCCACCACCCACACGGCAGCGTGACTGACTGGATGACTTGGAGCGGCAGCTTCAAGAGCGCGGAAGATCCCAATCGCCGCTTGACGCAGTAGCACGACTCTCCCACCTCCAACGCAGCGCTGCGTGTTCGGCTATTACTGTGCATTGGCTGCGAACTCACCCGGACGATCCACCAGAATCAGAAGCAGCACCACGGCGGAACTCCTTATGGCCTGGATTCTTGCCCGCATACAAAATGCCTCCCTAGCCCGCCTTCCAGAGGCTCTTGCGACGAACAACAAGCTGGACTTACTCGCCGACAAGATGCCTTCTGTACGATCTTTCACCCATGGTATTGCTCTCTCGGCGCTGGGCGCTGCCCAGAGTGTTCTGGGAACGGGCATGAGCATGAACAGTGCCCTGCCTAGAGCCGTGCCAAGTGGAGGAGCCTCTGCTCAGTGCAACACCCCTCAGCTTTCCTGCCACAACTCCTCTGCCGTGTCGAATCTTTGCTGCTTCAACGCCCCTGGTGGCTCTCTGTTGCAGACTCAGTTTTGGGATACCAGCCCGGCTGTTGGACCAGGCGATTCGTGGACGATTCATGGACTTTGGGTTAGTGACCTATCGTGGGTGATGTGGGACTTTGCTGAGTCGTGAATGTAGCCCGACAACTGTGATGGCACCTACGAATCCAACTGTGACGACAACAGAGCATACACCAACATCACCGATATCTTGAAGCAGTACGGCCAGAACGACCTCTTGAGCTACATGCAGACGTATTGGCTGCCCAACTCCGGTACTGCAGAGACCTTCTGGGAGGTATGTACTCTCCAAGAGCCTTGACTTGGAAAACGGCTGACAGTGATGCAGCACGAATGGGGCAAGCACGGAACCTGCATCTCTACTCTGGACCCGGACTGCTATACCTACTACCAGCCCACCGAGGAAGTGCCAGACTTCTTCAATAGGACTGTGTCGCTCTTTCAATCCCTCCCAACATACAAGTGGCTGGCCGCTGCTGGTATCACACCTTCGAGCAGCACTACCTATACCTCATCTCAAATTCAGTCCGCGTTGAAGCAGAACTTTGGCTACAACGTCTATCTCGGATGCTCCTCTGGCGAGCTCGACGAGGTCTGGTACTTCTACAACGTCCGCGGTTCCCTTCAGAATGGAGACTTCGTGGCTACGGACTCTCTCTCCAGTTCTTCCTGCCCAAGCAGCGGCATCAAGTACCTTCCGAAGTCAAGCAGCTCCTCGCCAACATCCACCACCACCTCTCCCACTTCCTCCCCAACCGGCGGTACTTTCAGCGGATCCGGCTACCTAAACGTCGTTAGTGGCAGCCAGAAGAATGGCTGCCTCATCTCCGCCGGCACGTGGTACACAACTGGCACGTGCGCGACCTTCACTGCCGCCTCATCCGACAACGGCTTCACGTTGAAGTCTTCCAAAGGCAACTGCGGCATCGTATCTGGTGCTATCTCATGCGGCTCCAGCGTCACGAGCACTGTCTTCACTTCAGACGGCAGCACTCTGCTCTACAGCAACTCCAATGCCTTCTCGACGGATTCTACCCCATCTGGAAGCACCCAGGCCCAGGTTTACTCTGGTAGCAGTCACGCAGTCGGACTGACTATCCAGTGGCAGAGCAAATAAATCGATAGACAATAGACTTACGCAAGACTCAGATGTATCATTATGCCTGTGGCTTTCACGAACTCTCATTGATCTCCGTTCTCGATACTGACAGGCTACGCCACGCTCACATGTGACGGCAACTCAGATTCGACCCCGAGACTTCACATGCGAAGAGCGGTCAGCTCGAGCATTGGCCACTGCTTCTGTTCTTGTCTGCTGGCTTGAATTCTTGCGTGTCGTCTGTCGACACTGACCAGAACACCTTCGCAGACAATAGCAAACCCAGCACAGTCGCAACCACAATGGCGGAACCAGCGACTGCCCTCGTCCAAATACAGCGCCTAATCTATCGCGACACTTCCCTGGTCGACCCGCACGGTAATAGCAGAGTCGCCTGCGGCAACCGCATATGGACCGGTAGGACTGTCGACATTCGCGAAGCCTCACGGCGCCTGCGAAAGCGACATGACAGATGGCAGGTAAGGCATGATTTGCACTGACAATATTGCATCTTCCACTGACACATCAACAGCGCCGTGGCCTCGACATGACATTCCCGGAAGATAATTGCCAATCTTCTGTGGATGCTCTTATGTGCTTCATCTATCATGGTCAATACGACGCCCGCTGCACCAACTCCGAAAAGTGCCACACGTGCCCGCCGAGGTCCCACAGGCAGGCAATTCTTTCCCACCGTCTAAACTACATCTTCGCTCAAAAGCACCGCTGCCGCAAATTCCGTGAGCTCTGCAGGAAGAAATTCATCCAAGCACTGAACAGGAGCACACTTGACACTAAGCAGTGGCTCTTCGACGAGCAGGAGAATAATGAGAGGCGCGGAGAAAGGAGGCTGCGGAACGCTTTACGAGTCCATTTCGGGCTTGAACCGCTGCCTCCGCTCCGAAACGTCGAAGAAGACAGTGAGGACGAGGACAGTAGCGAGGGCGGCAGCGAGGGCGGAGACTCGGATTCGGACTCTGGTTCAGACGACGATGATGCAGACGAAGGCTTTGTCGACGACGAGGTGCTTTATGGTGGTGATCAAGCCGCTCCTGGCAACGCTGCACCGCTCCCTCAAGCTCCTCAAGGCTCATTCCCTGTCGACGGCGACGACAACGACGAGGACGTCAACGACGAGGGAGGCAGCGACGACGAGGAGAGTGATGATGACCTCTTCGTCCGTAGAGGCAACGGCGGTAGTAACGGCGGTTTGGGACATCAGCGACGCCCTCCTTCGTCTTCGCCAAGCGCTGACCTGGACGACGACAACTTCGGTAGTCCGCCGTCTGGAAGTGGAGGAGTAGGCATGCTGGGAGCTCGTATGCCCGGCACGTGGCCATCAATCGAGAACCGCAACATCAGAAACCACTTCCGTCGCTCATCGAACCAAGGCGGCGAAGCTGGCACCGTCAGCAGACGCTCATTGGAGAGCACGCGGCCGCAACAGGACCGTGAAGCCAAGCGCCATCGCACAGAGTCTTTCCGACCTGCTGAAAACGACAGAATCCGCCCAATCAAACGCGAAAGCTCACCTCTTATCGACCTCACCAAGATTGGCAACGAAGTCGTCGACCTCACTGGAGAGGACGAATACAGCCCGGAACAGCTGGACAAGGCGCTTAAGAGCTCGAATATCGCCGCCGAGGAGGCCGCCCGCAACGACTCCGATCTGCGAGAAGCCATCCGCCGCAGCCTTGCGCCTGGAGCCTACCGACCAACTTCAACCCTCCATCGTCTCCGCTGTCCACGCTGCGAGAATTTCTTCGAGGCTACGCTCGAGCCAAACAGCACCTATGAGCATAAGTGTCCACCAGGACCAAAGGTCTCGGAGCACAGCGCCCTACAGAGCACCTATGTCTGGACCACGCGCTACTTCGACCGTAGGTTTCAGTCCAGGTAAAATACGCAAAGCGCAGACCGACACTCTCGCGGCACTCAAGCGGTAATCAAGTCCAAATCACGAGCACAGGGCGGCATAATCACGACAATCACGCTCATCACGAATCTGAACATCTGCGGTTCGCCTCCAAGCCACACTCGCCAAGACGACCCAAGAGGTGGATAGAAGGTGCAACACGAAAACCTGCTTTTGGAATATGCAACTGCTTTCGAATCTATTCTAACACGAGTTCGCGAGTTAGAAGAACATGGTATGGTTTCAGCATCTCACGCGAGCCTCGCTAGCGAATCAAGCGGAAGAGAATACGAGTACGTACAGCATACATATGAGCGCAGTATGTACTTACACCAATATATCTTCATGACATATCATATAATGCAGTCGTCTTCAATCTCTTGCTGCGTTCCGTTTTACCCATCTGCACGTCAGTAGCTCGCTCACGCACTTACTCGAAGGAATCACATGCAAATCCGCCTAGCTAGCTTAGCTCGAGCACAGGCCACCCACAGTTGCGAATGGGTGCATGGCAACATCTGCATCATGTAACCATCACTAGAGATAACCATGTTGCACATGAGCACAAGGCTGTCTACAGATAGGATATACTCATTCAGCTTGGAATCTCGCTTGAGCGGGGCTTGTGCTCTCGCTCCACTTTGCTCGACGACTCAGTCTCTGCCTCTCGCCTCTTACGCAAGGCTTCTTCCAGGATTTCTGCCTTCTCGCGATCGTAGTCCAACTCCCACTTGTCATACTGGTTATGGCCAACAATGACTTGTACCGTCAATTCAGAGGCAGCGGGAAAGGCAGGAAGATAGGGCATCTTCTCACGACAATCAGGCAATCTCATCGCTGCAAAGGTCCATCTCAGATGCTTGAGGCCGATCAATGTTTCGGCAACACCTTGCTTCAATCCATGAAAAGCGAGTTCGTTCGAATGCATCTGAAGGTCGTCGTCTTGGATCATGCATATGGATTGTATCGCTCGTCGTTGCTTCGGGTTCAGCGCCTTGGAGAGCCACATATTCGCCTCTCTCCCGCCGATGGCACTGCTTACTGAAGAGATGCTGAAAGTATTGCCGACATAGGGCACCAGTGCCGCCTCGTGGTGGATCAATCGACAAACTCTTAATAGCTCCCACGGCAACCTCTCGCAGCGACCATTATTGATCCGATCCAGACATTCACCATGCCGGTCTCTGTACGAGCAATTAGGGTTCAAAATCAAGCCGTCTTGCTCTACTTCCGGTTCCTTCGATCTTCGATAGGCTCTGTCGTCGCTGTCGGGACATTGGCAGATGGTATGCCGGAAGTAATGCCAGAAGCGCGGCTCTGAGTCCGGTTCGGATGGTGAGCCAGTGTCCTCTTCCTCAATCAGTCCATGCGGACGGAAGTATCCTCCTGCTTCGGTGCGGCCCAATGTCTGATAGCATCCGCGTCTCACGATGTGGATGTTGTGGCCGGTGAGCGCGTATTCGTAGATCTGGAGTCGGAGCTCCGCTGGCAGTTCAAAGAAGAGGGAAGTCTGCACAATATAAAGGCCAGACATCCGTTGCGATCTAGAGCAGCGAGGTCTTGTACCGGTGAGAAGATGTGAAAGGAAGAACGAGGAGAGGGAGAGCTGAAACCGAGTCAATCACTCGGACAGAAGAGTGTGCACTAGACAAAAGTCGTAGCATCTCTCGCGGTACCAATTTTATTCAGTAAGAAAGACCCAACAATCACAACGAATTCTCAATCTCATACACAAACCAACAGTACCCTCCAGCAGGCTTCCATGGAACAACCGGCAACCCTCCCCTACCACTCCAATCCGGCCAAACTTTCTTATTATCCACCACAATCCCTGCATCCCACATTTCAATCAACTCCTTCGCCTTCTCGCGCTCACGAACATTGAGCCTCCGAATAGCCTACCGTTTCGTCCACCAGCTCTTCTTGCCCGTTCTCTTTGAGATCTGCTCCCGGTCCTCAGATGCCAGATCCCGCAGCGCACCCAGAAACCTGATCGGCTCTCGCAGTTTCTTGTAGGGTAGCCGTTCATGCAAGCCCTCCTCTTTTTTTCTGGCCTGCCTTTCCGGATCCTATTCCATGTGCTTCGATTTCAGAAACTCCTTCCCAAGAAGCGTGGTTCTTGCTTCGATGTGCGCGGGCGTCAGAGTAGCATCTTCATGTGGTCGGTCGATGATGCGATGCCATTGCTCTAGTGCTGTAGGCCCGTCTGCATCGTACTTGACTGGGGACTTTCCGAAAAATCTAGCGCTTTTGGAGAGGCGTGATTGACCATCGCGCCAGGCTGCAGGTATGTGTTCTCCCTTGACTTCTTCTGTGTTGATAATGGGCGACTTTGGAGACTTGGGTGATGACTTCGGCGACGGTCGCTCGATGCTAGAGATCGGATCATCGATACCTCCGCCCGTTGCCACACCGAATGCTTTTCTGTCGAACAATGAGTGAGCGGTCGTGGGCCTCGTTCCGTCGAGGTCATATCTGGAGAAGGGGAGAACGACCCGTTCGTCGGGGTCGAGTGGAGGACTCGGGGAGAGCGACGATGACAAGAGCGAGTCTATCTTGAGCTGGTTGTGGTGCACCAGCTTTCGTCGTTCGAATTTTTCCGATTAGCGATTTCAAATTTATGGATGCGGGTTGACTAACTACAAGTGCTTGATGGATGATGTGGACGCGAATGGTTGGATGCGCTCGTATGAATGTTGATCCTGACCTCGGAAGCCGCAAGACGCAATGCAAGGTGAGAGCAACCAGACCTTCACTTGCCAGGCAGTGCCATCGAGATTGATCTCTTTCGCGACTGCTTCTGACCGCGCTGCACGTGCCGCTCTTTCTCTCCTTTGTCGGCGAATGATCCCTAACTTTGAAAAACTCAAGCGCGGAGATGTACATGTTGCTGCTTATCCTCCGACCTCTTGCGCAGCGAAGGTCTAGCTGCTCAAGAAGCTTTCTTCTTCTTTCTTGAAGGCTCAATATCTTCCTCGGCATCCGTGAATGGCTCCGGAGTCGGTCGCTTAGGCGTGCCTGGTCTTCTCGTCGACGGGAGCGCAGTAGCAGTGTCCACTGGCATATTCCAACCACGCCAAGTATTCCCATTTTCATCTATGTCCTCACACCATCCGCATGGCGGAGGATCCAAATGGATGTGAGCCGCAATGTGAGCGGGGACGGCGAAATACATTTTGATCAGCTCTTCGATAATCCTCTTGCCCGCCATCAATTGGACATGGGCATCCATCCAGGACAGCGAGTCCACGTCGTTACCCATGCGCAAGTTGTGGCAGATCAAGCAAGGACAAATTGGGGGAAATGCAATTCCCCTCTGGCCATTGGGACCGAGAAAAACTTGCAAACTCTGGCCGGACGCCTGCGGCGGAACAGCACTGTCGTTCTGCAAGGGAGCACTTCCAGACAATGGTTGTATGTCTGCACCAGGAGTGCTAAACATACTGTCGATGGCGACATTTTGCTGGACGCCAGTTCCCAAGTGATGCTCAGTCGCGCTGCTCTCAGATGGTGATAGCGAGACTGGGTCTGTGGTGCCGTCCATACCAAAGTTGGTCCTCGACTTCGTCTTCCGTTTAGCAGCACCAGCTTTGCCACGAGCCGGCTTCTTCGCCTGCGGACTAACGCTGTAAAGGTCTTCAGTATCCTGGCGCCGAGCACTCGGTTTCTTTGAGCGAGGCGATCTTCTTGTGCCAGCCATTCTTTCATGAACAGTTTTGTTGTGATAGGCGTCTCCACTTTCAGTCTCATACTTCTGGATGTGTGCGTTCGCTTCCTCCCGACCCTGCCAAGTTCCGTTGATATGCAGCAAGCGCCACGCGGCGATCTGTTGTTCGCGCCACTCATCGGTGCTCCACGGAGCTGGTTGCCAGGGCTTGGAAGGCATCGTTGGTGTGACCCTGTGGCTGCTGCTGAGATCCTGGATAAATCTCCCAGTAGCGGCGGCCGAGTCGGTGGTATCCTGATCATTGTCGCCGAAGGTCGCAGCGACAGAAGCTAGCTTGGGCTTTTGGGAGCTGGAAGCATTTGCGCGCATCTTTCTTTCATTCTCTTGCTCAATGGATGCCGACGGCGGGAGCCAGGTAGGGAGAGACCGGAAATTATCGCTGACTGATTGCGTGGTTGGAAGCGCCATGGTAGATTGATTGGCGGTGGATGTCACTGCAAGAGTGATAATGTTTGGTGTTTGGTGTTGGTTATTGGATGTGTCGAGGTACTCGAAGTTTGCTGGTGGTGGTGGTGGTGCGTGTGTGAGTGGCGCAAAAATGATGTGATATTACTGTGAGCGTGCGATGCGCGACAGATGTTATGTTGTCTGATGTTGTGTAGCTTTGGCCGGTTGAGGGAGTTGGCAGCGTACATTTTATGAAGATGCGTGCAAGTTGCCCTCACGCTAGCCCCCTTTCCGAGTCCTCAGCGGGAAAGAAGCTTGGGCGTAAAGCGACCTATACGCAGCAGCGGCATCAGCAATAAGCTTCGCGGTTAAACATGTGAATTTTGTCCTCATAGCCAACATGACTCTTGCACATCTCATATCCGGCGGCCGCAACCTGCCCACCGAGTGCCGACACGTTGGAACAGCCTATAAAAGAGACTCGAGCGTGTGAGGTTTGTGGTGGAATTGTCTGCTAATATTTCGCAATTGATATCCCTCTCTGGTTAACACCCGATTGCGCCGCCGAGTCCTTCTCAAACGCGATAGCACTCGCGTGCAGTATATGATGCGAGACTTGCCTCTCCTCTTCCACTGCTCCCGGACTTGTTGCAAGAATGTCCTCCCAATCTTGAGAATGTTCGGCTCGGATGGGCGGGAAGATCTTATCTTTGGAGCCTCGTCTTCGATCGCAGATGTCCGTTGAGTGCGGAGAAGTTCATGCAACAGCGCATGCGCGGAGCTGGCATCGGGTGTGGACCAAGTCGGCCTTGGAGCTGGCGGAATCGAGGTGATGTTGTGGTTCGCCTAGAAAATCCCGATGTTTTCAAGATCAGGTGAAGTCGGGACGATGTCCCGAGATCACGTGACCGATGCCAGTCTTGCTGAAATGTTCAGGTCATCAGCACCATTCACAGGGATGCCAGCGTACTCCATGCATGCGGTATTAGAACGGCAGTGGTCGGCTTACCATTCGCTTCCAACCATGTTAAAGCCTTCGCATCGAAGTCTGTCCTTTGATCCGAAACTCCGCAATTTACGTAGCGTATGCAGAGACAGGAGCCTTGTGGTTGCGTCAAGTCGAGAGTGATCCAGCAGAGGTCCATTAAGGTGTCCTTCCAACGACTCCTCGTGGAAGCGAGGGATGACAACATGACCATGCTCGTCTCGTCTTGGAATGACCTACTGTGCTTTCGCAAAGCATGAATGTGCGGCCTTATCATCTGTCATTCTTCTGCTTCTTGACTTGCTCCCTCAGCGCGTCCATATACTCCTGCATAAAGCCAGCCTTGGGCTTGTCACTCGCACTCTTCCGAGCGTTTTGCCACGCAGTATCTGAGCCTTCCTCTTCGATCACAGGACTTCTCTCTCTTCTCGCATCCACGCTCTTATCCTTCGTGACTCGACCCGCCTCCCTCTCCTCGGCATACCCCAACTGTGTCTTCATCTCATCTAGAAAGTGTTTGGAGAAGCCCGACTCGCCTGGTTGATCGATCTTGGTGCCGCCCATCTCCTCCGGCGGCAGTCCATGTCGGAAGCGATGCACTCGCTGAGCAACCTTGTCAACGCCGCGATGGAAAGCAGGAGAGCGCAGGAGAGCCTGTACGAGGTAAGCCTCGAGAAAGCGAAGCCAGGGTGCCATGGTAAGGCGATGTTGAACGATGCGGCGTGGAGGATCCTCGCCGGCTTTAGAAAGACTTTACTGTGCCGAAGACTGTGCCGTAGACTGTGCCATAGACTGTGCCATAGAGTACGTTGGATCGCAAGCGATGAGGCAGTGCGGAGGCTGTTACTGCCGCATGTGAAAGGTGTTCTCTCGGGCGAAGCGTCGCGAATGTGTACATGTAGTCAGTAGTGGAGATAGGCGCTTCCCAGGCGGCGGATATGCAGGGATCGCGGACAGGGTTTCGTCGGCGTGTTGTTTCAGGACGGCGATGATGCTCGTGATTCGCTGCGGTGGACGACAGCCGCAGACGACTGCAGGTCGAGTGAAGCAGCAGCAGAAGGAGAAAAAGAAGGAGAAGAGGAAAAAGAAGAGGTGTGATGAGTGAATGGGATCGATCCGGGCGAGGATAATGTGACTGCTGCCCCTCACCGCCGTCGTCTGCTTCTTCCTCCTCTTCCCTTCAGTCCTCTTCCACTACTTCTGGCATTCTCTTCTCTTCTATTCACGAGCGCTTCTCGGGATTGTGGCAGCAGCGGGAGGTTGGTGTCACTCGCAGCATCATACCGCGCATCTGCCGCACTCCGAGTCTCCGTGGGAGAGAGAGCAGCACACAGCAGCAGCGGGATTCTTGACGTCCTCAGCCTGGATTCTTGACTTCCTCACGCTGGACCACCTTACCCTCTCATCATCACTCGGTGTGGCGCAGTGAGCAGGTAGCAAAGTTTTCCTTCTTCGCCACGGCGACTCTCCGACCGCGAAACCTCTTCGTCTGCTCATCCATGACCCTGGACCGACTTTCCTTTGTGACTGACAAAGTCCGCTCGCATGCCCCGTCTGCACCCATCCGACACATGGCCCACCACCATCGTCCTGACAGCACATATCTGCCCGCCTTCCTGACACAGACGAGATCAGGCGGGTACTTCTCCAATCACGATCAATCAATACGCTAACTAACATTTGACCGTTCTAGACCTGAAGAACAAGTTCGTGGACCTCGAATGGCAGCAGCGGAATCGTCTCCTCGAGGGCACCCAGCAGCCGCTCAGGGAGTCCCATCCCGGCTCACCATGGGCTCGCCTCAGCGGTGACACGGTAGCTGCCCGTAACCGATACCTCAACGTCGAGCCCTTTGCGCAGAACCGAATCAAGTTGAGGGTGGCTGCCGGCGTCAACGACTACATCAATGCCTCGCCGATCCAGTTGGGCAAGAGACGGTATATCGCTACACAGGGACCGAAGGATACCAGCGTCAATCATTTCTACCGCATGGTGGCTGCGGAGCTCAAGAGCCCAGCCGTGGTGGTCATGCTCACGCAGACACACGAGGCCGGACGGGAGAAATGCTTTCAATACTATCCGTTGTCGAAAGGGGAGAATCCATTGGTCATATCGCCTGACGAGAGCATTGGGGACGGTTTTCAGGGGCACGTCGAGTTGGAGAGCGTGGAGGTGGATGAGAAGAGTCGGAGCGAGGTAAGAAAGCTGCAACTACGGACCACGACCCGGGATGGCAGGAGGGAGACGAAAGAGATACGGCATTTGCTATTCTCGGGCTGGCCCGATTTCCTTGTTCCAGAGGGCGATGACCGCGCAGCTCTCGTTGAGCTTGTCCGACTATCAGCATCACTCAACCGCCCATCTTCTGCCGACACGGCATCCCACACCAACGGCTCCTCCTTCGCAGCCGATCTCGCAGCCACAGATCAAGATAACCCACGCATCATCCACTGCTCGGCCGGCGTAGGCCGCTCTGGCACTTTCATCGCACTCGACTACCTCCTCAGTCTGCTCCATTCCGGTCAGCTGGACAACCTGGCACCAGAGAGCGATCCCATCGCCGAGACCGTCGACAACCTACGCCAACAGCGCATGATGATGGTTCAGGGCGAAGGCCAGTTCCATTTCCTCTACGAAGTGATGCGTGAGCAGTTCACAGCAAGAATGCAGATTAGGGATGCGACGGCGGGTGCGTCGCAGAATGGTGCTGCTTGAGATTATCTTGCTTGGGACCTTATGAAAAATGACAGAAACGAGACACGACTGGATGGCTTGCAAGTGCTTTTGGGATCAGACGGGTCTGGACGAGAGATGAGATGATACGTATAGGCATGAGGATGGTCTTGGAATGTGTATCGAACACTGCTGGCTTTCTGGAAAGGTCCGGTAGGACATTGTGTTGCTTTGGCAGAGCGCGTCGGTGCGAGCATTGCAGGCGTTTGGTCATTATCAGGAAGCTCTGAACACGAAGAATTTTGAACCGCTCCGGACTTTGCCGTCGGGACTCGTCGCACTTTCAGCAACCATGCCATTAAGATGTTCACCTCTTGGTTTCGGCATCACTCATCTTCAATGCCCGATGTGGCAAGGAACAAATGGTGATGGATATATGTATGAAAGAAGCCTGCAGTCGGAAAGGAAGAACTGCCTTCCCTCGCGCATGGCACGCGCTTCCCTCGCGCCTGTGGCAGACCTCTCCTCGCTTCTCCTGCGTCCTTCAGCAAACTACCTACAGTACAGTATGCATGTGCCATGCGCAAGCGCGTACCATTGGAATCTATCAGGATGTCATCGCCGACGTGACGAGATGAAGCAACGCCCGGATGACCAAGCTCTCCAGATCTGCCACCGCAGACCGTCGCCGGTGCACGACTGACCGCGTATAGAAAGACCGAGGAATCGTTGCAGGGCGGGATGCGACAGCCTCAAAGGCAACGAAGAGACGGCACGATGAGAACAAAGACATGAGACAAGACAACGAAACATGTGCATGGAGTCGACAGCGACGTGCAAAGCGTAGGCTGGGCTGAGGCGGCGAAATCTGGGGTGATAGCTGGGATGAGCATGAATCAGTCACGACTTCAGCCTCGACGAGGTCACTGCTTCTTCTCCAGCCTCCAGCGCGAGCGCCGACGAAGTGATGAAAAAAAAAATGAAAGAGTGCCCGATGAACCTCTGAGAGGATCGGAGTATGAACTCCTGGCAGATGGTCTAAACCGACCTCGTGGTAGCTGCGACGATGTAAGTCATGTGTCAGCGGGGAACATGATGACAACATACCTTGTTGAAAGTCACCGAGAATGTGTTGATATGTTGGGCCAGCAGTCAGACTGACCTCTCGACACAAGGTCGATTGACAGAGATGGCAGCTTTCCGCCCGGCTCACACGCAAGCATGCAGACCCCGAAGGATGCAACAAACACTTGGCGCCTCAATCTGAGAAACTCCTGATACGGATGACAGCCATGGAAGTGGTCAAAAGACTGTCAACCTCTGAACGGAGCCCCTCTCGAGTCTCCCCCCTCCCGTAACGTGTTGCTGGTGTCGGTCGTGTTGTCGGCCTCGCCTGCTATCGGGGCTGCAACCAGAGGCGCCACACTCTCTGGTTGCGCAACCCTCAAGCATCTCACATCTTCCTCCCTCTCCTCCTCTGTGCCAATCGGCCCATGGTGTTACAGGCTCTACGTCTGACACCCCATGAGCGGAGTGCAATGCTCATGCGATGCGGTAACGCGTCTTCGCCCCGCGGGAGACCGGGACCGAATTATGGGACGGAACACCATCTATGCCCAGGTTTTGACGTTACCATTCCCTGCCAGCAACGCATACTGCGACGGTCGTGTGCCGTGATCGGTGACTCTGTGACAGAGCCCGGCGAGCGTCAACAGCCATTACGAAAGCACGCACAACCCCCGGACGGGCCATACTCAGGTGTCGACTGTGGCAAGCCATGGCCGTTCGCCAAGCGCACTCCGTGGCAGAGCTCACGGGCCAAGGACACGAGAGATGCCGGCGCATGTAGAAATTTTCCAGCTGTCTGGTGTGGAGCATTCCAGTACGTCGGGATCCGACAGACTTTCGGCGGAGGTGGCACGCCTATTCATCGCCAGCCCTTCACTTCATCTGCTCCATCAGACCCTTCACCGCCGCCGGCACGGCACCCTTGGGCTGTGAAAACTAACTGTCGCCGGAGCGAATCTTGACTCGTGCAGGATCAGCGGGGCAGCGAGCCGGGAGAAGCAAGCTTGGGAAAGGGGTGTGCAGTGAGTAGGCAGTGAAAAGGGGAGGAGGTCACCGGAACTTGTCCAGGGTGACGCTTGATTTTGCGTCGTGGGCGTCGTGGTCGTGGTGATGGTGATGGTGATGGTGATGGTGTTAACGGTGGTTGTCGGGTGTTGGTGTTGATGGTCGAGGGGGAACTCGATGTTGAAGAAAGAAAGGAAAGAGAGAAGTTGGGGGCGAAATGAAACGACTTTAAAGACGCGACTGCGCTAGTGCCATTCTCACTCGCGCTAGTCCAAACTCGGTCCTCACGACTTGGACGCATCACAACAAACGCTGCTATTGGCGGCACGGCGGGGACTGCAGCAGCACAGCTACAATCAGATCCTAGCGAGCGCCGTGCGCACGTGTGTCTGTTATACCCGAGAACAGTAGCAAGCAGTGTGGCGAGCGAACAGCCACGATCACGCCTGCATCGACTTTGCATTCACAGCAGAACATGAGCCAGTGAATCAACTTTGGAGCCTTAGGATACTCTCTAGACTATTGGCGGCGGCATCACGCTGTTGGCGGCACCTTGAGCGCGCGCGCGCACGCGAATCACGTGATTGAAACCGTTTACATGTGATCGAACCCAAAAGTCAACTCGACCTCGTCTTTTGGCAACAGACAATCCGCGAGGTATCTGGTCCTTGCCTATGCCAATTTGAAGCTGTGATGCCGTCTAAGCATCCGATACCCCTCTCGGGACTTGCAGTTGTGCCGCTGCTGCCGGCCTCGCGAATTCGCCCATCACGCCTCCCGAATTCGCCCATCACGCCTCCCGCACCACCAATTCTTTGCCCTCAGCCGCCAGGTCCGCACCCATGACCTTGATTATATGCTTTCGCATCTCTTGGCACCAGTTATCCAGGTGACGCCCAAATTCCTCGTGCCCCTCTCGTGAAGTGATGGCCACCGCCCAGCCAGGCGACGGCTCGGCCATGGCACGGGTGACGTGCACATCCACGACGAAGTATTCCACCTCCAACTCGGCCAATTCTTTCAAAACCTCAAAGCTTTGGTTCTCGTTCCATGCTAACATGTCGAAGTCGATGTGTACATTCAACACATTGAGGTTCGGGAGGAGTGCTTTGGCGAAGTTGGCGGCTGAATGAATGGCACCATTCCAGGTGTTGAGGTAGTGAGGCGTAGCGTTATCGTAGCTGACCAGATCCGCTCCCACTGCAATTGTGAGGCGTTTGATCCGGTCGTCTCTGCGGGGCGCCCATGCTGCCATTGGATTCATGAGTGCACAGTATCCGTTGGGGAAGCTTTTGATGCGGAAGACCAGCTGTGTATTCTCATAGAGCACAGCCATCGCCTCCTGGAAGACTTGCTTATTCGTGCGTAGAATGGCTGTGTGCACATCTTCTCCACGGTGCTTACAGCTGCCGCAGCCCACCGAGCGCAAGGTGGAAAGCTGTGGTTTGCAGGTGCTTGAGAGAAGACGGCTGCCAGGGGAACAGACCCTCCCCTCCACAGAGGCTTCAGAGCACTCCACTCGAGTCGCTGGCGGTGGAAGCAACAAGAGCTTGTAGATTTTGACTCGGATCTCCGCTGGGAGCTGTCTCTTTGTTAGCACAGCATCCGCCTCATTGCTCTTGGGTTGCGCTACCTTGTCAAGGAACGGGCAAGTCTCCTCGACTGCCAGGGCAGCGAACTCCTCAATGATACTGTCTTTCCTCGCGGTTGCTGGCTCTTCCATGTTTTCCTGTGATGTGTTTGGTGTGTGTAATTTGCAAAGAGAGGATTGAGGTGAAAGTGGATAAGGAGTAGACATTGCCTCAAGCTGCGCGACGCACGGACCCTTCCTAATGCGGAAGGAGCTACCGCTTGCTTCTTGCGATGCGAATACGTAACGTAGGGAATGGCAGAACAGCGAACATAACCACTGGCACGTGACGAGCAAAATGCATCTGAAGAAGGCGCGACGGTTTGAGAGGTGAGGATGATTCAATGTATGAGCTTGGATTCATGACGCTCGTCTTCTAGAATCTACAAGATCATGAAAGCAACCGAGAGCGCCTGTACTGCCTGCGCTACATGCTCATACAGGAACAGGTGGTTGTGTCTCTTCAAGACCCCTACGTTCCATCATTTTGCTACGTTCCAGAGTAGACTGCAGTGACATTCCTACCGCATTCAACCCGTTGCTCCACGCTCACTTTCCTCCCGTCTCCGAGCTTGGCGGTCGTCCGAGGTGTGACGTGAAACCGGTGCTCTTCCCTTCCTCCCGAGCTCTTCTTCGCCCGCTTTACTTCGGCTTCCAGATCCAACGGCTGAATGTAGATGGGCGTCGATACATTGTTCCGCCTGCCGGTTCCAAGTTGATAATGCTCATTGCCGCCCCAGAAGACGACATCGGCTCCCCAGTTAGTGTCGTCGTTGCTCGTCTTATCGGATGCGGAGGTGTAGGTGATGTTCTTCATGACAGCTGCGGCGTGTGTAGCGCCAACGCTGAGGTGGGCCAATCGGATGGGTACGGTGGTATTCGTCTTCTCGTCATATTCGAAAAGGCCGGATAGTGTGGGAATCCTGGAAGGTGTACCTTGCACATGGGTCCATCGACTGTTTGCCAGATTGCCCATGATGCCGCTGCCAAAGGCAAAAGTATCGGCTGTGATACGACCAATGCTGAGTCTTGTCCTCGGATCCCTCTCGTCGTCCTTGGGCGATGCTACTCGGGTGGCGTCCACAGTGATGTAGCTGTTGCTTCCACCAGCTGCAATGTCTGTAACGCGAGGAGTCTGCGATGATCCAGAGTAGAGCCTTTGGGTGGACAGGAGTGAAGGCGCGTCTACAATGGACGATTCAGGGTTGTAGTCAAAGCCGAGTTGACCAGAGCTGTTGTCGCCCCATGAAAACACTCGTCCTTCCTTGTCCAAGACCAACGAATGGTAGTCACCACATGCGACTCTCGAGACGTGAAACCCACGAAGAGTTATGATCTCGTGTGGCTGGTCGAAAGGACCTTCTGGCCTGGTTGCCCAAGTCAACCCAGGAATGCCGAGCTGGCCCCTGGAAGGGAAGCTGTCGGATGCAGAAGCGGCGGAGAAGACACGTCCTTTCGATGTGACCATCAAGGCGTGCTCTAGGCCGCCAGCTATCGACGTGACCTTCTCTGAGTATCCAAGGTTTTGTGGCGACACCAAGCGATATGAGATCGCGCTTGAGCCTCCCCAGAACGGAATCCAGCTCCCCTCAGAAGGCTTCGCTCCACTTTGCTGATCCTCTGCCGACACTGGTACGCTGTACACCTTTCCGTTACCTCCCAACCCAAGTATTCTGTCCTTTGACGTCGTCAACGCGACCAAATTCTTCCCTCTCAATGTCTTTACGGGCTCCTTGATGTCCTGCGCATACCCTGTGCCCCACTGATACAAATCTCCCTTCTCATCAATCGCAGCGCCGAAGGACCGGTCAAGCTTGATGTCCCTCAGAAGCTTCCCATCAAAGAATGGTATCCGCCTGGGCGTCTTTACAACAGCCTCTGAGCTGTCCGGCGCCACTACCCGACCACTGTTGCTGCCCCAAGCATACACGCCTGGAGCCTCCCAGGATCGCTTCACCTGGTGATGCTGGCTGGAGATCATGTCCCTGTTCTCTTCCTTGCTTGCGCCAGTCTTCTTTCTCGACTCCTCAAACACCAGTCGATTCTCCTCATCCTCCTCATCCTTTGGTGGCGTCTCGGCATGTGCTTGCCGGGAAAAGCTGCCATTATTGATGTAGAACTGCGATGCTGTGGCAAGTCCTCCAGCAAAGGCAATGGTGAGGATCGATCGGTACAATTGTCGTTGCTTCCGGTGCGCTCGTGCTTGATAAGAGACGCTGGCAATCCGCGTTGCTGCCGCTTGCTGGGCGAGGAAGTTGGCTCGACTCGATGAGGATCGCTTTCCAGCTGGGACTGCTTTGGTGGCTGTCCGCGAGAGGACTTGCTTCGAGGCCATCTTGTCCCTAGCTTGCAGCGACAATAGACACACTCAATCAAGAGGTATCTCGGTGGCTACGTATGTGGGAGTTGTTATCGTTGATGGTGGTGATACTGGAGAGAGGAAAGAGTTAAGAAGCGCAGAAACATGCCGAGTGAGATGTCCAATCGTCGTCTCTCCGAAAGTCAATCGTCGTCAATCGTAGATGTCATGCAATGGAAGCTACGGGCTCGGCCCGTGAACAGTACGGCGTACTATATCGCCGTGCAGTCGCCGTACGAAGACTTCACTTCTTCGTTTAGTGAAGCACACTTGCTCTCGGAAAATGCAACCGTGATTACTCTGGCTCTACTCCAAAGCCTACAGGTGGTGAATGACTGCTTGATCTACCACTCACTTTTATTCCATATTCCCGCTGAAAACCGGTAGAACATAATAAGCTCTTCATGTCCTCTCCCACCAACAGACTTCAACTTGCCGCTGTGCGTCAGGCTCTCTCGCTGGTAGGTGCACACCATCTGTACCGAGCTTTCTCCAAATCTTGGTAACGGAGACGACATGCTGTGCTGGTCCAGCAACTTCCATGGATGATCTCAATCCAGACAGACGGAACATTCTTACCCGTAGCCATCTTGCTTGTAAGACCGCCCGGGAATCCGAGTGTATTATTCCTGAGAGGCCGAGATGGGTATGCTCACTCTTGCCGTTGGCGATGCTTTTGTGAATGCTTGACCGCATACATCGCCTGGTGCATCCTTCTTGTCCCGCATGACTGCTGATGTTCCCCATGCAAGCCTGCGGTAATTCAGTATTTGGTGTCGACGAATGGCAAGTAAGCTACAAGAGCTCTTGAACGTGACCGGGAAGTGCACAGTCATCTCCAAACGGAAGCCAGCTGGCCAGTCGGACAATGTCGTGGGTGGATAGAGCAAGCTATGGCCTGCATCTTGGTTCGGCACATGACGCCGAGACTAGTTTCGGTTAGCGTCAAACGCCATCGGAAAAGTCCATTTTCGAGGTCATCTTGGCTTGGCTGCTTGAGTTACCTTCCTCTTCAACATCATCCGCCTTCGCCGACCACATCCAGCACTCGTCCTCTGCATGATGCTTCCACCGCCGATACGCCGCAAGTCACTCGGTGTACGGCCAAAGTCGGACGCTACTGTCGCTGCAAACAGCCGTGCGACTATTCCAAGAAGTCCTGCCAGCCTCGATCTACAGCGTCACAGCCGCCATGAGTCTGGAAAGCAGGAGTCCCCGCAGCGCGCATCCTTCATGGGCCTGCCGACCGAGCTCCGCCTCAAGATCTACGAGTTCCTCTTCGCCCCGGCCGATCCACCACCGGCCTCACCCTGCGCCATCCCCTGCGCCGACGACGGCAAGGTTGCACTCCTCCCTCACTGCTGTACCTTACCCCATGAGATGTACACCTGCTGGCCCGGCTTCGCATATGGAAATTACATGCGCGATCACCGCATACACTGCAGTTGTATAGCAATCCGCGGCGCCCAAATCCTCCGCTTGAACAAGACAATCTTCGCCGAGGCCATGCCGGTCCTGTACAATTCTTTCGAATTGCGGGTCTTTCTACCAGAGCGAGACCCGCCAAGGCATGTGCGTGGGAATTTGAGCCATATCGAGACCTATCTGCCAGGATATGCCTGTGAACACGTGAAGCAGATTGTCTTCACCACTTCCACGCATCTTACAGTGGCGAAGGTCTCCAATGGCGCTCGTCGAGCGACAGACAGGCTGGAGAGACATTGGACTAGAGTGTGGGAGATGTTTCCGTCGGTGCAAAAGGCCAGGCTCCATTTCGACGTTAATGCAGAGTGTTGCCCGGATTCCTTTGCCTATGAGCAGTTTGCCGGCCTGGTACACGGGAGAGAACTGCGAAGCGTGAGGGTGGAGTTTTCAAAGTGCAAGTATGAGTCCAGGATCGCTATGCTCCATGAGACCGTGAACATCGTGAGGGAGCTGCTGGTCTCGAGCTTACGGGCAGAGACGGAGTGGTTGGGTAGGGATGTCGATATTTCCGAGGCTGATATTCGGATAGTTCAGGTCGACGAAAGAGCAGGAGAGCAATCAACGAAGTGAGACAAGCAAAGAGAGGGACGAGGCAGATCCCGACACAGCCATCTTGATTCGGGAGTGTGTCGGGACGTCAACGGTTCTAAGCATTGTACCAGCATGAGGTAGTCTCGACCCTTATCTCCACGTCGTCATTGCGAGGTACACATCAGTTCGTACTTAGGTCAAGGCAAAATTGGAAGCGATTGTTGTGCATTGGCCGAGGAGATGAAGCTGATCGTTTGATCACAAGAACGTCTCCGCATCTTCATCTGTGAAGCAATCATTGGTGGTAATGGCCAGTGTCGAATCATTGTGTTCTTGAACGCTCTCATGCTGTAGCCCTATTTCCCCTGGTGAGAGGACGTGGGATACGTATACTCGACGTGGAGGATTGGGCGAGCCGGTTGGAGGAAACTTCTGGAACGAGAGTATTACCAATGGCATTGCGCCGTCGTAAGACCCGTACAACGCGTGCATGTAGTGATGATGCATGATTCGATGTAAATACCTTGCCACCAAGCGATGAGAGAAGATTCCTTTGGGTGTCGATGTGCTTTGCTTACGGCCAGACATGGTGCATTTAAAATAATTGGAGGTGTTGAGTACTTGTTGCTTTTCTCTACAAGACCATGTAACCATCTCCTCCCGGCACAATACCATTCTTCTCTGTCCACGTCTCCTTAATTGCCGTAAAGTGCTCTTCCAGGTTCATGTCCCGTCGCACAGCATGCTGCTTTCCAACAGGCCATCGCTCCTTCTTCTTCTTTTCATACCCGTTCTTCCCACCACCGTACCCTCCTCCACTGGAACCAAGACTGCCGGCGACACACCCCTCAACACCATTGAACGCCACATCCGCGACCGTCTTCCAGGTCGCAGTCTGATCCACGGCCATCTCAGGCGTATAATACAGTCTACAATCGGCCGCTTCATACTGGAACTGTAGCGGTACATTACTCGGATCGTTTTCTCGGAAACCATCTCTGCTGTTCACCACACTCTTTACTGTGCGGTAGAGCACGAGGTCATTATATGCGCCGAGAGCGGACTGATTGTAGAAGGCGGCATCATGGATGTATCGATATTGGAAGGGTACTTCGGCGAGCCCGAGGATGTCGGCGTAGGGGTAGTCGTTGGTGCCTTTCACGCCGCCTATTGCTTGAGTAATGGCTTTGTTTGGGCGGCCGCCGAGGTTGACGAATTTCACCCCCGCTAACAAGTATGCTGTTAGCGGAACTCCGATAAATCGCAGGGCTGATGAGCATGATCTTACCTTGCTGTCGTAAGAGTTCGCTAAAGATTGTACAGGTCGAAGCGCAGTAGCCATCTGTCACGACAACGATGTCCTCCGCCTTGGCCAAGTCAGCAAATGTTGATCTCCACTGAGCTAATCCCGTCTACCTTGAATGGCTGCATCGTAACATTGGTCCTATTCAGGTACCCCGAGACCTAAAACTGATTAGCCTCATCGACTACACGCAGAAGGCATGGCGGACTTACGACAATACCACCCGAGTTGAGAGGCGTCAACACATCGCTCAAATTCCACCGGACGATGTTCGTATAGTTGTCTGGCCCTGGTCCGAAGGTCTGAGGTCCGAATTTGTCTGGCCAGGAGGTGAAAGGCTCGTAGTCGACGTCCGCATCAGTTCGGTAGTTGAACGTGGACGAGACGAGATCTGCTGCCGTATCAGTGAGCTGAAGTGTCGTCGGTCAGTCCGATCGTCCAGACAATATACGAAGAAGCTTGCTTACATACCGTCGTCAAATTTCTCGGGACAAGCCCCGAGAAATGGCTGATCTCCTGTCCGATCAGATCGAAAGCCTCATGAGCTCGGAACCGCGAGGCACCATACGGCAAGATTTGCGGAAATAGTTGTTTGAAGACATCGTAGCCTTGTAGAATGGTCCCTCCGCCGTTGGCTGAGACATCGATGATGAGTTTCGTTTTGTTTTCTACCAAGGCTTAGATTTGGAACGTCTATTCCATGCAGTCATACTCACTGGCGACAGCCTGATCAAGGAGGTAGGTATTGACCTCTTGAAAGGACATCTCATCCGCATCACTGCTGACGAACGAAGCGATGCTGAGCACAGCGACATCGTCATATCCCGCGCCTTCCAAAAAGTACCCGGAGTTGAGATTCGACATCTCCCGAACCACAGGAGTCGGATAACCCGGCGCGGGGATCACAGTCGACATTGTAGACGAAGCAGAGGTGGACGTCGAGGACGCCGAGGACGTCGTGGAAGTAGCTAATGCCTCGGCAGATTCGATGTCGGATGGCGTTGGTGTGAAGAATTCTTTGTAGATATCCGGACCACTGGTGATGTTCTCAAAGCTGACCAGTACCCGCGCAAAGTTCTCGCTCGTGATGCTCGTGCCATTCGCGAAAGTGAGAGTTGTGCTTGGACCAGGGTACATCCATCTGCCACGCCCACCGCCGGCGAATGTGCCCGTTCCCGTCCCTCCACTGCCCAGGGAAACTTGCTGCAAAAGGTAGAACATGTTGTTCCAAAGAGCGTCTGGGTCCTGCAGGCTACCGTAAGAAGCCCACCTGAGAAGATAATCTGTGCTGTTCTGGCCATCAATCTCGACCAAGGGACTCGGGGTAAAAGTTGCGTTTTCCACCACACTACTCAGGACATCCTGATAAACATATACCTGGGGTATGCTCTTCCCATCCAGAGACACAGAAACCAAAGGCGTGGTACGACCATACGAGAAGACACCGGTAAAACTATCTGGGTAGATGGCGAAATGACCATCGTGAGCAGCCTGAAAAGCTGTGTACAGATCGTTTCCAAAGGAGTACTCGTTCGAATAGTCGTTCGCAGAGGCCTTGGAATAGATGCGCTTGAATTCGGCATAGAAGTCGTATGGTGGTTGGATCTTCTCCGCGTACTCGGCTGGCGGATCTTTGAGCCATTGAATGGTGGTTTGCCAGTCGAGATAGGGTCGTATGGAGTCCATGAGCGCGACTGCATCACTCGTGTCAACGAACTCATCCTTCCAAGTCTGTTTCAACGAGACCTGCCTGCCGCAGAAGAGTTGAAAGGCACGCTGTTTACGCACTCATAAGCCAGCTGTGCAGGCACGGTCGCGGTGGCCTTCGGAGTCGTGCTGGTAGTGGAGGCCTGGAGGATTCTGATGCTGTCACACGCATTGTCACTCGCGTAGCTGCTTGGAGTTGTGGTGGGTGAAGTGTAGCTTGGCGGCGTAGGTTGTGTGGTCAGAGATGGAGTAACACTCGGTTTGCCCGGATGCTGCTTAGGCCAGGTCGTCGCGGTAGGCTGTTCGGGTGTGTACAGACTTGGTTTCGGCCTGTAAGGAATGAGCTGACTGTGGAAGACGTGCCCCTTGGCTTCCCGTCCCCGTCTGGCTTCACTTGCGAAGTATACGCTCCGCAAGACTCGCACGTGGCCCGGAATCATTTGCGAGACATTCCCAAGCAGCAAGCTTTCTGTGTCTAGATATACGCATAAGTTTTGGTTCACTCACCAGCCAGGCCATGTCTCCTGCGCAGGCCAGTCTATACGGTGAGGTTTGGGCCATTGCGGCGGCCATGCATTGCACACAGTCGTCCAGAGTAGTGGGAGAAAGACAATCATGCCATAGATCATCGTGCTCGAATGTGCCCCGGCAGAAGGCTTGATGGAGAGGAGAAATGAGTGAAAGTGACGAGAATGAGGATTACTATCAACGTACCGGCTGCACTCACATCGCTTGTCGTATCTGTTCCATCATTTCCCCGCCGATCATCAGTTGGAGGTTGATTGCGCTTGATTGGAGACGCTTTGCTCGGACAGGAAGGAGGACTGCAGGAAGGTGCAGCTGAGGTGTGGCCAAGATGCAGGCCCGGGTAGAGTTCCCGCCCGTCCCGGCCTCATCGTCTTGCGCAGCATCATTCCGCGTACGGATTGACAGGGTGCTCGTCCGCTCGGCGCAATGGCTGCATGCGCAATGGCTGGAGTGAGAGAGGACAGAAGATGGAGCTGGCGCGAGCTTATCAAAGTCGATCGCGGAGGGCCAGGGAATGCCCTGTTGCTGAATTCCCAAAGAGGAAGCTTGCGCATCACCATTCTGCAGAGAGCTTCATCCTTGGATATCACTTACACGTCCAAACACTGTTGCCGAAGAACGATACCTTTAGTAAGGGCGATGGAACTGAGCCAAGGCCAAGACCTGATGTTCCGGTCTCTGTGCAGTACTCCGCATCGCATCGCATCGGAGGACAACGGAGCCAGGGCACGACATGCCCAATCGAATGACTCAAGCGGACAGTCAGCACTTTCATGTGAGAAGAGCACTAGTAGTAGTCGGGGGTCGAGGTGAATGTTCAAGAAAGAAGGCCTCAGGTTGCGGGGTATCCAAGTACTATAATTCATACATTAACTGAAGACGCACAACGTCGTGCACGGGACACATGACATCAGAATCCACGCCCGCGGTGCTTTGGGGCCCCCCCCAAGTCTTGTGTATTCGCCCTTGGACAGACAACAACAACAACAACAACAACAATAACGACACCACCCTGACAAAATGGCAGCAGAAGCAGCAGCAGGTCTTTGGGCCGCCGAAGAAGTCGTGTCAACGACTGCGCAGGCTGGTGTCGCCGCATACGCCGTAGGTTACGGATCAAGATGCGGCATCTTTCGCGACTTCACTAACTTCCCATCCAGGTCAGCAAGCCAACAATGCCACTCCATGCTACGTTCAGGCAGATCGCCACCGCCAAGGATGACCACACCAAGTATATCGACAACTGCTTTCCATCCCTTGCTGCATCGCTAATCTCCGCAAGACTTTCTCTCGTCAGATCAAACCATACCGTCACTGTCGTTCAGAACAGAGCATACGTTTTTGGAGGAGAGACTGCGAGTGGCATGCTCGCCAGCAGCGAGATTCACTCTGTCACGATAGAGCATATCGGCAAACCCGAGCCACATTACTCGGTTCTCCCGGCAGTCGCAGACGTCGACGGCCAAGCGGTTCCATCAGCTCGGACCAAGCACGCAGCATGCAAGCTCAATGTCTGCGTTGCGATCTTCGGTGGCGTGAGCGAATCTGGCAAGCTCGTCGATTCGGAGGCTTTCGTATGGCTCTACGTAACGGCGAAGCAAGCCTGGGAGAAGCTGGAAGCCGAGAGCTCAAGTATCGCGCCTGTCCAACGCAGCGAGGCGAAGCTATTCGAGCACAACAACAGTCTAATCTTGTACGGAGGATTCGATGCAGACGGTCAGGAACTCAAGGATGTATGGCACTTCCACTATGCGTCGAAGAAGTGGACTCCTTTGCCGACCGCCCCGGTGTCTACCTCGAGTGCAGCAATGGCCGGTAGCGTTCTCTACCTCGTTTCGGGAGCAGACAATATGAGCAGTAATCTATACTCGCTCAACACCAGCAACTTCGAGAAAGCTGAGTGGCACTCGAAGTCGTTTCCTACCAACCCACTAACCCCTGGACCAAGGCCTCGCCGAGGCGGCTTGCTGCTTCCTATCTCGACGGGGTACGGAAGAAACTACCTGTTGTATGCTTTCGGTGCCCGCCAGAATGCCTCCACAGCAGAGACTGCCTCTCCCGAAGAGACCGAGGATCCAACGCAGTGGAGCGATCTCTGGACGTACCAGATCGAGTCGAGCCAGCCGGAAGTCCAGGCGACTACGAACATCAGCGAAGCTCTTAAGCCTTCCAAGATCAAGGACGCTATCCGATCAACGCTGGGCTACGATACCGGTGAGCATAGCTGGGCTGAAGTCGAAGTGCAGCCTCCGGGAGATATGATCGAGGGTGAAGGCAAGGTGCACCCGGGACCACGCGCCTTCTTCGGCTGCGACGTCTCGGGTGATGCCAAGAGCGTCGTTCTCTGGGGCGGCTTGAATGCAAAGGGCGAGCGAGAAGGCGACGGCTGGATAATTAGTTTTTCATAGAGTAGGTTCGATTCAGGCGGAGGGAAGTCTATCTTGGGAGTGAGAGCCACATTCGCTACACTATCCTACTAAGACCCTTTCCGTAGCCTCCTTATCTAAAGACGTCCTGTTAAGATTCGTACTACTATTATTAGTAGTCCTAATTTCCTATCTATTTAACTACTTCTTAGGGAATTAAGTATTAGTTAATAAGCTCTAAACTTACCTATCTTACTTATAGAGTACTTATTATATAGTTTCGAGCGACTTACTCTATAGCTATATATCTACTAATAGTATATAAGTTATACTTATAGATATTCTCTAGCTAGAATCTCAGATCTTTAACTAGGAATCTAGAGCAAGATCGCTAAGAAGAGGTATTTAGTACCTAATTAGGCCCTATATATTAAACCTAAAGATACGATTTAGGGATAGAGAGCTTAGAGAAGAAGCTAAAGTAAATCTTTAATAAGGTTTCTTTTAGAACATATCTATAATAGAGATTATAAATGTCTTTTACTCGAATATAAAAGAAGTAACTAACTCTTATATCTCTACTTACTTATCTAACTAACCTATATACTAGCTACGCTACTAATCCTTGAATATACTTCTATATTTCCTATTATTAATCTATAATATTTCTGTCTATGTAACTTATAATCTAATAGAATAGTATACCTTCGAAGAGGTTATAGACCTACTATAGTATAGATATAGTACCTATATATACTAGACTATATACCTTACTCTAGTAGATACTTAAAGAAACTAAGTTTTGTAGCCTTAATAAAGAACAAGTTTATATCTCTAAAAGTAAGAGGACTAAAACTTAGTAATTTTTTTTTATAATTATAGTCTCTATAAAGGTAATAGATACAATACTTCTCTATAGCTTTATCTAGTTATTCTATCTTTCTGTAGACTAGCTAGTTATTCGAAGGTTTATAGTAGTATAGAGTATAGATACATATACTAGATAGAAGAGTAGGTAGTAGTATAGCTAGTAGCGTAGCTAGTAGCTAAGGTAGTAGGTAAATAGGCAGAGGGTAAGTAGTTAGATTAGTAGCATGAAAATTCACTTACTTCTCTTCTTCTTAGGGTAGAGAAAGGTATCTAACTATATATCCTCTAGATATTTTTGTGAACTCTATTATACGCTAAGCAGGTAATACTATGCTAATTTCTAATTATTTATAGACGTATTCTTAATAAATCCACCTTATACTTTAATCGTAGAATCTATACTAGGATTTAGTAGGTGCTAGATATCCTACTTAGGTATCTAGCATTAGGGTCGTCCCCTAAGCAGTAGCTAGGTAGTGCCCCTAGCCTGCTACTATACTCTAGTAGTAATTTTCTGCTACTTCTAGGTACTAGATACCCGATTAGGCTGTCTAGTAGTAAGGTTACCTCTATAGTAGAGGAATTAAAGATATCGTATACCTATGTTTTATATATTATACGGACGGACCTAGCTATAAGCGGCAATTTGTTCGGACGAAATATAGGTAGAGAAGTCTTTTAGATCTTTCGCTACTACGTTAATTTCTTTCGTAAGGTATAGACTATAAATTATGAAAGAATCAAGTATAGATAGGAGTTACTATTAAAGTCGCCTATTAGAAGCTATGCAGTAGTATGGAGAGTAAGAATGCCCGATAGAAGTGCCGTAGCTAGTCGTAGAGCGTCCGTAGAGATCGTAGAGAAGGTTAAGAAGTATAATACTATAAAGTTCTAGTATACTAGCTAAATATCGTAGTTAGTAGAGCAGCTAGCAGTGTCCTAGTAGCTAAGATAGGAAGGCGGGTAGGTATAAAGGTAAGTGAGGAGTAGGTTAGTAGATTAAATATAGAAAGAGTTACTTACTGATCTTTCTCCCTAGAAAGAGAGAGATCTCTATATATCCTCTAGACATCTTCGTAAACTCCATTAAATGCTCGTAAGTTGAAGTATCGCTAGGTTAAGATATGTTTTATACGTGTTTCTAATACTTCTACCTCCTATATTAATCGTGGATTTTTAGCTAGGTTGTCCTAGGTAGGTGCTAGATACCTGATTAGGTATCTAGCGGCAGGGTCGCCCCTAAGCATTAGTAAGGTAATTCTCCTAGCTCCTCTTAGGGCTCTAGTAGTATACTCCCACTACTATATAAGTGCTAGATACCGGATTAGGCTGTCTAGTAGCAGGCTTACCCTCTTAGTATCTATTTCAGACCTCTTATAATATTTAGTATATTCTAATATCGCCTACTATAGTTACTATACGAGACAGTCGATCGCTATAAGAGTCTTTACTACGAGAGAGAGTCGGTCGCTATAAGAGGGAGTCGCTCGCTACTAGTCTCGTACGATATATATCAAGTATAGCCGGCTACCTAGCGTAGTAGTAGGTAATGCTTCGATAGATAATCGAAGTATAATATATATAACTTAGGTGCACGATATTTATAAATTTGCTAAAAGTACTACCTAGCTACTACTCCGGCGCGACCCTACTACTTAATACCCTCTTAGGTATCTAGTACCTACCTAGGATAACTTAGCAAAGAATATATACTTAGCCTATAAGGTGGGAGTGCTAAGGATACGCCTAATATCTATCGGAAATTAGCGTCGATTTACCTACTAAGTATATAACAGCGTTTCTAAATATCTCTAGAGAACACATAAAATACCTTTCTTTCCTGATAGTAAGAAGAGAAGAGGGAAGTAACACTTTAAAATACTAATTTAAATACGTACTCTTTATTTACTTACCTATCTACTGACCTACTACTGTAGCTACTAGCTCCACTACTGATTATACTATTATCTACTTTAAAAGCTATAGTACTTAGCTAGTATACTATATACTACCTTATACTACCTCTAGAACCTATATAGACATTCTATAGCTAGCTATAATATGCCTTTTCGGTATAGCTACGCTCTTTACTACTGTATACCTTTTGAGAGATAATGAGTCTAGCCTAGCGTAGCTATAGTACTAACTATACCGGAAACTCTACTTAATCTATTATAATCCTTTTGGGACTTTAAAAACTATAATAAAGAGTCTCTATACCTTATAGGAGAATAATAGTACTCTAGCTAAAGGGAAAGAATCGGTAGCTATAGCAAAATCTTTATAACTACTACTTACTAGAGATTATAGACTCTACGCCTCTTATATCTCTAGAACAGGCCTAGCGTATAAGAGAGAGTATGTATATAAGCTTATAAAATAGCACACTCCTGTTACTAATATCGTCGTCGTCGTACGCCGCGCGCTACTTAGAGAGTAGAGTAAAAGACGCTTAGATACAGTAGGAGAGGGAGTGCTAGCATAAGCCCTTATACACAGACCCCCGAATATAAGCTTAAAAACCCTATAAGGGTACGCTTCCCTAGTTATATAAGATCTTATTAGAGATCTAGATTTTATATTAGGTCTAATATACCTATTATAAGAGGATACTTCGAACGATGTTAGGAAAGAAGACGAAGAATAGCGTAGTCTATATACTAGGGTATAAGCAAGTTATACCTTCCTATTATAACCTGATCCTCTTACTCTACCTTAGCGGCGTTACTCTAGCCTTAGAGAATACTCTAGAAAGAATAGGAAAAAGAGAAAGAAGAACTATATATTAGAATATAAGGAATATTCCAGAGGTCTAAATATAGCTTAGGAGATAAACCTGCCTCTAGACATAGCCTAATCGGGTATCTAGTGTTTATCTAGTAGTATCAAAATGCTACTAGAGCTCTAAGGAGAGCTAGGAGCACTATATAGCTAATACTTAGGAACGACTCTACTACTAGATACCTTATTAGGTATCTAGTACCTACCTATAGCGACCTATATAGGAGTCTACAATTAAGTTTCACGATAGAAGTATTAGAAACACGCCTAGGGTATCTTATAAACTAATACAGTCTTAATTTACAAGCGTATAATAGAGTTTACAGATATATCTAGAGGATATATAGAGACCTCTTTCTCCCCTAAGAAGAGAAAAAGATAAGTGACTCTTTCTATATGTAGTTTACCTACTTACTCTCTACTTACCTACCTATTTACCTGCCTACTATCTTAGCTACTAGCTACGCTACTAACTGCTCTACTAGCTACGACATTTAGCTAGTATACTAGAACTCTATAGCATAATACTTAATATTAGAGTTATTCGAAAGGTCTAAAATAGATAAGAAGGGGATATTCCGCCGCTAAATAGCCTAATCGAGTATTAAGCACCTACTAGTAGTAGAGCAACACTACTAAAGCTCTACTCGTAGTAGTCTCTTTACCGCTATAGGCGGGTTTAGCTAGCTTAAAGTAAATAATATACTTAACGTAAATCTATTAAATTACCCTACCTATAAGCTTTTATATCTATACTAATCTATATCTTATTAGATAATACTCTCTGAAAGCCTTTCTTTATACCTTTATGCTTATATTTAAGCTACTAGATCCTTTATAAAGTAGCTAATCTAATACGAGAATTTAGAGTAGATGCCTATTTAGCTTTGTATATTATTACCTCTACTTCGTCTTCTTCCCTTACTATAGTAGTATAGTATGCTTCTATAGCCTTTATAATACTACTAATCTATAGCCTATGCCTCTTACTAGTCTTTTATACTATTCTTTACTAGTAGATAGCTATTAAAGCTTCTAGTTTACTTACAGTTTAAGTATAGCTAGTATACTATAGCTCTATACTACGAAATAAAGAGGGAAGTTACTAGTAGAGTACTAGGTCTAGTATTCTATAATAGTACTACTTTTATACTTAAATATACGAATAGGTAGTAGTATAGCCTACTATACTTTTAGTAGTAGTAGTATTACTCTTACTTTTACTTCTACTACTCTACGCTCTACTATCTCTACCTCTGCTTTTAGGCGTAGTTACAAGATTACTACCTCTAGATAGTAGGAAGAGATACCTATCTTCCTAAAGTATAGAGGGATAGTAATAGGTCTAATAGCTTTTACTCTTAAGCCCTTAAAGTTAGCGAGGAGTTTAAGCCTATTATAGTTAGTATAGCTATAGCTAGCTACTCTATCTACTATCTCGCTAGCGTTACTACTACGAGTAAGTAGGGCTACGAGTACTGCCTAGGTAATACTTAGAGGCTATGCTGCCGCTAGATACCTAATTAGGTATCTAGTACCTAGCTAGTACAACCTACCTAAGGATCTATAATTAGGTTAAAAGGTAGAAGTATAAAAACACGCCTAAAAAATATAGGACACTAGCGTAGTTCTACTACACGAGTGTATAGTAGATTTTACGAATACATCTAGAGGATATATATATACCTCTCCCTCTCTTAAGAAGAGAGATAGACAAGTAAATCTTTCTACTACTAATCTATCTAATTACTCTTTACTTACTTACCTACCTACCTGCCTATTATCTTAGCTACTAGCTACGCTCCTAGCTATACTATTTAGCTAGTATACTATACTCTATCTTATAATACTTCTTATACTTTTCCTACGACCTATATAGATGTTCTATAGCTAGCTATAATACCCCTTCTATCCGGCCTATCTACGCTTAATACTACCGTATACCTTTTAATAGGTTAGAAGCCTAGCTTAGCGTAGCTATAAAGCTCTACCTATACTAGAAATCCTACTAAGCTTATTAAATACCCCTAGAGACTATAGAGCCTCTAATATAGAAATCTTTAACCTTAGGAAAGGAAAGTACTATTCTAGTAGAAGCGAAAGGACTAATATCTGTAGTAGAATCTTAATAGTTACTATCTCTATAGAGACTATCTAGTTGCCTCCTTCTATCTACCTAGGATTGTCCTATAGTGTAGGAGAAATAGCTACGCTATCATACTGTAAGCCTACACGCAATTATATGAGCCTAGAGTACGCTGTCCTAGTTATATAAGATCCTGTCCACGAGCAATCTCGTATAATAGGTCTATTCTACCTAAAACTAGAAGATACCCTATAGGTTAGAGGAGGAGAAGAAGAATTATACGAACGTCTACTTAAGTTAGATATAAGGACGATTAGATATAAATAGATATTTAGTATAAAAGAGAAAATTCTATTACTAGGAAACTCTAGAGCTTAGTTAAAGCCTTACTGAATCCCTTACTTTAGGAACGCCTACTATATACTACTAGGATCTATAAGTACTAAAGACCGCGTACGAAACTAATTAAAGTCTGCGTTAGTATAGAGATTTTCTATATATCTAGAGATTACCTTTAGACCTAAACAGAGTCTCTCTCCTTAAGCTAAAGCGCATCCTGTCTACGAAGTATAGGCACTTAAGCTACGCTCTCTACTCGTAAAACAAGAGGTAGACGAGGTACTAGAAATATATACTATATAAATACTAATACTATTACTAAGGCACTAGCTCTAATTCGCTTAGCGGCAGAGGAAAACCCCCGGTTTTAGATCTAGCACTCTACTACTACTTGGGAAGTATAGAGCTCTCTAAAGACTTATACGTCTCTAATAGCTTTAATAGTAAATACCTTATCCTAAAGGGATTGTTCGCTATATGCCTTCGCTATATGCCTAGAGGCTAGCGATAGTATAGAGGCCTATGTTATAAATATACGCCGCCTATACGATTAGCTTTAAGCTAAGAGTATAGACCTACCTAAAAAAAGTAGCAATTGTCTAGACTCGAAACAATCTTATAAAGGAATAGAGAAGCTTTATTCCTACTATTAGATAAGGCTATAGAGTGGATAGTAGTACTCTTACTATAGAGGACCTATTCTCCAACCTTCTAGACAAATTAAGGCGCTATAATACTAGTAAAATTATCTCTAATAATAATAAAGGGAGTTTCTAGAATATAAAGAACGTCCTAAAGGTCTAATATAGCTACACAGGAGATAACCCTGCCGCTAGATAAGCGTAATCGGGTATCCAGTATATATCTAGTAGTAGGCATACACTACTAAAGCTCTAAGAAGGGCTGGGAGCACTACCTAGTTAATAGTTAGGGGCGACCCTACCGCTAGATACCTAATAAGGCATTTATTACCTGTCTAGAGCAACCTAGCTAAAGATCTATTATTAGGCTACGACGTCTAGGTATCGATAATCCGCCCGAAACATCTCGAAAACTAGTATTGCCTTAACTTATAAGCGTATAATAGAGTTTGCAAATATATCTAGAGGATATATAGAGATCTCTTTCTCCCCGAAGCAGAGATAGTATAAGCAAACCTTTCTATAACTAATCTACTTACTTATTCTTTACTTACCTGCCTACTATCTTAGCTACTAGCTACGCTATTAGCTACTTTTTAGAGGTGTACGGTAGTATATAGCGTAGGAATAGACACTTTTAGCAGCCCTTGCGGCGGCCCTTGTAGCGGCCTTTGTAAGGCGTCTTAGTACCTATATCCGGTTAGTAAGGCCTCTTGCCTTAACGTGACTGCTATACTAGTATAGCGGTTAGGTTAAGGCCTTTATAAGGCCGAAAGCGGTTTGGTGTTGCTAAGTAAGTAGTAAGTACTTAACCTTAGTCGTATACGCGTATATAGCTATATATGCCTTCTTAGAGCTATTACTCGTATTAGCTATAGATCTAATATACTAAAATAATGCCCTTACGCGCTACGAACGCCCTAGAAGTATAGAAACTCCTCTTAATCTATCTTAGCGTAAGATACCTACTACTAAGCGACCTCTAAGTAATACGAGCAGTATAATAGCCTACCTGCTTAATACCGAATTAACGAGCGAGTTCGCCCTACAAGCACTCTTATAGTAGGCCGTTTAACCCTCGATTAAGAACGTTAATGCCTCGGCAGGTAGTACCGCGCCTACGCAATCCGGTAGAAGGCAGCTAAAGAAGAAGAAGGAGTTATAGTTAGCTCGGATAAAGTAGTAGATAGCAGAGGTTTTAACTACTACTAGTACCGATTCTAGTAGTATATACGCCGAGCTAGGTGCTATAAAGATACGTGCTAGTAAGAAGGGCCTTAGTAAGCTAGAGTACTGTATTCTCGTCGAGATTTACGTTACTTTTAAAGACAGATTAGGTAATAGCTTCTAGCCGGATATGTCTACTAAGTTTTAGCGTAGAACTAGTATTAAGTACGGCTCTTTAAGCCGTATTATTAGTCGCCTTATAATAAAGTAGAGGCTAGTCCTTAACCCTTAAGAGAACTCTAGTACTAGCGAAGAGGAAGAGAATAGATTCCGGTAGGCAATAAGGGTATAGAGAGAGATTATTAATAGTATTAAGAGCAAAAAGGCTATTAAGAAGGAGCGTAAGAAGCGGCTAAACGATACCGCTAATATAATACGCCGTAACTACTAGCGAATACTCGAAAGTTAGGCCTTTAAAGAGCTAATACCTAAAGTAGAGTAGCTTAAATTAGAGTCTAATATAAGCTCTACTAACGTTATAGAAGCCTCTAATATAGCTAAGCTTAATAGCGAATCCGAGGACGATAAGATAATAGAGCTAAGTAACCGTATAGTAATGCCGCTGTCTATAAGGCCTTCGAATTAAGGCTACTAACCTACTCCTTTACGCTTATTAGTATTAGTTACCCCTACGCCTACTTACTACGCGACTCCGTCCGCTTTAGTACGTTCCTCTATAGACTCTCGTACTAGCTAAGCTCCTACTACGAAGAGTTAGTAGTAGAAGAAGAAGAAGCGTAAGGCACTACTAGTAGAGTAAGACGAGAGGCTATAGAGCGATATAAGTAGGCTCTATAAGGCGATAACTTAGCGCTATAAGAGCGGAGCGGTTACTATTAGCTAGAACTCGGCTAAAATCGCTTATATTAAGGTTAAATTAGTCGCTTTAAAGATAGAGTAAGCTTTATAAGGCTCTAAACTAGATACTATACTATCGCTATTATTAGAAGAGCGTTAGAAGCGGAAGGAGTAAGAAGAGGCCGGTTTTAACTTAGTAATAGCTAGCTTAGAGGGCTATCTAAGTGCTAGATACTAATACTATAAGTTAGTATTAGTTTTAAGCTTCCTCTCTATAGCTGCTATACTACTATCTATAGACAGATTTCTTTTATCTTAAGATATATTATAGCGCGTAATTAACTAATAGAGCTTATGTATTTTCTTAATAATCGTCTATATAGTAGTAGAGTAGTAGATAGCAGAAGGAAGGTAGTAGGTAGTAGTAGATTTATACGACCGGTATAAAGTATAGAGCTTTCGGTAGTGCTACTAGTACTGCTAGTAACCTATACGTAGCGCTCGTTCTCGATAACTATATATCGGATTTTCGTGCTTTTTTTTAGAAGGTGTAGTATAGCCTAAAACCTACCTTTCGTAATAAAAGAAGAAAATATATAATAGTTCTAGAGAGATATATAGCCTAAAGCCGAATTAGTAGAGACAAAGTTAGCTATACGAGTATACCCGAGCTAGCCCTAGTAGGAGAAGATAATAACTCTTAGTATATAGAACTACGCTAGTAGCGAGGTTCTAGGCTATCTAATATAAGCAGTATAGAGCTAGCTATACTAGCTAACTTCCTTATCCTATTCCGGGTTATCCGGGTATAGATACTAGCGTAGAGAGGGTAGTTTAAGCCCGAACTTTCTACTTGTCTTATTCTAGCTGCATATATAGATAAAGTAGTTTATAAGTAGTATAGTAACGATATAAAAGGCCCCTACTACTTGCTATCTATTCTTAAGCTACTTTGCGAAGGTATTATACGTCTATAGCTATATTATACGTCCGAATAGGTACTCTATATTAATCCGTAGACGAGAGAGCTATTTATTAAAAGCACGCTAACTTCTAGTAAGAAATTAACGTCTAAGTAAGTGTTTAAAGGGAGCTATTACTCTAAAAGAGCTCTAATAAGCCGGGTTACTATAGAGGTAGAGCTATTGTCGATTACGCTATAGTATAAGGCGTTTTATACGCCTATCTATACCTAAGAGCTAGTATATACGCTAATCGTTATCTTTACTATTATATAGGCCTACTAGGCTCGAAATCAGGCTATCTAGAGTAATAATAGTCTAAAATTTATAGCTATATCCTCTATAGTGCCCGGAGTACTTCCTCTTTTACTCTTTCTTCGGCCTACTAAAGCCTTAAAAATAACTATTAATAAAGCCCTATATATATCTACCTATACCTCTCTTTCTAATAGCTCGTACGAATACCTTTAGTCGTCGATAGGAGCGGAGCCTTAAGTACTAGTCTATAATCCGCTAGAATCGCCTATAGAGGAATTATATAGTATCTATAAAAGCGATACTAAGCTATCTAGGGCTCCTTCCAAAGAGTCTTAGTACTTCTTACTATCGATTAGGAAACGAGAGTTAGTAGAGCACGAGGCTAAGGCCTAGTTCCGGCGTAACTAGCTGTCGATTGCGATAATTATAGTACTCTAGGCCTAGTTCTAAGTAGAGCTCTAGGGCCTCTACTTTTCGAAACCTAAGGTAGTAACGATAAGTTAGCGACAGCGATAGCGACCTTATTCTAGCTTCTTAGCACTTCTTAGAACCTGATAATAATAATAATACGTATACTACGTACCTATACCGGTTTTTAAAGTCGCTATTGCTCTACGAATCGATTAACTAGTTAAAAGACTTATATTCTACTAGCTCTAGACGCGTTTTAACCGGTTTATCTACTCCGAGTAGCTAGTAAAGGCCGAGTAGTAATACTACTTCGAGATCGTTCTCTTTAGTCGCCTCTACTATAGCTATATACCTACTACTGCCTTAGGTTATATAATTTATAGGGCAAAGAGACAGATTTCTTAGTACTTAGTACTAGAATACGCTATACTAGATTAAGAGCCTTAGCTCTACTAGAGGGGTGTTATAAAGGGCCGCTGCAAGAGCCGCCGCAAGGGCTGCTAAAAGTGTCTAATACCGAATAGTAGTGCCGTAGCTAGGCGTAGAGCGTCTGTAGATCGTAGAGATAGTGTAGGAAGTGTTATACTATAGGGACCTAGTATACTAGCTAGATATCGTAGCTAGTAGAGTAGCTAGTAGTATAGCTAGTAGAGTAGATAGTAGTACAGCTAGTAGAGTAGATAGAAGGCAGGTAGGTAGGAAAGTAAGTAAAGAGGAGGTAGGTAGATTAAATATAGAAAGAGTTACTTACTTATCTTTCTCCTTAGGGAAGAAAGAGGACTCTATTAGATATTTTTGCAAACTCTATTACCGGCTAGTAACACGTGATATAGTTATTTTACGACATATTTCGTACGTACGTATTCTTTATATCCCTACCTGTTAACCTAATTATAAATTTTTAGCTATCTTAGGTAGGTGCTAGATACCTAATAAGGTATCTAGTAGTAGGGTCGCCCCTAAGCATTAAGCATTAGTAAAGCAATGCTCCTAGCTTTTCTTAGGGCTCTTAGTAGTATTTAGCTACTGCTAGATAACTGCTAGTTACCCGATTAGGCTATCTAGTAGTAGGGCTACTATCTAAGTATCTATTTTAGACCTTTTAGATATCTATTATTCTAATAGCTACTCTACTAGCTACGACATTTAGCTTATATACTATACTCCACTTCTAATACTATTTCCGCGACCTATATAGACGCTCTAAGGCTAGATACGGTACTCCAATTAAGCCTATTTCCGCTCTATACTACCGTATACCTTCTAATACAGGCTTATTATAGGCTTAATATAAATTAAATTATTAATAGCTCTATAGCGATCTAGGGTAGGACTACAACCTATTAAAAGATATCTAGTTAATATAGGTATATATCCACTAGATAAAAGTACCGTAGCTAGCTATAGAGCGTCTTTATAGGTCGTAGAGGTAGTATAAGATAGTATATTATATACTAGCTAAATACTCTAGCTAATAAAGTAAATTATAGCATAACTAGTAGCGTCCCTATTAGCTTAGGTAGTAGCTAAGATAGTAGGTAGGTATGTTAGTAAACAAGTTAAGAATAAGTAGTTTAACTAGTAGTATAAAGACTTACTTCTTTCTCCGCTCCTTACGTCCTTACCTGTACGAGAGAGAGGTCTTTATATATTCTCTAGATATATACTTAAGCTCTATTATACGCCCTTTTAATTAAATTACGCTAGTTTTCGATAATGTTTTATATACGTTCCTGATACTCCTACCTTTTAATTTAATTGTAAATATTCCGCTAGGATACTATAGGTAGGGGCTTAGATACCTAAGTAGATACCTAGGAGCGGGGCCGTCCCTAAGTAGTAGCTAGGTAGTACTTCTAGCTTTCCGTAGTATTATAGTAGTGTTTTTCCTACTACTATTAGGTGCTAAACACCCTGTTTATAGCCGCTACTACTCTAAAGCCTAGTACTAGTCTGTTTTATACCTAGTTAAGGAGCCCTTCTAACTATTAGTTAAAGTAGAGCGTCCGCTACTAGGTAATCTCTATATATGTCCGATCTCTAGATATATCTACTAAGTCTATTATAACTCGGAGTTTTTAACGAAAGTAGAGGGGCTTTGCTTAGTATTTAATATTCCTAGAATAGGCTTATATTAGGCGTCGGAGTCGAATATAGTAGTAGCTACTACTATATTAAGGTTTCTTTCTAGTTTTTTATACTAGCTACGGCTTTACTAGAACTAGCGACGGCGCTAGATCTCTAGCCTAGAGAGCAGACTGTCTATAGGCCTCTAAGGTACGTTTTATCTACTTTAGTATGTCTATATCCCCTATTTACTAATACTATTTACTCTATTAACTATATAGTATAGTATAGCTATGGTTTATAGATTCGTAAGCTTGTATGTAAGGCCTAAATGCTAGTATTCTCTCTTATTATAACTTAGTTACCCTACTTAAGTAAGTAGTTCGTAGCCTACCCTAAATACGCGTAAATTTGGACTTTTTTCGGGCTTCTAAGGTACGTATAACGTACCTTATAGAGCGTCCGTGCCCCCTGTTACTAGTACTATTTACTATATTATATATATAGTACGGTATAAATGTAAAATATAGACTAGTCCTAGAGGTTAAGACTGAAAATATTACTCTTAAGGTATAAGCTATAGTATATACTATAAAATCTAATACATTTTAAAATCTTCTTATAGTAGTTTTATAATCTATCTCTTATATATCTACGACTATGTCTTAGCTATAAGTTTAGTAGCTAATTAGATCCTCTAGGTAGACTAGTAATACTAGTCGGACGTATAGTATAAGATAATACGGCTTCTATCTATATAAATTATATCTATAAAAAAGACTTTTCTAGTAATATAACTCTTTAAGTAGACTAGACTATTCTAGTACTAGGTATAGGTAGTAGTTCTATAACTCGAATTATACTAGATAAATACCTTTCTCTTCTTCTAAATAGTAGGCTAGAGCTAGCTCGAGTAGACTAAAGTATTAACTATAGAATAGCCCTAAACTAGTTTAGAGAAGTTTGTAGATTAATAAGTAGCTACAGTATTAACTATATTCTTAGTAATAGTTAGTAATACTAGAATAATAAAGTAGTCTTTTTCCTATTTACTCTAGAAAAATATATAAATAATAATAGAGCTTCTTACCTAAGTTAAGAAGAAGTCTAACGTTACTAAATTGGCGCTAGTAAAGAGAGCTATTACTAGATAAATTCGAGTTAAAGCGAAGTAATTAATTTCTGTTAAATAATTCGGGGAAGAATTAACGTGCCTTGTTTCACTTCCTAGTAGTCTAAGTATTCGTGGACATACTAAGTGCCGCTATAAGTAGGACGTATTAAGCGATATTTGAACGAGGATGTTAATAATTTATTAATCTTTATACGCTCTTTGCGATTCCTTGTCCGATACTTTCTAGACATGGCCTGCTTTCCGGCCAACCGGGGTAAACCGAGCAGCATGCGCAACCCATCGACTTGTAAGATATCTAGTATAGTACGTCAGATGTTGCCCGAGGCCCATGTGCCCTCCTTCCACAACGAAAACGTCGGTACTTAGAGACAGTAAGAACAATCGATCAGAACGACTCCGTAGGAGAGGTAGAGAAAGCAACGGTTGCTTCCGAGTAATAGAGCCAGTCGCTATCTCGGTAGCCGTGCAACGCCAGACTCCATGCTAATCATTCACACTCCATACCATGTACAGTACTGATGCCAATCCGCAATGCCCCTCTGTCGTCGTCATTCGTCTGACAGGCGTGATCGAGTTCCGTAACACCAAACGCGCCGTCGATCTCAATACCGCAGATCGATGTATTCGGACCTCCGCCTCCCAGTGAACGCCCGATCCAGATCTAGATATCCGCCGCTGGCGCGAAGCCCTGCTTTAGAAACGCCATTAGCAAAAGCGCAACTTCAAGCGCCCTTCGAGCGGGGCTGGGAGCGGGCGAAGGATATCAATGCTGCTAGTATTGCATCCCACCACTTCCGTATCCCTGTCCGACGCTATCATCCAAGCTGCGATAGCTTCCACGACCTCTTCCGCGGCCACCTCCACGGCCGTCGCCCCTGCCGCGGTTGCCTCGGAAGCCCTGTTGACCGCCTCGCTGGCCACCACGACCTGCATTACCACCGCCGCGATGCGACGCGAAGCCGATGCCGTTGGATCTGTTCTGCCATCCAGGATTGCCCCCTCGCTGTTGCCGCGATTGCGCTTTCGAGCCCTGCCTCGAGCTGCCGAGTGGAGGAAAGTCCTCCTCGCGTGGATGCTTTCGAGCGTTCTTTGCGTTCGGGAAGGAAGCTTCATAGTCGTCCTCGTTCTCGTATTCTTCCTCAACACGCAGAAGTACCTTCTCACCCACGGTAGTCTCGAACTCGAAGGCTTGATTGGGTGGAACAGGCTGCCAATTCTGTATCTTGCTTGCCTCAATGGGCTTCGCTTGCCGCCGAGTCGCAAGAACTACGCATGGAGTGTTGTTCTCGGTGTAGATCTTGACACCTGATGTGATAGGCTGCACACGCGCGGCCCAAACCCTCTGCTCATGGACGGCAATGCCAGTGACCTGCCAGGTTACCTTGGCGCCAATGCCACCAACCTTGTCCAGAATCGACCGCGGAGCCGGACGTGGCGTGATGAGAATGTTATTCGCAAGATACCTCATCTCGTGCTCCGGGCAATTCTGTGGCAGCTTGACCAGCGACCTCAACTTCTCAATGTCAGGTGGAGGGATGAGATAGCCAGTGTAGAAGACAGATCGCTTGATCTTATACGGGACCGTTCCTCGAGGAGCGCTCCCATCCACGATAGCTTGATTGTTGACGTTGATCATCTTCTGCACCTCGGCAACCTCTGCAACAGGGTCCATGCTCGCCTCTTGATCGCAGACAGGGATGACTTCGGCCGTGAATGGCTTGCGGGGGACCGGCAGAGCTTCGGTGGACACAGCTGTCATGAGCATCCGGTTGAGATCGGTGAAGTAGTCGCGGAAGGCCTTGACATGCTTGGGGCGGTCCTCGTAGATGCGCATTTCCTCTGCCTGCCAGTATGTGAAGACAATATCGCGCAGCAGCGCTTGCTTGAACAGCATGGTGCTGGAAAAGATCTCGCCGGAAGGACTCGAGTTTGGCTTGAGGCAGACCATGTCGAACTCCAGCTTCTTGGCCGCGACCATGCGCAAGATCAAGTCCGAGAAGCCAGACTCGCTCCTGCCTGTCAGAAGTACACACAGTACCTCATTGTCCTCGCTAGACAGCCGCACGAGCTCCGCAATCTTCTCATTCCAGCACCCTTCCCAAGCTCTTGACTCTTCCTTCTCCAGACCTTGACCTGTGGCCGCCAGGATATTCGGGTTATGCCACCATCCGCCACTGTACAGGAATTCTTGAGCTTGCAGTTGACCGCATGTTCCGCTGTTCCAGAGCTGTCTATTCGGAAGAGGCGAGGCGAACACTAGAGGAGATCAGCCTTGTTCCTCGGTGCTTCTCGAGCGCATCAGATGACGTACGGGTGTTGTCGAAATCGTAGATGTGAATGGCCTTGATGTGGTCGACTGGAGGAAGCTGCCTGTCCTGGCAGGTCCATCTCCTCAGCGCAGTGATGGTGTGTGTCGCCGCCATCGCAGATACAAGTGAGGAGGACGAAGAAATTGTGGTGGAAGATCAGACCATCCTGTCGGCGGTATCAAGTCGAAGTTGCAAGTGAGATGGTGAGTTGCCTCAAGACCGGAAGGTTGTACAAGTTCAAGGTGCACGGACACTTCTCGGCCCGACGAAATTCCAGCTTTGCTGGAGATTCACTACTAAGGTACCTACTATCATTGACCCTTCGATTTACGATATCTATCAGGCACCTCTACACGAACGCTCAAATCACATGCAATACACAATGGAGTCGCATTCGCAACATCCTCTTATGTGCTTCTCAGCTGACTCTAGCATCTTTCCGCCAATGCTGCATCTTCACATGCTCTCGAGCACGGTCCAGCTCCTGGCTTCTACGAGCTGTAGCTGACTTTATCTCTTCGGCGCAACAGTCTCGAGACGAATGCTACCACTATAGACTCCGGGAGCAAGTACTGGCTGCCATTTTGATTAATTTGCCGGCTACTAAGCTTAGTCGAAAGCGATCGACATCACAAAATTCACGCCTTAAGCGCTACTCTTTTGAGAACAAGATCATTATCCGAGGGGCTCTCGTTAAGTCACGATAGCTAAGACTAAGAAGCTCGCGATCACCGATCTTGTGGTAAACAAGTTCGTGGAAGACAAAACGTGGGTTTTTGAAGACTTTGCCGAGAAGACGTTCCCAGAAGATCCCCTCGATAAAGCGATACGCTCTGCGAAATTGTATATTGATGCTTATCTCTTTTACTTCCAGGTTGAATCGCGCTAGAATGGCGCAAATAAGGTGATATGTGTCGCATTGACTAACGAATCATCATAGGAAAATGCCCCCGAGAGTCACCTCACAGAGGATGATCGAGTTAAGGTCTGGGGCTGTTCAATTACAAGCGCAGATAAGGCTGGAACCTACGCTACCTCGTTTACAACAAGACCCGGGGTTTTCAAGCGCAGAACGAGACGACCGATTTCGACGGTGCTATGGATCCTCAACAAGTCGAAGTCTTCGACGTAAAGGAAAGATCACCATCGAAAACCAGCGCACTGCCGCTCCCAAGACGATGGTGCTTGCCATCTGGGTCCGCCGAATTGACTCGGATCTGATCCAGGCAGAGTCAAAGGATGACAATCCGGGCAAGAGATCCTCAGATCATGACGGAGTCGTTGGGGATCAACCAAAGAAGCGAACCAAGGAGGCCGAGGACAATGATGATGACGACCTCCCTAGTGACAAAGCATTCTCAGCTGCGCTCTTTGCAGAATTAAACGAGATCGAACAAATTTCGAGGAAAGCCATTCAAGAGCAAGAGAAGCAGGAGAAAGATCGACGGTGGGCGAAACCCTTCGACCTCTGGGGTCGGTATTGAAACGGTACAATCAGGCCGCTCAATGGCCCTCTTTTGGACTATGACGCTGACATAGTCTTCCAGGTCTACGGCACCCCGCGGTCTCAGAAGCGTCAGCCGACCTGGAGGTCGAACTGAGCCCACCATTCAGCTCGTCGACTATATTCCGACTTGGCCGAGCTTCCAAGTGGGAACGTAAAGGGTTCGAGAGCTTCACGAGATCGGTATCCGTCATCTCTCGAAAGCCCCTACAGTATCGCGGCATTACGAGTCCTAGACGTAAGGCGATGGAGCACGATGCTTACAAGGCGTATCGTTTGGTACGCGCGAACATGGGTATGCAGGTTTGGATGAAAAGGCTCGTGAGTGATGTGATGGTGAGGAAGCAGAAGATGATGGAGGAGGAGACATCGGCTAGTGAGGACGAGGGTATGGGGAGGCTTCAGAGCAACCGGCGACGAGCAAATGAGGCAGAATCTGCTGGCTCGTGGCTATGCTCTTGATTATACAGTAGCGTACGGAAGCTTTCCAAAGGGAGGGTTCAACTCGAGGTAGAATGAGCGATATCAAATGGCAACAAGTAGACTTTCAGCTCTCTCGTGAAATGCTCGGATGCTTCCTCAACACCATCTCCAAAGCTTGAGCGCATAGTCAGACGACATGGGTTTGACTTTTGAAAGCACAGGCATTGCTTCGCGAGACAACGACATCTCGTACGCGACCTCCCGCTTTGCAGCTTTTGACTGAGCCGTGCTGCTACCGTATGCGTTTCTCCAGAAATCGAGCAGCTTCAGTGAAGGGTGCTTTCTCTCCTCGGTACAGTTAGAGCTGTGCATTGCCTCTAGTCTTGACAGCCATTCATCCACTGGCACAACCTCGAACTTAGCGTTCTTCCGTATCATGTCCAAGAGCATGTTCCACGTTGTGGTGCGATCATTGTTCAGCACATGCAATGTGCGAATCCCTGACCCGGACGCTTCGTCAGCATCACGAAGCAGCTCGACAAAGGCTGTAGCAGCAACATCCACTGGGATCCAATCAACAAGCTCATTTGGAAGATCAGGCAGACATCCAGTGACCTTTGCACTCGCAAGCATCAATGGATATGCTTCGCTCTTGTTCCAGATGCCATGCTCTGTATCTCCGCTCACTTGGCCAACGCGGACGACACTGATATGTGAGCGTAGATCCACTGCACGGAGACAGATGTTCTCGGCAACCCATTTGGATCGAGCGTAACCGATGCCACCGCTGACCTTCGGATCTGTGAGGAGCTGCTCCGGAATGGGCTGTCCAAGATGAACTCCGTTGAACGAAGCCACGGAAGCCGTGCTAGAGCAGAAGATGAACTTGCATGGGGTGCTTTTTGAGCGTGCTTTTGAAAGGCCAAGGAGCGCTTGCAGCCCTGCAAAGTGCTGCCCGAACGCTTGAAGGGGCAGCAGGAAGTCCACTGCCCAAGCCAGGTGATAGACGACGTCAACTTCGAGTGCGAGCTTCTCGTATACATCACCTTCCAAGCCGAGTCGTGCTTCGGCGAGCTTGCAAGTATGGATGCTCACTTTGGTCTCGAAGCCTGGTGGCTTTAATAATTCCCTAGACTCGAGTGCCTTGAGAATTCGCTCCCGGGCGGCGTCTTGAGTGGCTCCTCGCAGCAGCAGGTGAATGTGTCTAACATCGGGAGAAATCAGTAGCTGGCTGAATAGATGGCTTCCAAGTGAGCCGGTCGGGCCAGTAAGAAGAACGACTTTTCCATCGTCCTCGAGACTTCTTTGAGGCGTCGGCAGAGTCCCATTGAGCCCTAGAGTTGGAATTTGGCTGTACTGTACGACCAGCTTCTCCATTAGCTGCTCCTGATCCTGATCAACTTCATCAGAGCGCTGCCTGCCATGGCGTAGGTCTAGGATCCTTTGGCTAAGCGCTCTAATTGTTCCCAAATCCTGCACAATGGTCATTGGCAACTCTCTACTTTCTTTCGGTAGAAGCCGAGATGCTGCGTGTCTGATTTGCACGCAGGCTACGGAATCAACACCGTACGCGAACAGATCAGTCTCTGGCCCTAGATTGCCAGAAGCATGGATGGACGTCTGCATGACGGACGCCACCGTGTCTAGCACCGTCCTCTCGACCTCGTCATCAGGGGTCTCATTGCTAGTCGTGGACACATTTTCATAAGCTCTTGTGATCTCGGTAGCATAGCGTTCTTCTGCCTTGCCTCTCAAAACCGTACCTTTACTGCTTTTGTCGAGCGGCTGCTCAGTGTATATCATCGGGACCAGCATATTTCTGGGGATTCTAGCATGACTTTGGCTCTCACGATTCAAGTCTTCCACCGTGCTGGACAATTTCGATGCTATTTCTTCATCGGAGCAGCTCGCGCCTTGTTTCGAGCGGAAAAGTAAAGCACCAGGGTAAGGCATGCCATTTCCAAAGACCAGCACATCTTGCAGCAATGGCGAAGATGCTGCCATAGCTGACTCCAACGGAGATGGATCGAACTTTTTTCCCGTCACCAGTGTAAGCTGGGAATCAGCCCTGGCGGCATACTTCCATGCATTGAATATGGTTGGGTGAGGAGCGAACAAATCTGACGTGGCGAAGGATCCGTCTTCTCTATTAGTCTTGGCGATATGAGGCCATCCCGGGAGGACGACCAGCTCAGACCATCCGTCTTCCCTCTTCTCCAGACGTAGATACTTTGAATCTTCCTCTTGCCTGAGATAGATCCATTCCTTGTCTTGTTCGTAATCTCGATGTGAAGACATTAGGAAACCACATTCTGCGCTACCGTATCGAGAAACAAGATTGACGCCTTTTCTCACGAGGTCATCGCCAATCTGTGACGGCAGGGCAGCTCCTCCGACGCCCACAAGATCCATGTCTCGCAGCCACTGCAAGCCCTTCTCCTCTGACGCCATCATCTCAAGCACATATGGCACTGATGAGAAATACTTCACTGTGGGTGTATCCGATGCTTTGGCGGAGTCCAAGCATCTCACAACGTTGGATGCTGTGATTGGTGCTTCCTTTCCTGGAAATAGCCAGATCAAAGCATTGCTGGTCCAGGCCCTAAAAAGGTCCGCAATGCCTCCGTGATACAATGGTGTCGTCGTGAAAGTTGCATATTGTCCTCCGTGGAGTCGAGGCAACATTCCGCATCCAGCTCGGTGTGACTGAGGTATGGGCTTTGGTATTCCAGTCGAAGTACCAGAGGTATGATGGAGATATGCAACCTCAGTATCGGATATCTCAATCGATATCAGCTTCTTGGTCACTTTCTTGTGGAACATTTGGAAAGCGCTGGATCCTCCAATGAATGGCAGAGACTGAGACTGCAGCTGTGAGTCCAGGTCTGTCGCTGCTGCCGCTGCGTCTCTCGCCAAAGTTTTATAGATATCATCGCAGAATATGACGGAGGTTCCGCACTGTTTGCAAAGATGAGCAATTGCGCTTGGGGAGCATTGTGGTGCAATTAGCAAGACCGGATGCCCAAGCCTCATAAGAGCAAGCCACATCAACAAGAAGTCGGCAGAGCTAGGGCAGAGTAGGGCCACTGTCTCTCGTTCGGGAATGTGCACAACATTCAAGATGGATTCGGCTGTAGCCCATGATCCTTGATGGACGTCTCCAAAGGTAAAGACTTCATGTTGCCAAAGCTTGTTCGAATCTGGAGACGGGACATAGAATCCTACAGCCGGTAGCTCCGGATTTTCGTCTGCTTGCTGATCGATGAAGTCGTTGATGTTTCGGTCCAATCCTCGATGGTACGCCGCTGCTTGCCCCAGAGTGCAGGTGAAGTATGTGGGCTTGGTAGGAGGTCCCATCGTGTAAAGATTGATTTCCAGATGATGACGAAGAGTGAGTAGGGAGATGGGCGTTAGACTGTAAAGTCACGAGATGAGCGCTACTTGAAGAACCCTGGTGCTGGTAGGATTGTCCACAGGTTTGACAAAGACAAAGCGGAAATTGTACCGAGTGACTAAAACTCTTCGCAGGTGACATCATTGACCAGCTGGTAGTATATCGAGCAAGGTTTGCACCTGGTGCTGCTGGTAGCAGAGGAACGTGGGAGCAATATTCAATGGTCTAGGAATTTTGATTGGGATATTATAGAAGCTAAATCTTCTTTCCAGAACTTTTTGAGCAACCAAAAGTAGAAACCGCCCTTTTCTTATATGCGTTCATCTCATTCAATGCACTCCATTCGTGTGGCCATTGGCTCCATTGACGACATGCCCGTTGGATGCGCCGTTCTGCAGACCGTCAACGCCCTTAGAAGCAATGTCAGCGAGTTATCCAATGCTGTAACAACGTTTCCTCTTACCTCTGGCCGAGATGCGTTGTAGTTCGCAGCTTTTGCGCCTTGGACCTTGTCAGCTATTGTGTGACCATTCGCAACAGGAATCTCATTACTTTGGCCATTCGACTTGGATGATGTATCGTCGTTGAGCACGTTCAGCTTCTTCAAACCATTGCTCATGCCATTGCTCTCGACGGGCTTGTCATTGAGTGTGTAGCCAGTATCCGAAGAGTCCACGAAAGCCTCGAGGCCCTCTCCGTTGCGTGGGTAAGTCTTCATGATCTACAGAGCTGTCAGCGCCCAACGCCATGAATGAGTACTGTTGATCTCACCTCCTTGTGCTTCCGCAGGGCAGCGTTCAACTCGTCTTCATCGACATCTTCGAAACTTGTCAACCAACGAATCTTCTAAATTGCATGTTGTGGGTGCATACCATTCAAGAATACGCACTTGCCTAGTGGACTTGGAATAGCCGCTCGAAGCTTTCCGTCTCTTGTTCTCAGGATAGCCTTGGTACCCTTGTCGAGAATTTCTTCGTCGAATTGGTGGTGGTCCATAGAGAGACCGGCTCTCGAGAACAGGTTGAGCAGTCGCTTATAGTCGGCGTCTGGCAGATTACCTCTCATGTTCGCAAGAGTGGCAGAGTATGCCATGTCGATTGAGATGGCGTGGCCGTGGCGAAGTGGAACTTCAGGCACGAGCTCGTGCAGTGGGGACCAGCTGTCAATGGTCAGAAGGTCTTTCGTGGCTTGACAGTGTTTGGATCACTCACGTATGGCCGTAAGCAATCACACGATCCAACGCAATCTCGTGGAGGTTTGGAGTCTCAAGCTTCAGCATCTCGAAAATACCAGCGCGGTTGATCTTGTCTGAGGCATCCTTGACCTCTGCGGGAGCGCCATCTGTGCGGCCAAATCCGGTCTGGATAATCTGCTCACAGTACTTGTCGAGAAGGTCGAAGGTCGGGAGGTGGGCACACGAGCTAATCTTGATGAGCTCTGCAAATCCATTTCGAATCTGTGCCTCCGGGAGAGTTCGAAGGAAGGTGAAGTCGAGGAACGTGTGAATCGGCGCGTGGTAGGCTCCTAGTCGGTTCTTGTAGTTGCCGTAGTTTACCGCGACCTTGATGGAGACAGAAGCATCAATGAGGCCAATAACAGTCGTCGGGATACGAATGTAGTTGGTGTTTCTGCGGTATGCTGCGCAAGCAAACCTGGAGCAGAGTCAGAGTCGCCTCCTCAATAGTCTTGCTCGGATTTGGCGAAAAGCAAGGGTCTGTCCTTGCGCATGTGATGGAAGGCAAACTTACCCGCACACATCAGTAACAAGACCGCCCCCAATGACCAACACTGGCTCCTGCACAATAGTCAGAATGAGAAACCGGGCGGGAATCAATTGTACCCACCTTTCTGTAAATGCCAAACTTGGTCATGCTGTCGACAATCGAGAGGAAGGTGTCAATACTCTTCGCCTTCTCGCCAATCATGGTCTTGTGAACGTCAAGCTCAATGTTGTGGTGCTCGAAGTAACGCTGCATGCGCTTCCCGTACAGGTTGAAGATGTTCATATCCATGACCGCCAAACAGCGGCCCCATCTCTTGTAGCAGTCCGCAAGATCGCTCTTGTTGACATCGAAAATGCCATCAATGAAGGAGAAGTCGTACTCGATCTTCTCGTATCCCTCCACGTGGAATCCCTTTGTGGTCTCCGCCACGGTTGCTTTGAGGTCAGACATCTTGAGAGAAGGCTTGTGAAGCGAATGTACTTGGCAGCAATGGATCGAGGCAACGGATCTCGATCTGACTTCGGGATGGAGAATAGGGCAGGGAATCAATATATACGCAAGCCGTGAGATCTGGGAGACGCGAGCTCGACAGCTTTTCGCGTTCAGCAGCCGACCTCGGTGACCAAATAATGCAGCCAAGCTCGCGGTACTCGACGGATCAACAGATGTAAAGGCTTCATCATCCTTGACAGGTACATTTCATCGACGTAGACTTTCCGGCAAGAGCTTGGGTCCTGCAGCCTGCAAGTCTGGGACGCTCCCCACCCTGTCGAATGATCTCGTTCTGTGTCTTCTTAGCTGCGCACGCCATCGAAGCCATCGGATGCAGAAGATGTAATGGACGAAGTCGGCGTATGGCCCGCATGGAGAGGGGAAGGTGTAATGGAAACCTGGAGCGGCCAATCACTCGACCACAGTTCACTGACACCACGTTTCATGACATTGCAGTGGCAGATCCTAATGCGAGATCTTAGTGCATATCTCGGGTAGATTGAGTTTGGATGGGCGCGGGAGATGACGCCGACGACTTTACCAGTTCTCTCACCTCGGACGCAGCGAGCGTTGATTCCCACATGACAATGCGTAGGACAAGACTGGTGAAAGCAGCTTCTTGGTGGGTGACGGATCCAGGCCTGCAGTCCTCGCGGAACGGTCCAAGACTCTAATAGAGCATGTCTACCGCGCTCTGGCCAGCATCGAGAGGCTGTTGAAAGTGGGGACGTCCATCTCATCTAGTGTTCGCGTCATCGTGAGCGCCTCGGTGGGTCTGTACCAAGGAATTGTGTGCAGAGCTCTCCGCATTCGGGCTTCTCTCTGGCATGGTCCTGGTCCTCGGACATCTCCAAGAAGGGATACCCGTCAACAAGTAAACAGATCCCTGTCGCCGCGGACAACATCGAGCGACCTCCCCCAGGCGGGCGACTTTTCATTTGAGGGGCTGGAACAGTCCTTTGTTTCCAGGCCCTCCACTAGCACGCTGTTGGCTCCGTCGGATGAACTTCGCAGTTTCCCGAAATGGCAACTTTGCAGTGAATGTTCGGTTACTCCCGAACACGTTGAGCTTCATCACGCAACACGCGCAACAAGACGAGCCACCGAAGCTGTGCGAGGCATAATCAAACAGTCTTTTCGCGTGAGCAAGGACACCGACGTTCAGAGTGTTCGGTCTCCATAACGATGATGGAGCATCATCGATCGGATATGGTGCGCTAAACCGAATAGATTTTCCCCTGCAGGGTCCAGGCGAATCAGATGCGAGATGGAAGCCAATGTCTTTTCAGAACGCAGCCGCCCCTCCGCTCTGCTGGGACATGGGCAAATTCTCCGAGCAGAGCAGAGCTGCGAGAGAAGTAGAGCGTACTACTCCTCCTGCCAAGAAGCTGCACCCTCTGCCTGCACCGACCCTTCGACGACGGAGCTCTGCTCTCCCGGATTTAACTTGAGATATGCTGGACGGGGGCTCCTCCCAAAGAGCACATGCCGTGCAAAACATATCGCTGATACTCCTAAGCCTGGTCCTCCTTCCCCTGGACACGACCGTGCTCATCGTCAGCCTAGTGGCCAGATGGATCTTTCGACTCGCCAGGAGGACGCGTAGAAGCTCAGCCAACCCACCAAGCACGCGGCGTACTATTCTTGTCACGGGTGTTGGTATGACCAAAGGACTTGCACTAGCCCGACTCTTTCACAAAGCCGGCCATCGAGTGATCGGCGCGGATTTTGAACCTAGCCGTAGTGTGAATCCAGGGAGACTCTCTCTGGCCTTGGCAAAGTTCTACCGTCTTCAAAAGCCCAACCCAACACTAGGCTCCGGACCGTACATCCAGGGGCTACTCCACGTCGTCCTCAAAGAGCGAGTTGATCTCTGGGTCAGCTGCTCGGGTGTCGCATCTGCGGTGGAAGATGGAGAGGCCAAGGAGATCCTCGAGAATCGAACGAACGTCAAAGCTATCCAGTTTGATCTTGCTACGACTCAGGTGCTACATGAAAAGCACTCTTTCATGAGCCACACCAAGGAGCTAGGCCTAACGATTCCAGACACGCACACAGTATCCTCTCCGGGTGAGGCCTTTGCGGCACTCAAGCAAGCCCCACCCGGACGCAAATACATTATGAAGCCGATCGGGATGGACGACTCTGCCAGGGGAGATATGACCTTACTCCCCAGAAATACCGAGTACGATACGCGGAATCATCTAGCTCGATTGAAGATCTCCGAGAAATCACAGTGGATACTTCAACAGTTCATTCAAGGCAAAGAATACTGCACGCATTCCTTGGTCATTAATGGCAAGGTCAAGGCATTCGTTGCGTGCCCGTCATCCGAGTTGTTGATGTATTACGAGGCTCTGGCGCCGGATTCAGCTCTTAGCAAAGCTATGCTGAACTTTACCGAAGAGTACACTAAGAAGGGAGGAAGAAGCTTCACCGGACATCTGTCTTTTGATTTCCTTGTCGAGGATGGAGCTCCCGCAGTTTCGGACCAGATAGTACTCTACCCAATTGAGTGCAATCCGAGGGCACACACAGCTGTTGCCCTCTTCAACGATACACCGCAAATGGTCGATGCTTATCTTACCTCGCTCGACCAACACGAGGAGGTTACAAACCAGCCAGTGACCCCTATCTCACCGAAGAAGTACTATTGGATAGGGCACGATTTAGTAGAGTGGGTGATAGTGCCTTTCGTAAAGGTGTTTACCGGACAAATAACCGTCAAGCAACTCTCCAGATCCTGGCTCGGCTTCTTGAACTACCTCTTATTCTGGACGGATGGAACATACAATTTTCAAGATCCGCTCCCCTGGTGGTGCTTATATCACATCTACTGGCCCAGCCAATTCCTCTCCTGCTTGATGGAGGGAAAGAAGTGGAGTAGGATAAACGTCAGTACGTTGAAGATGTTTGAGTGCTAGACATGTGCTTTTTGCATCTCACGTTCTAGCAAAAATCTGCATCGAGGGTTTTCAATGGACGCTTCAACCAAGCTTGCTCTTCACGGAGTTCAAAGCATTCTGTCCATACTCGCTCCTATAGCCCTGATGTGTGGGGGCTTTGCTGCCGTTACATCAATGAGGATCGGCTGCATCGCAGTAGAATCGAATCAAGCGGAGGGAGTTGAGGCAAGGGAAGCCAGAAGGGCGTGGGTCAAACTCTGGATATCGTTGGTTTGCGGTAAAAATATCTCTTGAACTTAATCGCACTCTGTCCGCCTTCTGGGAGCAAGTTCCGTCGTGAAAGAGCTCAGCCGGGGGATTACAAGGATTGCCGGCTAAGATAATGACTTTGACGAATTACAGCCGTCGTTGTCAGCAACGAGGTGGTGTTTGTAACTACTTGATTTGTATCATCGCCTCCACAAGGGGCGTCGTTAGCGATTTGGGCCTGGCTATTGTCAGCCTTGAGTTTACGGGAAACCTCGGCCGGTATCGATACTTACACCTTGAGAGTATTTGTCTGATTCGCAATGTTCTTTGTACCGGCTTGCCCAAGAGTAGCATAAGAGGAGTCTCCTTGGGCTGAAAATGATTGCTTCGGCAGTGAAGTCTGGATAGGCGTCCAAGATCAGGTCAACGAAGGACCTGCTGAACCGTATCCTGCTGGCGCCGTGTTCTCTCGAGCCCGGGAAACATGGATGTCGGCGGGGAAGTCTCTCTTTTCAGCCAGGGGTCTAGATACCAGTAACGTTGGCAGCTAATGTGGTAAGGGCAGCGATGGTCGTTGAGAGATGCATTATGCAGTAAGTTCAATTGGATAGTAAATAAGATTGTAGTTGACGCTACTCGAGCTTCAAGTCCAGATACTTCCCTTTGGGCTGTATACACGACGGCAAGATATGGCCTTGACAAAATCATGCCTGGGAGTTTGAATACGGTTGAAGAGACAATTTGGTTACACGAACTGATGCGAACCAGCAAGGCGGCATCAGTTGACCAATGAAGGCAGATCGCGCCGTACACATTCCGAAGAAGGTGACTGGAAAGAAGCTTCGGCGTGTCTCAAACCAATCTACTAGTCGCTAGGTATGCATTTGTTGCTCTCGAATTTCTGCGGTATGGCTCTGACAGTAATGTTCACCACAGCTCGAGTTTTTTAGACGCAAGGCTTTATTTCCAAGAGTGCACCCAGGGTAATTAACATTATTACACCGAGATGATCAAAAGGGATTACGAGCTTCTCATGAAGGGTCAGAGCGAAGACCTCGAGAGCTGGCATATATGGACTCATGGCTTGATTGTTTGTTTGGTCTTGCTGTAGGCTTATGTATATTTTGGGGCCGTGACACCTCCAGACTTAAACTGATCCTTGTAGACCGCATGTGTTTTGGAATGGCAAATGATACCGTAGTCGAGCATTTTGCACAGCCCCCGTGTACCTTAAGCAAGCTCAGACTGTTCTGGGTGATAGCTGATCGGCTGGAGAAGTCTAACTCCCTTGGGTCTCTTCAAAAGCGATGATCAGTAAGGTGCTACCACAGCATCCATCCAATGGCCCAATTAAAATGATCATTTCCGCCGCGATCTTAGATGGTCCTCGTCTCTGGAGACGCAATCTGACAAGTGCGTGAGATCTCTACTCGAAGCGGAGCCTCGTCAACCTTACGGTAAAACTCAGCTCCATCGTTCGAAACGACCTGATTTCGGCTCAATCGCCGCTGCACTGCAGCAATGAGTCGATTTGCTCCGATAGCACACTCTTCCTGGAACAATGTCAGCCAACTGCCAACTTTGATGTGTCTCAGGAACGGACTCTCATCCTCTGCAAGACTCGTTGTGCGTTTTCATTGTCTGGGTCCAGTCCAGAAATCTTCAACAATTCTGGCATCTGACCGAGACATGAAGATGAAGATTACCGAATTATTAGGTCCCGGATTGTATGTCGTTCGAACAAGCATCTTCGTGGAAGCTTTCACGCACATCTATCATTCAGTCTTTCGGTACAACATCCGTAGAAGCTCCGTAAGTTGCACTTGCATCGTTTTGGCGATTGCGAGGCCGGCCAGAGATAGCTGCAGTTCTTCGGATTTGGCTTGATATAACCACGGGGATGTGAGCAAGCGGTCAACCACGATCATAGCCGACATGTTGGCCCGCTTCTTCAGATTCAAATTTTGGCCGTCATTGAGACGTCGTCGTCGGCAGACTATGTGCGTAATACTCCTCTTACCGCTCATTGCCGCGAAACTGAAGTGCAAGACCGGCTGTTTGACTTGCGTCGCTCGAATGAAGAAACGCGACGTAACGCTGCCCACGTGTACACATTGCACTCGACTCCGGCTTGCATGCGTAAGACGAGAGAAGAATGGTGGCGATGGCCCTCGAGACGGTATCAGCGCTGCTATCACGGCCACAAATTTGAGAAGGAAGATGCCACCCTTACGCATCACCGTGAACAACGGCTATCCGCCATTGCAGAGCGAGTTCGAAATGGAGCCGACGGTCAGGACTCCCTTAGCCCTCAGATCTCAAGTCTCCAAGGTCGCGAGGGCTGGATTCGAAGAAGTGATCCTGCTTGGTACATTTAATAACCAAAGTCCCCTCGTGCGCGAAGCCATGGTGGCATTTCCCGCCTTCACTTCCGGTCTTACATTCACTGGAGACTCATACAGGCTAGCTGGCAAAAGCTATTGGAACTGTGTCATCCAAGTGAGACAGCGTTTGGAAGTTGAGCTGCAAGATGCGGCACACCAAGGTTCCACATAGACGGTCATGAACTTCTGGGGCTTCTGGAGGTAGGTCGGGAACATGATTCGATGAAAGAGAACCGCTGACAAGGTTGTAGGCGCTGAAGCTTGGCGACTCGAGCAGTTCGGTGATGATCTTTGACATGTGTCGAACGATGCTCGACGGCCGGCTATCCCAGCCTGGAGTGTTGCAAGACCCTGCGCTGCTGAAGCTGTATCGCGTCGTGGCCGAATGTAGAATACTCAATCTCGTCATTATCTCGCAGTTGCATTCAACCGTTCGAACTGCCGCGCAGGACTGGGACTCATCCTTCGATTGTCTCTTCTCCAGAGGTGATCACACCTTATTTCCTTCCTAAGGGCTTGCCGACGTTTACCGGGTCATGTTCCGAGCAAACTGGTGGATGCTCCAAACACAGAAAGGCACAAGCATGCCTCAACAGGCATCAGTGGAAGCGCTGGGTCGGTTATGGGAAGATCTGAACGATCTCAACGACTTAGAGCGTAGGTTGCCGGCATCGTACCATGACCCCCGGGAAAGACGATGACAGAAAGCTTGTATACCTCAAAGCAGAGGCTGTCGGCTATCGGATTGAAGTTCCATCTACACAATGCGTCAAGGCCCTCGGCGTCGAATGGAGACATGCTAGTGAGCCAATCCCTCCAAGCGGCCATCGACATTATCAAGCGGCTTGGGCAAGACCTGGACGATTAGTGGGGGCCAGCCCTGCGATGGCGGTTAACCATTCTTGCTTGCGCATCTTTGGGACCTCAGTTGACTTTGCAGTGACAGATAAAGTGATGAATAAGTTGGCGCAGGTCATGGATCCCGCGAACCAACAGAAACTCCTGTTCGCCTCGCATGTCCTGAGACAATGCCATCAACAGTCGTCAGGGTGCCTTGTTTCTGGCAGCAATAGCTGGCGTGCAAGAAACCAGCTTCAATCTCTATGGGAGTCGCAGTGCCGGGATGGTGTCGTGAAACCCAGATGCGCGCGAAATGTCGAAAGTAGACGGCCCGTGTCTCGGTCGTTCGGGCACGTCGTTAAGCCATGAGACACCTCCGAGTGATGAGAAGGAGGATTCGGCTTTCCTATCCATAACAGTTATTGTCACTGCAAAGTAGATTGAAACCCCATCACTAACGTTATTTCACAACCTGGCGTCCAAAGTCTAGGAAAGCCGTGGCGCCCGCCCAGTGTGCGATAAAAGACCTTTAGGCTGCGATGCTACCGTCTCAGCCTCCAGCGAGTGAGCACATCTAAACGAGAGCAGCCATTCCAAAATTGGTGCTCGCGAAGTGTCTCGCTGCAAGCGAAAACCCCACTACAATGCCCATAATGCGTCAAAGCATACGGTCAGCGAGAGCAGCCGAAATAGCTTTGACCGTAAGCAGCTCTTCGCCCGACGATTTGTGAGGTATTTTCCAATGCCCAAGGGGACAGGTCAGAGCGTCGTGAGGCAAATGGGCGATCGGCGTTGTGGTTGGAGGCTGACCGGAGATCTGCGATATGTTGATGTTTTTGTGCTCTTCGATAGGCGCCACAAGGCTGCACAGCTGGTTCTGCAGTCATCAGAGCTCTCTTCCGCGCGAAGAGAAATTTTGCGTGTGATGTCGTCCGTTCGTGAGGACATTGCCGGGCCCATGATGCGGTTTGGCGAATGACCTGGTCACTCTATGAAATTGATACGATGGAATTTCCAAAAATTTCCTGGCCATTCCAGCGCTTCAGTGCTGGGTGGATAAGGTCACTAGCTTTTCATTGTGGACTCGAGCTCTGGTTCAACAATCGTTTCCAGGTCAGAGGGTACTCTCGTTTGGTAAGAGCAGCCATCGTTTGTCCCAGCCTTGCTATCATCTCCTTCTTCTGTCGTACGATCGCGGAACGAGTCGATCTCGAGCTCTGCTGTACGCTCAAGGATGCCAGTCTGCGGTGTATACCCCGACCCAGATCGCATGCTTGTAGCAGAGCGTCGGCAGATCTGTCCTCTGACTTCTTTCCCAGTCCATTGCTTGCTTCGCCCTTGCCCGTTCTCAACGCTTCGTTGATCACCTCGATCCTGGTGTTCACTCTTGCCATCTGGACTATCGATTTCGCCAGAATCTTGCTGATCTTGCTCTTGCCATCGCCGTGGTCATGGTGTTGATTGGCGTTGTCCTTTAGTCGTGCTTTTGGATGCCTCTTTGAAGATGGACGATTGCGGTCTCCCTTCACTTTCGACATGGTGTCTGTCGTGTCCAAGAGCTGGCAGATGCCGAGTGAGAGGCGCTCCAGAATACGGTTGATCACACGGTAGGTGTTTGCTGCTTCGTTGTCTTCAGGGTGGCCAGGCGGGACGAACGCGGAAGCACGCATACAGGCCGGAGACCTGCATGATGATGTTTTCCATCTCCGTCGTAGTCTGGTATCATCAGAGATGATGGTTGAGAGGCCGTGCGCATGGCGAATGGAAGATGTAGTAGAATGGCTTCGTCCAAACGCAGGGCATTGGAGAAGGAGCTGAAGCGCCTCGTCTCGGGGTCAGATCTCGGATCAGATCTTGGCTGATTCCTCGATCTCGGGTCAGCTTTCAACCGAAACTATGGCCGCATCGGATACTTTTTCTCCCTTGGCATATCTGAACTCATAGATTGACTATACAACTCGCGTTGTTCTCTTTTCCGTCTCCCGGAACCCGACAATGGCGCCTAACTCGCGCATCATCCTCACGCGGCACGCCCAAGCAGAGCACAACGTAGGCTTGGACTACAGCAGTACGTCTTCACTCCCCAAAAGCCATTCTCTGCCAAGCCAACTAACAACATCCTAGTCCCTGACGCTCCCCTAACACCACTGGGAAAGAAACAAGCAGCCTCGCTCGCACCCCAGATCCCTCAACTACAAGAGGAAGCAGACCTCATAATCTCCTCTCCACTCAAAAGAACACTCCAAACCACAAAGCTAGGCTGGGGTCCTGCCGTCCAACGCCTCGGAGGAATTCCCAAGGCAATTTGTCTCCCACAAGCACAGGAATGTAACGATTTCCCCTGCGATACTGGCTCCTCCAGAGAAGAGCTCTCGAAGGATCCCGAGTTCGCTGAATTCAATCTGGACCCGCTGACTCCAGATTGGACTTCCAAGCGCGGATTCTGGAGTATGGACCACGAAGCCATAGCGAACCGCGCGAGATGGGTTCGCCAATACCTTCGCGATCGTCCAGAGAAGAACATCGTACTCGTGGGCCATGGGGATATCTTGAGAGCAATCACGGGTTCGCCGCAAGGTTTCAGTACTTACCCATGGAAAAACGCCGAAGTGAGGATCTTCCATTTCGATCCGAAATACGTTGATGCGGAGGATTGCTTCTTGGATGAAGGGACTGCAGTAGTTGCTGCTGGTGGATATGCACCGACAAGTACGGAAGCAGATTTGATTGTGAATGGAGAGGATGGGAAGTTGTGGACGGATGAAAGATAGATCAGAGCGTGGCCGCTTGGAGAAGGAGGAGAAGTAGGCATCCAAGTCGCCCGATCGTTTCGTAGGGAACTAGGAACAGAGAACGAGTGAGAGAGCCTCATTGAGCCTGCTGAATCTGTACTTGAGTGGACCACGGTAAGGACATCAGCGATACGAGGCCGTCAAAACAAGACGAGAACTGAAAATGATCCGTAAAATCCAGTGAAAATCAATGCTGGCCTGACTTTTTGCTCCAGAGTATTACAGTCCCTCTTGCTCTCAATCAACACCGGTCCCATCATCAGTGGCAGACCCGTAGCATTGAGAGTTGCCGAGACACTCAGAACACCAATGGTGTTCTGCTGTACAAGATCCGACGTACTGCAACGGGGATCGTCCTCCCCGATAATTCCTTGCTTACACCACAAAGCTGACAGCTTGAGATCTGCCTGCTAGGATTGAATTCCATGTATCAACTCTTCGCATCGGCAAGGGCGTGGAGGTCTGCCAGGAGTACACCGGCACCGAAGTTTGAAACTGGCCAAACCGCACGCATTCAAGTCTCGGCGTCGTCAGAAGCGCGATTCATTGCAGAGACATTGACAAACTCCAGCAGACGACGTCCATCTTTCCGATTATCGCCCAAGCTTGGGGCGAGGCGATGGAGGTTACAGGCGCAGATCTTCCCACGGTGGTAAGGCAGAACAAAGGGCATTGCCAGACCATCAGCGCGCGAAGTTGAGAATGCCGCTCTCGAGCATTTTCGCAGCGACATGAATAGCCATCTGGTCGGTCTTGCCGGTGCCATCCTTCACAGAGCCAATCCAGGGCATCAAGCGGACCGTAGACGACGATGTTGCGAAGCAGGTGAATATGTTTCTTCCAGACCACATCCTCGAGAACCCAAAGCCGCTCTCTGTCGAGAGGGCCAGCACTGGCTCGAGCAATCAAGAAGAAGTTGTCCGGGACGTACAGTGGTGGGGCCGTACGTCGAATGTCCTCACAGACCGCGGTAAGCGGTGGGATAGGGGTCATGCGAAAGTAGCATCGATTGCTCTACCTCCCAGAACACATACCTTTTCGGGACGATCTATCCTTCCTCGGAGATAACATACTGTAGATCGCGAGCTACGACTCTGCAGGTAGGCCAAGAAGGAAGCAGTCTCCAAGGTCTGTGCTCTGAAGCAACAAGTAAACGTTCTGCAAAGGTCTCTGGTACACTCATCAATCGATATCTTCTGGTTCAGGCGAGCCAGAGTAGCCCGGGTGCCTATTCCGATACGGAGAAGCAGTATTCGTAATACCCACAGCTTCTGTATCAGAGTATTCTTTTACTTGCCACCCATCCACGAGATTTCTGAAATACGGTTCGTTACCTGCCTCGGCTGCCATGAGTCTGTCGGCCCAAACCATGATCTGTTTCACTTCGGTTGCTAGATTCAAGTTGTTGATGCCTCCACGCATATTGATCATGCTGCGTAGACGGCGAATGTCAGTTGCGTGGTACTTTATTATGGGTAAGACGGCGCAAACACCGATTGCTTACCGCATTTGTGCAGGCCGATGGACGCCGTGAGCTGCGGCTCTGTCGCCGTAGATGTGCTCATGCAGGGCTATCTGGCCAACGGCCTGGATCAGAGCATCGCTTGTCATTCGTTCGGGATCTGAAAGCGCCTCGTTAATTGCGAGTACCGTGCGGCCTCGTAGCCAAAGCGCTTTCACGATTGGGAACTGGCCATTGGAAACGCTATTTGGAAGGAGATGGGTGTCAGTGATGCTACGTGGTAGCGGAGTGAAAGGACCAACTTACGGAATACCCGTGGCAAGCAGCAGCATCATGTAGTACATTGCCGGTTCGGAGATTGCTTGACGCCGCTGCCATGAGATGTAACGCTGCAGTTGCTGTTCGTCGACCTTGAGACGCTGCTTTGCCTTGGGTAGAGTGCCGTTGAACCAGTAATCCTCTAGCCACCCGTACCACTGCTTGAGGGGCACTGGGGCCACATTGAGGTCGACGCTGCTGGTCGGAGGGGGGATTGTGACGGCCGGGCAGTATAGGTACTCCGGAGTGGAAGAGGGGGTTACGTGGACCCAATGCTCCTCTTCAGAGGACGCATGACGGTGTAGTATTTGCCGGACCCGGCGCGACTCGTGCTGCTTGGGAGGGACGCGGGATCTGGCGAGATGCGGCCCCAGTTGGAACGTAGAACAGTACGTGGAGGGCACAGTGTGCTTGGAGGAGGACGAGGAAGTGGAAGCTCCTGAGGCAGAAGATGAGGCTGTGTCGCTATCCGAGTACTGTGGCTGCAGGGTTCGCGGGCGTGACGCTGGTTTGGCTGAGGATCCTCGGACTCTGTTCAAGGCATGCTGGCGTTTGGTGACGTGGCCGCGGATCTTCTTGCGTGTCTCCTTGTCCTTGGCCTGGGTGGGATCGTTGTAGGTGAAGAAAGTCCAGTCGGTCATGGTATGTAAGGAATGGATAGAGACAGGGAAGGATGCATCCTGGAGCAGTGCCTGAGTCGCGCTTTTCCGAGATGGACGGATCGAGATCCATCTCGATCCGATCGGTCAATTGTGGTTCCTGCAGGAGGGTCAGCCATTCACGTCGTCCGTACCACGATACACGAAGAGTCCGTGTGTGCCGTGTGTCCCTCTCGATCCGTAGATCTGGCGGCTACGGCACGTGATTCGGGAACGATCTGATATGATAAGGAGGGATTGATGCCTCGCGAAATCACGTGTGATACGAGCAACGGATGCCTTAGTAAGCCTTACGTAGCTCAGCTGCAGCGTCCATGTCTGTCCCTTTCACTGGAGACAATCCTGCCCTGCATTCCATCTTCCTTTCGTCCCGAATACCTCAATAAACAAGACATGGCAACCGACTCCCGCAACTGGATCGCCGTCAAGGGCCTCGCATTGGCCTCCACCTTCGCCGTCGCTGCCACCCAGATCCAGACATCCGCCGTCGTCATCCCTTCGCTCCTGCGCCCCCTCGATCCCCATCCCTCCTCTCCCTCTCAGCCGCCTTCACGGCCCACATCCAGTCTACGAGTGCCGCAATCCAACGATGGCCGTCTCACGCCGCAGCCCTCCGAATCCAACCTCTTCATGTTCTCCCTCGGCTCCTCGGGCACCTACAAAGCTGTAGCTCAGCAATTCGCAAGACACGATGAGCTGAACTTTCGCACCGTCCCCGCCCTCGAGCTCATAAACATCGCTCTCTTCGGCCTTGCCGCCTACCGTGCCCGCAATGTTGGCAACCCGGTCTGGACGCACTACGCAGCGGCAGCCGGCGCATTGGCCTCCGCCTTCCCTTTCACCGCCTTCTTCATGAGCCCTCTCGTCCACAAGTTGAGGAGACTGTCTGGGGATGAGGAGATGATTGAGCCATACGAAGATGCCCCACCCGACAGAGAGGCGGAGAAGAGCAACACCGTCCACTTCTTGACTAGGTGGGGATACTTCAACGCTGCGCGCGCCGGTTTGATCCTCGTGGCTTCTGGCTTTGGGCTCGTTGCCTTTGCCTTGGAATAGGTTCGAATCCTGATCGGATCTGCTGGACAATGTCCTTGGCGGAGGTGGTATTGCTCGTTCTGCTCAGGGAAGGTTTCGAGAGCGAAGTACCCACGGGAGGCTGATACCGCTGAAGAGCCGGAGGATGAAAGCAGGGTCTTTCCGTCCAGGAAAAGCTCATACAGAACGAGTTGGCGGAGATACTGCTGCACTGTGTACGATACGATTTACCTTTCACGACGATGTGTACGTATGGATTTGGCTGAAAGATCATGGACCGGACAATTTCTACAACGATAAACGAAGCTTGGCTTGGGGTCGAGGCCTTGCCAAGTACTTTCGGGCAATTCCACTTGTGCTTTTTCCTGCGGATGACCAAGCGGGTGTGAGAAGGAAAGCGGTGGCACCACAGCTTACGTGATGTGACCTTGCCTCGTCCCATCGCAGCAGCGACATCGCGTCGGTCCTGGCCCGCACGCTGATGACGTTCTCGTCACCAAGTCTGTGTACCGTCATCAAGCACTTCAACATCAACCGGGTTCTTCACGTGGCTCCATGCTAGTCGAAAACCGCCGAAAGCGTGAACACGTTTATTAATATCAATGTCTCTAAGGCCTGCCGCGGATTCAACGGCACGCGATTCTACCGATATTTTACTCATAGGCCAGGACAACGCTAACGAAATAGTGTAGGAATGCCCAGGATTCTATAGTTGTAATCCGGGACTTCGGTTTGTCCACAGTCTACCACCTTAGCCTCCTATGACCAGTCGACCATCATCTGGAGAAGCCAATGCACTCGTGCACTTCGTATAGCGGTTCTTCCGGATCGCTTAAACACGCTACTGATTCCTGAGTGAGAGCCATTCTGTTTCTCTGTTCGCAGTCGCGAATATTCGAGCGTGCATACCGATCCACTAGGTATTGGTGATGCTAAAACGCCTGCATCGGCTTCACTCCTCTGGCAGAGTGCCGTAGATGGAATCACCTGCCGCATCGTTGAGCGACCACTGAATGCAAGTAACCTCACAAGGGTCGATGTTCCCCGAGACCGGTATTCCAAGGAGATGATGACCGCCAGTGCAAGTGCTTATCGAATACGATCGAAATAGAGCTTTTGATACAACATCAACATTGCCGGCGACATTCCGGCTCCCAGCATGTGCCAGCTTGGCCAAGCCGACTACTGGAGATGTCAGTATAAAGGAAGTCGTCCAGCCGCGAGAGCAGAGGGTCAGATCAACCAAACAAAATACACTCCTTCGAACAACATCTCAGCTTCGAACCGTCCCTACCAATTACCACCAGACCATCATCATGCAGTTCACAGCCTCCTTCGCCGCCCTCCTCTTCACCCTGGCCGCGGCCTCGCCAGCCGCCCTGCCCGCAAACGCAGGCTCTGGTACCGGCTTCGAGAACACCTGCGGTGTCTCCTCCTTCATCCCCGTGACTGGCGACGCCAGCCTCGCCCCAACGCTCGACAACTGCTACAAGCTCCGCGACAACGCACCCAAGACCGGTCCCTGGAGGATCGATGGCCCCAAACAGTTGGCCAAATTCGGAGACTGCGCCTTTTCCGCCCAACCCGTGAATGCTGGAGAGCACGGATACATCGGTACCTCTGATATCCATGATCTGGTTCAGGATGCCATCCAGAAGTGGCAACAGGGTACTACTACTTCCGTCAAGGGAACGATCACGAAGCAAGTGGGTACCGCAGGAGACATGCCATGCAACGTGAGTAAAGGGAAGCAGGTCCAGATTGCTTGGACTCTGGGTCGGGCTTAGATCGCTGGCATCTACTCTCGTGATGAGGGGAAGCGTCGGCAAGGATGGACTCTTGTGTGAAAGGGAAGGCGTCGGCAAGGATTGGGGCTTTTGTAAAGTATTCTTCTTTTAAAATCTTGAGGCGATATCCATAGTCGCCAAAGAAAAACTCCCACGCTGCTGCTTGCTGTCGTGACCGATGTCATATCTCAACTCAACAATAATAACCAAAGAACGCCTTTGCGCGATGCAGTAAAACCATGACACGCATCTACAACATCCCGGGAGGGAAGCTTCTACGCGCCCTCACTTCCGAACTCCTTGGTCCATTCTTCGTTCCTCTTGAGATCTTCTCCCGATACAGTAGGCCGTGCGCTCTTGATCGCTTTGATGAAATCCTTCACTTGCAGTGGAGGTTCTAGGAGTTGGTCTGTTTCCACCTCGTTCCAGCTCATTTCGACGGCGCCTTCATCGCCTGGTGAGCACGGGGTGAGTTTTTGTTGACCATCGACCTCGACCTGCGAGTGGGAGTCAGTACGCTGTGAATCTAGGCCCCGAATAACTTTCTGCGACTTTGATTTTTGCTGGGGTTTCGGAACAGAGACTTACCTTCTTGTAATGTGTCGCTGTCTGAATTTTGCGCACCGGCTGCATTAGCGCATCTTGCACTGCAATCGAAATGTCACTCCCCGAGTAGCCTTCTGAGTACTTTGCTAGTGTCTTGTAATCGTCTGCTTGAAGTTCGCAAGGTGTTGAGCCGACGGCAAGTTCGAACATCTTCATTCGCGCGGGTTGGTCTGGTAGAGAGATGTGTACTCGTCGCTGAAATCGCCTTCGAATAGCGGCATCCAGTTGCCAAGGGATATTTGTCGCACCGAGTATCAGCACGCCCTTGCTGTCCCTGCCAACACCGTCCATCTGCACGAGCAATTCTGTCTTGATACGTCGCGAAGCTTCTGATTCGCCCTCGCCTCGGGGCCCACAGAGTGCATCGATTTCGTCGATGAAGATAATCGAGGGCTTGTTCTCCCGTGCCAGGTTGAACAGTTGTTTAACCAATCTAGCCATGTCAGCAAATCCTCCTCCTCTCCAGTCTACCTCTTATGCCTTACCGTTCTGACTCTCCCATCCACTTGCTCACCAGGTCTGACGAACTCACACTGAAGAAAGTGCTGTTTGCCTCGGTGGCCACCGCCTTCGCCAGGTACGATTTACCCGTACCAGGTGGCCCGTACAGTAATATACCTTTCCAAGGTTGTCGCTTGCCCGTGAAGAGATGTGGAAACTTGATGGGTAATATGACCGCCTCCTTCAGCGCCTCTTTCGCTCCCTCCAGACCAGCGACATCTTCCCACTTGATGTTGGGCTTATCCGTCAAGATCGCGCCAGCCAACGCACCTCTTAGCTTCTTCGACTCAGGATCCTGATCATCCTCCTCATCTTTCCCCTTGCCCGCTCCATTCGATGCTTTGCCATTGGCGCCCATCGCCGCAGGTTTCCGCTTGTTGTCCTGTTCTGCCAAATGATTCTTGAGTTTCTCTGCCCGTTCCATGTATTCGCCCGCCTTCTGCCTTATCATCTCCTTTGACTTCTGATTCTTCTCCCATTTGAGCGCCAGCATGAATAGCTCCAGTGCCTGGTAGTACTGTTGATATGCCTTGTCATAGTCGCCCACCGTGTCTAGTTCAATTGCCTTCTTGACCTGCTCGATCGCGCGGCCCAGGAAGTCGGTATTCGACATTTTGGTGTTTATCCCGGGGGGACTGGTCGCTGGTTCGATGCTGTCCGGCTCGTGGAAAGAATCGTCCTTATCTTTGCGAAGACACTCGGGAGGACTGGGAGTCCAGCAGACGGTATGCGCGCACGTGGTTGACGCGAAATCGGATGTTGTTCTACGAGGTCTCGACATGGATAGTGGGATGCCGTGACAACAGGCGCGGGGTTGACAAGTCCCACGACTAGATCTGCCAAGAATTGCGCACGTGAAAGCGTGGAAGCTCGACAACTTCCATTCACTTCTTCCATCGATGCTGCAGGAACCTTGTTGATTGCCCCGCGATCACCAGACTTTTGTCTCCCTAATAATAACGTCTGAATCCCCCTGCCCTCAACATGGCTGAGCGAGCACAATTGCAAAATCTGTCCGACGAATACCAGAACCTGCAGACAGGTAATACAAAGCAATGCAGTCCATATGAACTCTTCCTGACAGACATAATAGAATTGAGCACCCTAGTGTCGGCTCGGCAAAAACTCGAGTCCCAACAGCAAGAGAATAGGAGCGTGCAAGCAGTCAGTTCCAATCTATTCGCCGGTCAATTCCATGCTCATCGTCTTTCCAGGAGTTCAAGAACCTCGACGATGATGCCAAGATCTACAAGCTTACCGGGCCTGTGCTGTTGAAGCAAGACTCTTCCGAAGCCAAAAGCACGGTCGATGGAAGGTTGGAGTTCATCGAGAAGGAAATGCATGCCATCCTCCATCGATTTCGTAGCAGGCTATCTTGCTGACATGAAGCAGTAAGAGAATCGAAGGTACAATAAAAGAGATGCAGGAGAAGAGCGAGAGCAAGAAGATGGAAGTAAGTTGAATCTTGTCATTCCATCGCAGAGTATGTCAAGCTGACCCTACTTCGAGATTCTGCAAATCCAGTCGCAGATGCAGCAGCAAGCCGGTGCCGCTTAGCATCAGCTGAGGTAGTCAAGCAGTTCACACGGACAGAACACCTCAGAGCATCAGCTCGTTTAGCTGCTTGATCAGAGAAGGTGTCTCCTTCTTGACATCAACAGCCACGCTATCGGTGCGCTGCTTGGCATCCTCCTCCGCACTCTCCATGAACCTCACCACACCTCCGCCAAGGATTTCGCTCGGCTCCGTCCCCGTCTCACTCTCTTGTCTCTCGTTCTCCTCCGCCAGCTCCACGGCCCGCTTCGGACACCACATTCCAGCCAAGTGCTCGTGAAACTCACATCCAACGTCTCCCACAAACTTTCTTCCTTCGCTCATCTCCGCCAGGCGTCTCAGAACCCCGTCCCTCAGCTCTGTCGGCCCCGTCACCATCGCATATTGCCAATCTTTACCACGCCGCTCGACAGGGACTGTCGCAAAGATGTTCTCAAGGAGACAATGCAGCGAACCTCGTGGACGCGGCAACTTATGCTGTTCGAATACCTGCGTCGGTCGGTCCCATTCCCACTTGACCGGGTTCCACTGCAGGAAGAAGTACGCATTGTCAATCGTCCATGTGCCTGGCAGGACCTCTGTCTGAACGATTTCAGCCCGCAGCTGGATGGCGTCGATGACTGCATCTCGAAAATCGCGATCTTGGATGTAGATGCCAAAGTTCCACAGATCTACGAGCCGATAGTAGCTCAGATCTTCGTCTCCCCAATGCGAGACTCTCCCACCGTCCTGCAGCAGTGTTGGCTTGCGATACTGGACCCAGGCTAGGTAGACCAGAACTGGTGCAAGGGACCAGGCGCGGATGATGAAGCGCGACATGTCCACCGGATGACCCAGTGGCGGGTAGAAGTACGCTTGGGCCTTCTCAGAGCTTGCGCAGAGGAGAGAGCGGGAGATGTTGAAGTAATGCACTTTGGAATCGTTGTTGATCGGCATCGTGCAGATGTGGATGGTGGTGATGTCGGGGTCGTGGTAAGTATGCCCGGCAGTCTCTTCTGGCGCTGCTTGTGATTCCGGTCCTAGTCTTGGATCTTCCTGCTCTTCCTGCTCCTTGATCGCGCCCATGATGGGCTTTTGAGAGGGAAGCTTTGGGTAGTAGGCTGAGCTAAGCCGACGAGTATTCGACCTCGCCGTGTTGTTGCTGCTGATAGTGGGGTTAGCCTGGGGTGAGCTGGCCGTAGCGGATTTGGGCAATGGTGGCAACGGCATCTTTGGGTAGTAGGCTGAGCTGAGGCGGCGAAAAGCTGGCTTGGCGGTGCTGTTGCTGTGGACAGTGGCATTGGCGTGGCGTGGGCTGGCCATGGTGACTTTGGGCAGTGGTGGCGTGGTGGAGGCGTTTGAGTGGCTCTCGCTGGTTGCATCCGAGGCGGCCCTGCTGTTGATGTTGTCAGTAGGGACAGCCAGTCGAAGTCAAAAGTATGTGCTCACCTGAGGATGCCGAAGGGGTTCGTCATTCTGGCGGCGTCTGAGTTACGTGACGTGAACGATGAGGTTCTGGCAAGAAGTTGCTGATGGCTGCATCAGTAGACTACTGCGCTATGCAATAGTCTGTTCGGAGTGTTGTTGGTGTTTCGAGCTTGTCGTTGCTTGGTGTTTTCGCCATCTTGAAGAACAGAGAAAGGTGTGTAGATTCTGAAGTGAGGCTCCGGCTGATCTTCGGGTAACATGTGATTGTGACTGCCGCCTGGAACATCTCAAAAAGCTCACCTCACTTTCGTATGACTTCATTCCAGACTTGAACTGGTCTGCACTGTAGACGTGCGTTCATACCACGCGTCTTCCTCGCGAGTAGCCGAGACCATGTTCTTGCGAAGTGAAGGTCTCGAGATCTGACCCCATGGCAACCAATGAGTGAAGGAGAAACCTGCAATGCAATTACAAGCGCTTGCTACATGCCACTTTCTTCGCCGATAGAGTGCTGCGTGTTTTGGAGCGGTTCCATGCATCCTTGCTACTTCACGCTGCCGACCTGCTGTTCCGGTCATGAATCTTTTCGCAGCGCCTGGCATCTCAAGGAACCCTTCACTTCTTCGGGTCACTCTCCGGAGCTTGGGTCGTATGCGCCGCTCAGGAGCCAGAGCACTCGACAAGCAGAGCGACGTGACTTCTCGAAGATTCAGGTGTTGCTGAAGTGCAAGAGCCGAAATTGGAGATCTCGCGAACATAGCGCGATATTTACGCTAAGCCAAATCCGGTCAACGCAGCAGTAAGCACATGCGTAAGGCACGCAACCTCCTTCACTCTATCAAGATCAAGCCATGTAGCAGCAATTCAGCAGCCCTCTGCGGCAACACTACTATCGTTCTAGTCATCAACAAAAGCCATGAGGCTCACGAGCATCTTTCTCCCAGCACTGAGCTGCTGGACCTCCACAACCGCCGCTGACCAGCAGGTCATCCTCACCCAGCATCAATCACAGGCAAAGCCGCTCAATGTCGCGATTATAGGTACCAAGACCATGTATGCGTAGCATGAGTGAGCTCAGCATACTGACAACTATGCGTTTCAAGGCGCCGGAGCAGCCGGATCCTCGACAGCCTACTACCTCTCCAAATACGGCGCCAGCTCATCCCTTCCCCTCAACATCACCATTTTCGAGCGCAATGGCTTCATAGGAGGCCGTAGCACCACAGTCTCTGCCTACAACGATACTGCACTGCCTGTCGAGCTCGGCGCCAGCATCTTTGTGAGCGTGAACCAGATCTTGGTCGAGGCAGTGAAGGAGTTCAACTTCTCTACGAACGCTTTCCGAGAGGCAAGTAAGAAGAAGATTCCGGGAGATGAAGTAGCAATCTGGAATGGAGATAAGTTTGTGCTGAGCCTGAATGGGTACTGGTGGGATCTGGCGAAATTGTTTTGGAGATACGGCACTGCACCAGTCAAGACGCAGAGTCTCATGAAGAAGACCCTGAGCAAGTTCATGAAGCTATATGAAGAGCCATACTTCCCTTTCAAGAGCTTGACACAGGCTGCGCAGGAGGTCGAATTACTCGCTGTCACAGCCGCGACAGGCGAGCAGTATATGAGGGAGAATGGCATTGGGGGACTGTTCGGGAAGGAAGTTGTGCAGGCCAGTACAAGAGTGAATTACGCTCAGAATCTGGAGTACATTCATGGTCTGGAGGCAATGGTGTGCATGGCTACGGACGGAGCTATGGCAGTCGAAGGGGGCAACTGGCAGATCTTTGATGCCATGGTCAGAAACTCGGGAGCGAACGTGAAACTGGACACCGTTGTAGGAGGCATTTGGCCGCAGAACCAGGGTAGCTACGCTCTCAACTTCAGCCATCCCGATGGCTCCGGATCCGGATTTGAACTCTTTGACGCGGTCGTCTTGGCCGCGCCATATCAGTTCTCGCAGCTGAAGTCGCTTGGTCTAGAAACAAATGACGACTATCCAGACGAGATACCTTACGTGCAGCTCCACGTAACATTGTTTACATCACCACACCTCCTCTCGCCAAACTTCTTCGGTCTACCGTCTGACAAGCCTGCGCCGCAAGTCATTCTCACCACAATACCCGAAGGCGAGCCCGCCAAAAAGGGGCCTAAAGGCGTCGGCAGCCCTGGCTTCTTCAGCATCTCCCTCCTTCGAACAATCATGAACCCCAACACTAGTGCCCAAGAGTACCTCTACAAGATATTCTCGCCTCAAGAACCTACACCGGGGTTTCTCGCCGACTTACTGGGCGTTACTGATTTGCCAGGCCATGATGAGGACAGCATCAATGAGAGGGATGTGACCTGGATCTACCGGAAGGTCTGGGATAGCTATCCGTATGAGTACCCTCGGGTTACATTTGAGGACGTGAAGCTCGGGGAGAATCTGTGGTACACTGCAGGCATGGACAGCTTCATCAGCACCATGGAGACAAACGCACTCATGGGCAAGAACGTTGCGAAGCTCGTTGTTGAAGAATTCGATGAGAGGGAAGTGACGGAGGAGACGGGTAAAATCGAGGAACCTGGTGTCATTAGCTACACCAGGGAATGGTTGCGGTGACCTTGAGGTGCCTAGGAGTGCAGCTAGGTGAAATGAAATATTATTATCACATGCTTGCTTACTGAGTGCCAGAGCTCCGTGATTTGGCTTCACATGCTCGAATTCGCGCCGTAGACGAGCATCTTGACTTAATTGCGGACAAAAAACGGCTTGCACGTACTGCAGCCAGGACAGCCCATCGCTCGAATGACATGGCGCTGCTTCAGGCCGAGACTGCTTTTCTTGGGTAATTAAATCGCCCCACAGCGTGTCTTGCGCCCGGTTTCCTAGCTTCCGGTAGCTTCATCAGCGAACCCTCCATCACAATCATAGCTGGCAGTGCCGACGAGACCGAAGACTTCTTGGCCCACAAGAAATATCTAAAATCTCGACTTGATTCAGCAGGGCTCTCAACGATCAATGGGTTCAAGGCACGACGGGAAAAATCTCCCTACCTCCCTTCGAGATTTACACAGGCACGCCTGCTAGTTCGCTCGCTCGCAAGCTCACGGTTGACATGCACTACTACGGTGGTGTAGACACGGATTCGATGATCGGAGAGAGGAGAACGTCGAGGACTCAAGAGATCGGCACGTACGTGGAGGAGGTCAAGGAGGACACTGCAGGCCGGCAGCCCGCGGGCGAAAGCAAGTGGTAACAATGACAGGAGACGTAGTGTCGAATAAGCTGCTGAGCAGACATGTGGCTTAGGCAGCATGCATGCAGCGTGGTTCGTTCCAGACTCGGGGAACAAAGAAAAATAGCAACACAAAGCAGGCCCAAGGTCAATGACTGTGACAATGCACCGACGATACTATTCTTTGATTCGAGCTCGTCCCTTGTCCCTCGAGCTCTTTGTTGCGTCAATAGCATTGTGCAGTAGCCAGATACTTATGTCGCGGGTGCAATGCAGCGTAGCAAGAACCCTCAATCAACTCACTCGTCAGCGAGACTCAACCTGATCCTTCTCCAACTGACACTTCACGAAGAAACCAGGATCCAAGACTGCCGGCCAGTCCCAAATTCGCCATCCGAACGCAACATGGTTTCTCGCGAAGAGTTCATTGAAACTGAACTGATCCCCGTTTGGTGCTTGAGCATGACAGGTAGGACGAACTGCCCCATCTGTACCGAGCCTTTCACAGACCCAGTCAAACTCCCCTGTGCTCCCAATCACCACATTTACTGTCGTCAATGTATTACTGAATGGCTGGAGCAACGCAGCACCTGCCCTGAATGTAGACATCCTTTGTTCGAAGTGCAAGCAGCCGAAGCCGAGGAGCCATGGATACCAGACGATGAAGTCGAGAACGACGACGATGACGACGACGAAGACGACGACGAAGAGCCTCTATCCTTCGACTTCGACTTCGGCGTGTCGGCGGATGCCATTCGCACCTACCAGGATGAGAGCTACGACCACGAACCCATGTATTATTGGTACGATGTTCGAGGACACGCAGAGAACGGCGAACAGACCACGTGGGTGTGGGACCAGAACCAGATTGACTATGTCCAGCATAACGTCTCTGGCCAAGTCAACGTCGACAAGGAAACACTCAGCCTCGCGCTAGTCACCATGGGAAACTATATCCTTGAGATGGCAGCACGGCGACACCATCGTCCGTACAGTGTGTTGCAGCAAGGCCAGTGGGCTGCTATGCTTGATCAGGTCCGCCAGCAATTCATCGACAGGTTCGATTGGCAGCATTTCGACGTAGCTACCATGCCCACACAATGGCGGGACGAACTTCGCGACTCATCGCAGGACATGTTCATTCCGTTTCTGGGTTTGCACAGAGACAATGTGACCGTCAATCTTGCGGATTGGGCGCCATACCAGCAGGACCTCATGATTTTGTTGGAGTACCTGGCATATGCTGCTTGGGCAGAGGAGCGGAGACGGAGCGAAGAACGGGATTCTCATATGGTGGATAACGATGAGTAAGTGAGTCTTCGCTGCCGTTTCTTGGCAGGATAGTCGCTTTTTTAACAGCTTGGTTTTGGGCGGCGTCTTGATTATGTGATCGCGGCTAGGCTCGTGTGAGTAATGAGCGACCATCTTGGGATATTTCCGTGTATAGAGCGAATAAAGGTTTCGACCAAGAACGTTGCCCCATGATGTTTTTTTCCTTGCTTTGTGACGGCGCTTTGGCTGTGGGTAGGCCGTGTGGATCGCAATCGTCTTTCTTGTTTCTCCTGGGTGCTTTTGCATTCACAGTTCTGGGCACAAGCGCATTGGCGAGGTTTGGTTCATGCCACAGCCTTGTCGTATCGAATGCATCCTCTCCACCTGTACAGAGACGGCATTCTCGCGGCTTCAATCGGCAACGCTGCAGAGTAATCCTTTCAACCATTACCATCATCTCGCCATCCAGCCTTCTCTTTCAGCTTTGCCTTCCTCTCCTCTCTCCACTTCTTATCCCAAGCATCCACCTTCCCACCCAGCACCTGGGCCCCTCTGGCACGAAGCAGAACCACACCCCTTGACACCGTGATGTCTTTCAACACCATCTTCGCCCCAATGGCCAGACCGCCCACGCTCACGCCTTCCACGTTCTCCAACTCGAAGGCGTAGACTTTTGTTCCCTTGGCATCCTGCACCAACAATTTGTGCGGTCCACCTCCAGTAGCTGCAGGCGGATTCGAATCACTGTTGTCCTGATCATCTTCTGCCACTACTCGGATGACCTCATGTCCCTTCCTCGTCTCTCCTCGTTCTTCCATCTCCATCGCTTCGACCTGGCTCCACCGGCTGCGTCCCACGTCCTCGATGTCGAGCACCTGGACGGGCACTGGACCCGGAATGCGTAGGTCTTTGACGTTGGGGTCGGATATTCCAGCTGAGAAGGTGGAGGAAGAGCTAGACTGCAAAGTGGAGGTGATATCGGTGCTGAGAAGGCGGAACTCTGCCGTCCGTTGAAGGGCCGGGAGGGGAGTGTTGGCGCGGATGGTTGGAATGAGGGAGGAGAGCCATTGAGGAGTAGGGTGGAGTGACTTCGTGGCTAAATGGGCGGATATCTGAGCAGAGAGCCCATTGTGAGCAGACATGGCGGCCGGGCTGTAGTCCTCACATGTTTTCGTTAGCGTGGTGTAGATGAATGAACTGGAAGTCGAGGAAGACGCGTTCCTCGGCCCGCTTAAACCTTTCTCCGCCAAGCTTCAAAGTAACCGACTTCAGGTTGTCGATTTCAACATTCACCAAATCAATACACGAGACAAGCTAACGACAGTATTTCGAACATGTCTACCATTGCCTCTCCACGCCCATCGATATCACTCTCCTCCCGCCGAAATTCAGCATCCTCTACCACGATCATTACCTCCAACACGACAAACACCACCAACAGAGGAGCTCCGTCAGGCTCAGGAACCGCAGCAGAGAGAGGCGCACTCCGCCGCAACCGCGCCGCTCTCCGAGACTACTACAACCTCCAGCCCGTCTCCGCCTCCTCACCCGCCACCTCGACCCCCGAACTCACCACCACCCCAACTCTCGACCCAACCCAAGAAAGCGAACTGGACAAGCCGGGCTTCAACACCTCAAGCTACATCTCCAATCTCCTCTCCACGGAAAACCTCGAAAATGTTCTCCGCGTGGAAGCAGGCCTCGTATCAGACATCCGGACCCTAGATGGAGAGAAGAAAGCGCTGGTATATGACAATTACAGTAAATTGATAGCTGCTACGGATACGATTCGACATATGCGGGAGAAGATCGATCCTTTGACGCCTACTACTAGTACGTTGAGCCCGGCTATTGGACATATTGCGGAGACTGCTTCGGCTCTGACGCAAGATTTGAGGAGGGCGAATGGCGGGGCCAAGGATGCGGGGAAAGAGAGGCAGAGGGCGTTGGTGAGGTGGGTGTTGAGTGCGCCGGAAAGGATCGGAGCACTGGACGGTGAGCAGGCGGAGAAAGAGTGGAAGCAGGTGGATGCTGTCTTGGAGAGGTGGGAAGGCGTCAAAGGCGTGGAAGATATCAGACGACGGTGTCTGGAAGCGCTTTAGAGGGAAAGGAGGGTGGAAACCTTCCATGATCATTCGACCAAGATTCTACCATCACACAACGGACCGCATAGCCCTCAGTGCCCAGGCAGAAGTCAAGTTCATTGAGACGCCGACAGCTGCCTACGTTCCGACGACACCGAGGTCGACGGAGTTAGTGGACAGCCGGCCCATTACTCCGGAGGTAAAATCTTCCCCTGCCATCACTTCCGGCTCGGGAACAGGACTCTCACAATAGAAAGCCCTCAGACACCAGTCTTGCCACTGTCCACCACTAAAGCAAGCTCAGAGGGAATATGTGATGTGCCAGCTCACTCTTGCGATGCCTACTGGTACCCTGCCGTGCCTGCTTGCCGTTCATCATCGAGAAGACATCACTATCATATCCGGACATGGGAGATACCTTGTTTGTGAGGAGTCAGATCTTGATGACTTCTGCGAGTTGAGTGTGGAAAACAGAGGGAAACTACAAGATGGAGCAATCAGACTCGACCACATCACACATCGTGAGCAGCACACCGTGGTACTGTGCGACTACATGTGTCCGAAATATGAAGCTTTGCTGGGAGACTGGACAAAGGGTGTCCACTTCTTGTGAACGAAGCCGCCGCAGCTGGCAGAGCTGCTTCAATTCCAGAGACTGAGTGGTGCCTACTCCCATACTACTCGTAAACGCCCTTCCGACCTCTATGATCCTGTCATCAATTGCTAGCTTCATGCAACCTTAAAGTCACCTTATCACCCGGACAACTGGTCAGGGTCAAGTTACTCCTCACAACACCCTCCAAGGACCCCGGCGCAGCCTCAATCTTGTCGAACCTCTGCAACAATCTCACGAGGACATAGCTCGCCTCGGTCAACGCGAACTGCTGTCCAATACAGATCCTCGGACCACCATTAAAAGGTAAGAATTCCCATCCGTGCCTCCTGCCTACGAAACGTTCCGGCTTGAATTCCTCCGCATCCGGACCCCAGAGATCTTTCCGACGGTGCATTACGTGGATGGAAAAGTCGACCTGGGTACCAGCGGGTAGGAATACTGGGGAAAGACCATCGGGACCTCCGCCACGAGGGAGAGAAGTGGGTTTATTCGTCCTGCGCGCATTTCCTGGGACGACGGACCAGAGACGTAGGGTTTCCGAGAGAGTATATTGCAAATAGTGGCAAGATTTGAGTGTCGCGAAGGTGACTTCTTTCGGATCGTCATAGGTTCCGAAAGTGTCGAGGATGGTTGCACGGAGCTTGGCGAAGACGTGAGGGTTGCGGAGGAGTTGATGGAAACACCATGAAAGGAGGGAGGAAGTGGTATCTCGGCCTGCGAGGAGGATATTGAGCAGTTGAGCGTGGAGCTCGACGGGGTCGCTGGTCTGCTGGGCGAGGGCTTCGAGGAAGACGTAGTGTCCCTTCTTTTCATCGTCTGGGGATGTTTTGGACGTGAGACCTTTTTGGAGGGCGAGGTCGACGTAGTGATTGACGAAATCATTAATCACGGTGCGGTTTGCCTTGTATTCTTTGGGATTGTACAACCAGTGCATATCGACGAGACGAAACTTCTTCGCCATGTGCAGTTGTGCACTATCAAAGTTGCCGGAGAAGGCTCGTTCGTCTCGTGGCTGGGAGGTGGTCTGGTCTGCTTCGGCGATCTGGCTCAAGACAGAGTCTCCGAAGAGGAAGTCGGTCGCGGTGTCGATGGTCAGGCGGAAGAAGAGGGTTTGGATCTCGGTGAACTCGGTCCAGCCGTCGCCGCTCCGGACGGGCAGGACATGCATCAGGTTTTTGACATGTCGTTCCTCCATCTCCAGATCCGAGATCTGTTCTCGCACAAAGTTGGGGCGGAGCATGGCGCGGCTGTGCTCCCACTTCTTCCCGTCTTGCGCGAAGATGCCATCTCCAAGCGTCTCGATGAGGATGGCACGTCGTGTGGCGCCTATATCGAAGTCTTGGAATTGGGTGGCGAGCATGGCCTGGATGTTCTTGGGGTCGCACGTGAAGAAGATCGTCTGGCCGAGAACGTTGTAGGAGAAGGTAGAGCACTCCCTGCCGAGGCGCTTGGTCATGTCTTGGGTACTCTTGATCAGATAGTCCGGGAACAGCTGTTTTGCGTCGGCGGCTTGTAGGGCCTTGAGTTCCTTGAGGCCGAAGAAGCCGCTGTCGGATTTCGGGGCTGGTTGGCAGGCTAGTTGACGGGCTCTGGCTGCGGGAGAGTCAGTGAAGGTGCTCGCGAGAGAGGCAATTCCAGTGCAAGGAAAGGAAAGGGAAGGAAAGGCACTCACAAGCATTTTGGAATCTGGTGACGACGATGGCAACAGTCTTGTATCCCACCAAGACGGCTAAGCCGATCAACGGCAGCAGGATGAAGTTGTGCATCGTGACAGATGTCGGTCGTCAGAGTCGGTGGTCAAGAGCTGAGCGAGTCCACGTCAGGCTTGACAGCCCAGAGAGGACATGGACCAGTGTGTTGTTAAATATTTGTACTCGTGCAAAACACCAGTAGAGCGACCTCAGCTCGTTTGTTGTAATGTCAGCACTGGGGAAGGCGGACGATACGAAAGGGGCTGTAGACGCTGTAGATGCATGCGTCGACTGCAAGAAGCCCATCATGATGAGTGGATCCGCTCCGCATGCTGAGTAGATGCGGATGCGCATGCTGAGCCCACGATGTTCACGCTGAGTGGATGCGATTCTACTCGTGCATGACTATGTGCATGAATATGTGCATGAAGTAATGTGGCACCCTCATTACGAAGCTTGTTAGTCAGACGTCATGCGGCAGGAGTACATGTACATGTACCACTACTGTATGCAGGCCTCGCTGGCGCCTAGAATCACGAATATCGCCGGGAGAAGGCAAGGGAATTGGTCAGCGACTCAGCATCTGGAGGACAGTGTGGGTTGCCTTATCCTACGGAGCTACGAGCTTCCGTCTTTCGACTGATGAATTCACAATGCTTCCAGCAGGATGGTGATTTGGATTATATATATATTATCGACAGAGCCTTTGCCCGAGCAGCGGCGTCAACAAACATCTGCACGACCTTCTCCACCGAGCGAGCCGAGATATCCTCCGTCTTGCAGCTTTTCACCCATATTCGAGCTGCCTCTCCAATGCACGCCTCACTGGCACGCCTCTCCAAGTGCAACGAAGCATTCTCCGAGCAATATTCAGTCCTACTGGTTCAGTCAGCATATCTCTGAGGGAATGTCAAAAAGGGGGTTTCCCAACGCACATGCGGGCATTGTCCATCACACGCCCCGGTACAATGGAACCCAATCGCATTCTCCACCTGCTCACAGAGGTATGAAGAGCTCGGGATATTCTGATCCAGAGCCCAGAGCGTATTATTCGACAGTTCGATGTTATAGCAGGGCGCCGCCGCAGAACACTGCAACGTAGCCACGCGATCGCCCTTGAGCGTGCCGTTCGCGTTGCCCCAGTGCATATCGGAGATCTACAATAGTCTCCAGCTCAGCGTCAATCGATACTTGATGAGCAGGACATGGACGACTTACCTGGAACTTCGAAGTATCACAAGCCCCCTGTTTCCCTTCATAATTCGTGCACTGCGCCAACGCCCAAGCTAGATTGACATTCTCCAACTCGAAATTCTTAAATGTGATATTCTTCGCCCAGCCCAGACCCGCGCCGCCCCCATTAGGCGGATACCCCTTCTCCTCGCCCGTCCAGGTCTTCACCCTCGCAGCATAGCCCGTGTTCACGCATTTGATATCCACGGCCGTTACATTCTCAATGACTTCAATCTGTCCCGGATACTGGCCAATACTGCCCATCGCGAGAGCCTGGCCGTTGTAGAACGTACAATTGGCGATGTAAATGTTCGTGCTGTTCTGTTTCATGGAAATCGAATCGTCGCCATTATCCACGATCCATCTCAGGAAAGTGATATTATTAGCGTAGACCGTATCCACACCATCCGTATTGATGTTTGATCCGTAACCATCCTGATTGTCCGAAGTATTGTTGACGTAGATATCCTGTAAGAGAACCTTTTCGGATCTGGCGACAGTCATGGTCCACATTTGGGATTTGATGAAGCGAAGGCCTTCAATGACGGAATTTTTTGTTCCAGTGATGAGGATCGCGTGAGGTCTTCCGTGGCGATTGGAAACGCCTTGGTTGAAATTATACCATGCCTGTCCATTCCCATCCAGAGTGCCATATCCATTTCCGTAGAAATGCAGATTCTCGCCTCCGAGGTGCCAAGCAGCAGTCTGATTCTGGAATCCAATGGGCATGGAGTTCTTGAGCCAGTAGTCGAAGTTCGTATCCCACAGCATTGTTCCCCTCAATTCGAGATCCACATCTCTGAGACCTGTCGTGTTCATGATAGTAGAGATATAGTAAGTCGTATTGGACAAAACAATATGGCCATCTTCTCTGCATTCCTTGAAAGCCGCCAGGATCGCAGGAGCATCATCGCCCTTGGGATCTCCACCCGCGGGAACGACACATTTCTTGGAACGTCTGGGAAACTCGATTCGCATGTAGGGTGGTCCTTCTTGGATTTCCGAGGGTCGCCAGCAATCGTTTCGGCCCAGGTACTCACAGACATAAGGGTCGTAGCGATCTGGTGCCCACGCCTCGCCACCATATGCAGCTACTGGTGAGGAAGCAGAGACTGCATACTGTCGGGTTGCAATGCTCGATACATGTGTCCAGGGCTTGTGATTCTATACTCCTCGTCAGACTTGGGACATGTGTGGGGGCGTTGTATCTGGGTCATTACATCTTCGTGAAGCGGCACCTGCTGTACCTGAGACCAAGCCAACATCTTGGTGAGAAGACGAGACATGACGTGAAATTTGAATCAGAGCATTAGGGGAGTCTTCGTCTGTATATCATAAAATTCCAAAGGACAAACGAGAGGCAAGGGGGGATGTAAGATCCTTCCCCACATCAAACACAACCTGAGGTATCCCCGCATCATGAAACGTAGAATAGAAATACGGAAAGCACGGTGGCACGCCAAGCGCCAAGTGTACAAAGCAAGGACGATCCACGAAATCGTGAAAACGAGAGCAGGGAATTATCAAGTATGTCGCGGGAAACATGCTTCATCATTCACTTACAACGCACTAAAGACAACTAGTGGCGGGTCATCATCGGCGCGTGTTGTCCCATACATTCCTCACCGTAACACCGCTCTTCCACCACGAACCCCCCGTACTATCTCTAAATCCGCAAGACTCACCGTCTTGCTCTCGCCGTTTCTTACCCAGGGTACATTCTCGCTCCAATAACCCAGCCCATCATTTGAATCGTATCCCAACCGAGTTCAGGCAGCCACTGCATTAGTCGCAGTGACAGTGAACTGGTTACCATTTCCCGTGCCTTGGATCCGGAAGACTCGCGTCTCTCGGATTGGTAGGGTGGAAAACAGAGCTATGTTGGAAAGATTCGCTATCGATTGAGAGGAAGAGCAAGGAATTCGTCACGTTGACGTCGCTGTTGGACAGCGTGGTGCGAAGACTAGGGTAATGTAGCACTTGAGTCGAGGTGATCGGGCCGTCATTGAACTTCGTTGTTGATGGAGAAGCTGTGCTATTCGTCCCGTTGTTGCCGCGACCTGTTCCGTTGCGGTAGCCTCCGATGGTTGCAGTGCCATCTACTGGAAGGACGTTGCCAGAGTGATTCAGCCATTGATATCTCAAAGTTCCTGAAACAGAGCTTATTGGGTCCGAGCTGACCCTGATCTGGAGATCGGTGGTATTTTGATCATGATATGGGACGAAGATCACAGTAGAGTAGATGTCTTTGGCAGTGTAGTGAAGGACTTCTGGTGATTGTTCTGTTCGATGCTGACCCAAGAAGGAGTATTCCTGTGGCGCGTCAATCGAATTTTCCTGAAGAAGGGCACTTGAGGAGGCTTACCCCAGGTCGTTCCACTGCTAGTAGAGTGCACCAAAATGCCTCTCGGGCATACCAGAGCCTCATCTATAGAATGTAATCTCGGGCGCCATGGCATCCGCATGCACAACTTGCGTAGAGTAGCACCAAGCACTGGTCCAGCTCTGTCAGCATAAAGAGCACCAAACAATTTGTTTCTATGACGCACCTAAAGAGTACCAGTTCGAGCCAGGCGCGATGCCTTTGGCAAGTTGCTCGTCTATAATGAGCGTGAGGTTGAGGGCTATGGTCCGGAATCCGACCCGGCGCTCTGCACTGGCGAGTGTTGATGGGCCTCCGGTAGATCACATCCGAAGTTGTGTTCAGAACGATTGCCAACACCGACAATGTCGACTCTCGCATTATACAGAGGCTACGAGCCCATCCTATTGGGCCACCACAGCTGTACAGAGCGTGGGTCGATAGTCGTGCCTCCCGTAATCGCATTCTTGGAACTATACATTCCATCGAGGGGTTAGCTCAGAATCTCTCTTCTGCCGGCTTCCTTCAGAGCAAGATGCATCCGAGCAACACGCGGTAAATCCCCGACGGTAAATCCCCGACGAAGTCAGCTCTAGCATTCAAGATCCATGGCTGAGACTGATCTGGAGGCAGTTTGTTAATTTGACCCTTCCTAAAGATGTCGATGGCAGCGTTGCTGATGTATAGATCGTTCTGCGCGGTCTGAACGGCAGATATGGTCTCCATGGTCCAGCGGGCACAAGAGAGGGAGACCAGTGCCGACCGAAGCCGTTCTGCTACTTTCGAGCTCCGGCCTTGCAGCCAACCGGATCATCACTGCATGGCACCAGAAGTGCGGAGGATGCTGCCCGTCAGCAGTTCATTAAAGCGTTCCTGGCACGTCGACTCACAGCCTACTCCCTCCGACGAAACTTACTGCGTGCTTGTGGTGGCCGGACCAAAGTTGATCGAAAGCTCCGGCGAGCCCCGACGAGATCTCAAGATGTCAGAAATTTCGAAGATGTATTGTCAGAATTAATTCTCAGTGGTAGCCACCTGCTGGCCGACATCACTGCTGTCGTGAAAAGATCTGGAGCTTCGAAAACAAGGTAGATTAGAGCCCCGAATCGGCGTGGTTCAGTATCAAGACTTGGGATGGTACGCGAGTAAGTCCAATTCTGGTCTTTACCCAGGACAGCATCGAATTGTTCTCGCCAGACAGCATCTAGTTGTGCTCGCCAAAGAGAGGCTCTGGGATGATGTTGGCATTGTATAGGTCGAGATATTGCTGGGGCGGAGAAGACGAGGAGGTCCAACTTGGATGGCGGAGCGGAGAAGAAGGAGGGAGCGGAGGTGAAGTTGCATTCAATGCCAAGCCGGAATCTGGAGCCGTCGGGTTCTTCTGCCGACAAGCTAAGCTTCTGGCCGGGAGATGCGGTCCCGGAAGTTTATCGTCGTACCTGACGGGATGCTCTGCACTCATCAACGCCCAGCGTGAATGAAGCATCTGCTGCGGGCAACCTTCATGATGTTCCTTGGTGTGCAGGAAACGATACACTCGGCGTGCTGGACACGGGGCATTCCTCAGAGGACCTGCCGCTCGGGGTGTATCCAAAGTTCGATGATGGATGGAGCTGAATAGTAGGTATAGTGTTACCATATCCGACAACCAAGTGTGAAGCTGTGCAAGCGACGCGTATACGAGACATCAGACGAAGACGCGGTGTCACATGATACGAGTCAGTAGAGTTCTGTAGCCGGCTACTTTCATGACCGGGCATAACCTCTGCATAAATGCAGTCAGTACGCGTACCTTATGCACCAAGCTACGGTAGACGATTTGAATGCATAAACCAAGTATTTTTCCAATGTTTCCCACCCAATAGGCTCGCCATTCCCATCTCGCGTGCCGTCCCCGCCCGTTCGCCACGGGAATAATGGAGACACTTTATACACTCGAGTCTACATTATTATTGTACCTCATGGCACAGCGTTCAAGCCGAGGGAGGTGGGGAATGCGCCGTCTTTTTAACACGCACCCGCAGTCCGATCACCGTGGCAGCAGCCTCCTGCCCATTCCACCGCACCGCACCGCACCGCACCTGTTCAGCGTACCCGTTGACCGGCAGCAACATGGCCCTCCCCAACGCCCTTCAGCACGTCTCCAGCATGGCACTGGGTGAGTGGACCACCACCACAACAACAACAACAACAACAACAACAACCACTGACCGCTTCTCCCAGCAAGCGCCGCGGCCGTCGGCGGGCTGGCGGCCGTCTATCTCGACGGCAAGTATCAACTTCGCCAAGAGTTGGACGTGATCCGCCGACTGAAACGCGCGGAACGGGCATATGCCAAAGCAGGTGTGACGTGTGACACGGCGACGCCCACCTCATGGGCTTCATGCTGCACGGAAATACTGACTCCCGCAACCAGCCCAACAAGACCGACTCTCCCCGTGGTACCTCGTCGCCGACACGTGCAGGCGCCAGCCACATGCCCGCGCCATCTGGACACGCGAACGACAATACACCTTCCGCGAATTCCACGATCAGACGGTCCGCTATGCCCAGTGGATGCTCGCGCAGGGCATCAAGCCGGGTGACCTCGTCGCCCTCTACCTCCACAACAGCGCCGACTTCCTCATGCTCTTCTTCGCCACCCACTGCATCGGCGCCGCCCCGGCCCTGATCAACTACAACTTGGAGGGAAATGCTCTCATGCATTGTCTCGATGTAGCCGATAGCAAGTTGCTCATCATCGATCCGGACTCGGGTTGTCAACAACGAATCGACGGAAGTCGACAGGAAATCGAATCGGCCGGCGCAACCATCTTCACCCTCGACGCCGCCCTGAAGCAATCCATCACCTCCCTCGCCCCCACCGTCCCACAAGACTCCTACCGCGCAGGCATGAAGGGCGACTCGTCCTACGCCCTCATCTACACCAGTGGCACGACCGGTCTGCCCAAAGGATGCCCATTCCAAGTGAATCGCATCTGGCTAGCCGGACCCCAACTCGAACCACTCTACGGAACGGTACAGGGCAAGGACTGCTGGTACGACCCCATGCCCTTCTACCACGGCACAGGCCTCGGAATCTCCACCGTCGCCCTGATCAGCGGAGTCGCAGTCGCCATCGCACCACGCTTCTCCGTGAGCAACTTCTGGCCCGACATCCACGACAGCAAGGCCACCTGTTTCGTCTACGTCGGCGAGACGGTCCGCTATCTCCTCGCTGCGCCTCCCCACCCTCTGGAGAGGAAACACAATCTCCGAATCGCGTATGGCAATGGATTGCGGCCCGATGTCTGGTCGAGACTGCAGGAACGATTCAACATACCCGAGGTTGTGGAATTCTTCAATTCCTCCGAGGGAGTCTTCACTCTGGGCGTCCAGGCTCGCGGGCCCTATCTCAGTCACTGCGTCGGTCATCACGGGTTGATTTTCCGCACTCTGCTTCGGAACACCTACATTCCCGTGAGGACTGATGCGGAGACGGGCGATATTTGGCGGGATCCAAAGACGGGCTTTGCCATGCGGTTGCCGTATGAAGAAGGAGGAGAGATTCTCGTCGGGATTCCGAATAAGGAGGCTTTCGGTGGGTATTGGAGGAATCCCGAGGCGACCGAGAAGAAGTTCGCAACGGATGTGTTCAAGAAGGGAGACCTCTATTACCGGAGTGGCGATGCGTTGCGGCGATCAAACGATGGTCATTGGTAAGTTCTCCCCTGCCTCCCCTCCACCTCCTCTCCCCGATCCAGTCCAGTCCAGTCCAACTCACATCATTCTTCATCTTCAGGTACTTCCTCGACCGTCTCGGCGACACCTTCCGCTGGAAATCGGAAAACGTCTCGACGGCCGAAGTCGCGCAGGTCCTGGGCCACTTCCCGGGCATCACCGAAGCAAACGTCTACGGCGTCTCGCTGCCCAACCACGAAGGCCGAGCCGGCTGCGCCGCCCTCAACCTCTCCCACCCGATCAACTACACCGACCTGCTGGCCCACTGCCGCAAAGAACTGCCCAAATACGCCGTCCCCGTCTTTTTGCGGATCGTGGAGAGGAGCAGTCACACGCATAATTCCAAGCAGAACAAAGTCGGCTTGCGCAAGGAAGGGGTGGATTTTGATCTGCTGGGCAAGTTTGAGAAGGGCGGCGAGGCGGACGTCTTGTTGTGGTTGAAGGATGGGCGGTATGCGGAATACGAAAGGGGGGATTGGGAGAGTATTAAGGGCGGGAGAGCGAGGTTATGATGAGGTCTTTTTTTTTTACAAATTTTTCGACAGCCGAGATGGATATATCTAGATGGTATATATGTAGAAATGATACAGATATAGATTGGTTTTTTTTTTGAGTTCCGAGACACTTGGCCAGTCTGTGTGTGTCTCGTCGGAGTTCTTTCCATTTCCCCGCGAGACAGTCGAGGTATGATACGTGCGATGTCAGCCGCCATCATAATCACAACCGGCAATTTGTTGTCTAGGTAAGGTCCTGGACCCTTCTTGCTTGCTTGCTTGCTTGCCATGTGGTTTTGAACCAACCAACCAACCAACCAACCAACCAATCAACCAATCAACCAATCAACCAATCAATCCATCGATCCATCGATCGAGATCTCGCTAATCAAGAGCTTAATAATAATAATAAGAATATGAAAAACGATCCGTTCCAGTATGTATGTATGTATGTATGTATGTATGTATGTATGTATGTGTTCGAACCTAACCTTACTTACTACTACGGATTCCGTCCGTCGTACGCTAGGTAGGTAGCGCAAGCAAGCGAGCAAGCAAGCAAGCAAGCAAGCAACATGGTATGGCGCTTTTGATAACGTAAGGGAAAAAGCTAAAAAAGAAAGGCAAGGGCCGGGGGGAAGGGGAGGGGGAGGGAAAGGGGGAAAAGTCCGATGGGATAGGTTTATAGTAGCGAGCCGAGCGTTTTCAAAGAGAATCGGATCACTAGAGAGGGGAAGGGGAGAGAGAGAAAGAGAGAGAGAGAGAGAGAGAGAGAGAGAGAGAGAGAGAGAGAGAGGGAGAAGAGAAAGCAGCCCGCTTTTTACATTCCATCAGATAGACAGACAGATGATGCAGAAAGACGATGCAGATAGACGACGCATCTAGACGATGCAGATGGACGATGCAGATAGATCCATGGCGCGATTCGATGCATGCAGAGTGCCATTCAACATAATAGTCTCACAATACATGATGATGATGATGATGATGATGATGATGATTCAACCCTCCTTGTTCACTTCACCACCACCTCATCATGGAAAAGCCTCAGAACCTTCGTCCCAATCTCCGTCTCCAGTTCCGTCCCATCCCTCGCGACTTTGACTTCCTTGTTCCCATTCCATGAATTTCTCAACCCCTTGGCACGCTGAAAGGGGACCTTTCTGGTGGAGAGCCAGACGATACGAAAGGGACGGGTTCGGGCTTCTTTCCCGCTCACGCCCACATCGCTCGTGACGGTGGTGGTGGTGGTGGTGGAAGAGACGATGGTGTTCGTCTCCGCGGCCTCCCAGAATAATGTCCCTCGCGTCGGATCATCGATGATATAACCCCTCGGAGCTGTCTCCGTGGCGGGTGACATGGTGGACCGGAGATGCTCGCTTGTGGATTGATCGGCAGAAGGAGGGGAGGTCTCGCACTCGCTCGGGAGGCTGTCGAGGGGCGAGGAGCACATTCGGGCGTAGCCAAAGTATTGCCCGGATTTGTTGACCGAGAACATCAGGTAGACATTGCTGGCGCTTTCGAAGGCCTCGGCGAGTGGTCGTTCGTTGTGGGTCTGCGTTTCCCAGACGCCCGTCCGGAGGCTTTCGTGTATGTCTTCCTTTGTCATACTTTTGAGGATGAAGAAGCGGTCGTCGGCCGTCGCTCTGGTCTGCCGACAAGGCGAGGAGAGATTCGTGGTCTCTGTCGAGAGGGCTTCACCTTTCGCATCGTCCAAATCCACAGCGGCTAGAGCGTGGGTCGTGGCGTCGAGGCTGTCGCTTGGCGTGAGAATGTCTGACGATGTCGAGTCCGTCGCTGCGGGTGTTGGGGGACCCTGTTCCAACGTTGGTGATAGGACTCCAGGTTCTTGTCGCAAGCGGCAGAGCAAGCGTACCGGCCCAAACAGTGACTGGTTGAAGAGCTCGACAGCCGCAACACAAGCCTTGCGGGTCCTGTAGTTCACGAATGCGCAATTGGACCGGGACATGAGGAAGACGCTCTCGATTTCCGATGTGAAGCTTCGCGATAAGTGGTCTTTCAGGGCTTCTATCGAGACGGACGACGGGATGTTGCCCACCCAGATCGCATGCCCAGACCGCTTGGGCTTGCGCGGAGGGCCTCTCCGCCTGGTGATTGAGCGACACGGCTGTCCCGATTTCCATGAAGCGGCGGAAGTAGTCCAAGGAGAGCTGCAGTCTTTCGACGGTGGTAGGTTGTTCGTTTGTCCCTGGAGCTGCATTCGCATGGGCCTCGACTCATACGGCGACACCAGCTGATATAGAATCAGCGGTGCGGGTGGAGCGACGGCGGAAGATTGCTGGACTGATGGCAGTAACTGATAGGTTGGCATTGGCGGCGCGGTTGCCCAGCGAGGCTGTTGCATCATATCTGCGCTGTGCAGCATGGGGAGGGCAGGGTTGGGAAAGGTCTGGGTAAGTCGGGTTGGATGGTGTTGGTAAGGATTCATCCACGTAGCGCTGTTCTGCGACTGCTGCTGATAGCCATGGCCGGGGGTGGTTCCTTGCGAGAACCACCAGTGTGGTTCGTGTGGCGCATACGACCGGAGAGATGGCTGATGGAAGGTCGGATGTGAGGGCCATGGGTGGTCGTAGCATGGCCCATCGCCTTGCCAGTTGCCGTCCACCAGATAGCTCGCTCCCTCATACATGCTTGCTGGTCGGGCTTGGAATAATCATGTGCCAGCGCCGAGTGCAAGACGACGGGCTCGGGTGGACCGAATGTGAGGGCGGATGGATGGATGGATATGGGGCTCGAAGTGAAGCACCAGCACCGCGAGACGGAGATACGTCCGCGGTATGTATCGGAGTAGTCGCCGCCGCAAGAAGCCCCAAGAGCATACCTAGCTTAAGGTTCCCCATGAGCGCAGCCACTGTCCGCTCAACGCGGGAGCGAATAGGTATGGTATAAGGTACGGCATGTCGCGAGGCCGTCATGGACCGTGGTGCTGGAGAACGAGCCGTGCTGCACCGGCTGATCCGGCGACTTCCAGGACTGCCCGTGCCCGTGCCCGTGGAATATTATTGCGGAGCGGAGGGTGAAGTCGCGGGCGAGCATCTGTCCTCATAGCCTGGGCCGTTCGATTGGGAGAGGGCGAGAGATGCTGCGCTAGTTGTAGCTCGATCGCCAAAGTGCATATTATGATCGATCATGGTCGGTCGATGGACGGCAGGGGGAGGGCCAGGATGTAGCATGTTGCGTCGACCCAATCGCTCGCGGGGTGAGTGCGGCGACTTGCAAGGATGGATGGCGAGGAGCCGCCTTCCTGTTGCTCGTGAGAGGCTCTTCAGAGGCTCGTGAGAGAGGCGCGGAGAGCCGGAATGGAAAGCGGAAAGGAGGATGTGGCTGTGCTGACCTGATGCCGCTGGGCCCCCCGACGCTAGGCGTCTAACTAGCGCGGCGTGCAGCTTCTCTGGACCAGGGACCCCAGAGCAACCCAACTGCCTAGCGCTCACAGGTCGGGCCCCGCCTCCGAACGGATCTGGTTCCGATATCCGATGCGGAGACAAGACCTCGGTCATCATAATAAGTGTTGATAACGTACGTGGATATGGATACATGATCACGTGCTGTAACGGACGGCAACCCTTCGAGTCTATCTCGCCATTGGTGCTTCGGAGAAGGGTCCGGTGGTTGAAAAAGCATCATCAGCTGATCAGCTAGACGGGTGCATGAAGTATTACTTTTACTTCCAATGTTGATTCCGTCTGGACAGGGAGACGCACCGTGTGGTCGGCAGCTTCCCACTCGCTCTGCTTGCTCCTTTCCTTTCCTTTCCTTCCCTTTCCTTCCCTTTCCCTTCGCTTCGTTTCGTTGACAGATGCGAATGCGACATCGCCATGGTGTATGATATCGCCATTGCGGTGTTGGCCATGCCTGTCATGTAGCCGAAGCGGCGGGTTCGGAGCTTGCCGAAGGATAGACGGAGCCCGTCCCGCATCAGCATCTATCTGTATCAGCATCGGTATATGGATTCCCGGATACATTGCTCCATCATCATACCTCACGTGCCCGGAGCATCACCACCTGGTCCGCTTACGCTTCATGGAGATCGGAGAGCTGGTCTCCTCGACTCTCCCACTGCCAGCGCCAGCGCCAGCGCCAGTGCCAGTGCCAGTGCCGGGCCAGCATGTCCAGCAACCCATTCCGCCGTTCCGTAGCATCCAAGCTGCCACACGTTGAACTCGCCTCCTCACCATCCAGCGCTGCTACCCATGTGCCCGGCGATGCTCCAAGTAAGCCATCAAGTGTGCTTGACAAGCCCGTGAGGACGTAGGTGGCACTGACAATCCCCTCCAGCAACGCCCGCGCAACCGCCAACAAAGAAGAAGCGAGTCAAGATCCAGACCCCTCCGCATTCGCCAGACGACGCATTTACCCTCGACAACCACGCTGGACCAAGACTGTCCCCATCGCATTACGCCGCACGCGTTGAACCTCCTCCGTCACCCCCTCCCGCCGTCCGACTGAATGGAGAGGAAGAGTCGGATTCCACGGCAACCGCCGACTCGGACCGGGAAGAGGCGCTGAAGAACATGCGAACAACGTCTGCTTCGCTGCCGCCTGCACGAGGTGCCGCATCTGCGAGCGCCGTCAGGGCACCATACAACCCGTTTGCACCAACGTTGGCATCCGAGCAGAAGAGGGCGCCGAAGCAAGAGAGTGGGGACGAGATGGGAAGGGAGCAGAGGGCTGGTACTGGACGGCCGCCGATGGATGTCGACCAGTTCAAAAACATCCTCCTGACCGGAAGTGCCCTCCCTTCACTACCCACAGCAGGCGCAACAACCACAGGAGCGACAACCGCAGGAGCAGCGATCTCGCAGCCGCGACCTCCCGATAGCAGTAGCACCAGCACCGATACCTCGTCCATCTTCGACCCAGCCTACGCCATGCCCTCCGAGTCGCCGCGGACATCATTTGACGACTATGAAGATGCATCGGAAAGCGAAGCGAACGACGAGAATGAGCATTCGAATCTCATGGGAGAGGGCCGACTGGACGACCTGGCTCCTCCAGCCCCTCCAAAACCACAGAAACCAGCCCGAGGACCACAGACCGTGTCCTTTGCCGACTTCGATCAGACCATCCCGCCCGACTTTCAGTCAACACAACGCGCGAGATCTCCCGTGAATCCTCAGCTTGCCGGAATCTTGAGACCTCCTATGCTAAGGTCCTCAAGCGATCTGAACAAGCCACTGCCACCGCCTCCACCAAAGAGTCCCGCGGACCCCGCCCCCGAGGTACCGCACAAGGACATCTCACCTCCTCAGCAATCTTTGACAGTGCCGCAGCCGGCCACAGAAGACCCGGCGGGTTCGAAAAAGGCACCACCCCCTCCACCTGTGCGCCGAACGGCGGGTGATACCGGTAGGCCTCGTAGCGCCTCCAATCTTTCGAACGCCACTCTCGATTCCGTCAACTCCGCAGGAAGGACTGGCTCTGGCGTCCAAGCGCAAATGCCTCAAAAGACCGAAGACGGCAGCACCAAGCTTGCTCCCCCGCCGCCTCCTGCGCGGAAGACCAACTCCTCCGCCCAGTCATCTACACCTGCGATCGGAACACCTTCCAAGGAATCCCCACCTAGCAATTCCACCAACGAAGTGTCCAAGGCTGCACCATTACCACCGCCTCGTCGACACCCTTCCAAGTCTGTAAGAGAAATTCCAGGTCGCTCCTCTTCCGATTTGGGACGACAGAATTTGAAGCCTGGTGATGCCTTCCTATCGGCGTTAACATCAGCCCACGCCAATTCACCTCCCGCGCCTCCTCCGCGACGCGTCGGGGGTTCGAAACGAACCAGCATGGATGGACCTCCCGACACGTTGGCTCGTAGGCTGAGCACTGAGCACCACCGAAGGAGTAGCAACAACAGTTTGGATAGCGATAGGTCTGCTTCCACCTCGAGTTTGCAGCAGGTCGCGGAAACAGAGCTGAGCTCTGAGCAGGCAGTCGTCTCGTCGCCGCCTGTCGAGCCGCGGAGAGACATTCTGGCCGACATGACAGCCTTCCAAGCTGAGATTGATGCACTCAGAGCGAAAGAGTTCAAAGGGCGATAGCTTTGGATACTCGTTGATGGGATCATAGCTACCTGGTTGCGGCTTGTAGAGTCGGTACCAGCATCATGTGCAGTAAAGGATGTTCCTTGGCCGCCTGGTCAACCGTATCTTGTGCGCTTCGAAGGATCGCAAAGAATGCAAATGCCGCATGAACGGCTTTTTGCCTCCTCGGGGCAAAGGGTTGTGGAGGAAGGTCGGAAAGCAATACGAATGAACTAGGCTAGGCTCACATCTACCGACATGACTGGCGATTCGGGTGCTGGGCCAGACCAGCAGGGGGGCTACCTGCACTGGCCACGCATATCGACGTTCACACCCACTGCTGCAACTTCGCGATGTCGCGTACACCGTCATCATCATCATCGAAGGTATCGAAGAGGTGCTTCCAGCAACATGCATGACGCAGTCACGCTCTCCAAGGCTCTAGGAGCTTTCCATCACTTCGGCCGCCGAAGCACGAGCCGAAGATGACAGGTACCATCGGTTCTTGTGCCCTGGCCAAGACAAGTCCCTCTCGTCGAGTCAGGCAAGCCCACGAGACAGCACACTGGAACATGACGGCGCTCGCCGCAATGTGACAGTCTGCGACGCCTGAGGGGTCTACATGACCACGGCATCGGTGTCGACAGCGTTCCGGCCATCTCGTAGTTGCGGGCCGTCATCGAGCAGTACTCGGCACGTGTTTCAGTCCCGGATCTGGTGTTTCGCCTGGCGGTCGATCTGTCAAGGCTTCCCCGGTCCTCCCCTCCACCCTCTTACCGGGGAGCCAGGAACTGCACATGACCTTTCATCTACCGAGAAGATCACGCAACGGCGGACGCAGAATCTCGCAATGTGACGGCAACGACAGTCTTCTGGTGTATCTGTACACGGAGTGGAAAACAGGTTCTGTCGTTGAACACATCCTGTCATCTTGGAGAACGACTACTCTACAGGAGGTATATATATCCCGCAGTGAAACCAGCATTGCTCGAGGGAGAATGCAGCAAAAGTGGATGGCGCACGCGCCGATTGTATGCAGCGAGAAGAACACCTGAACCTTCATACCCTGTGTGTAAGTGAAAAGAGAACTTTCTCCAAAGATCATGCCTGCTGTGCCTTTGCATGCGACTCTCTGCATTTCATTCAAACGCCTGCCATTTGCCGTCGCCAAGTCGTCGCCTCCTCATGTCGGCATCGGGACTGGACGCCCTGCCTTGTTGTTGTTGCCGCCGCCGCCGCCGACGGGCGGGATCAAGAACCGTAGCCTTGGTGCATTACCGCCGCCGCCGCCGCCTCAATTGGTGTACTCCAGTGGTGTTTGGCCATTGATCTGCGGCGCGCCCTGCGGCGGCTTCACGTTGACTGCGTATTCGCCATCGACGTTGCCTGGGTAGGGTAAGCAACCACGTCAGCACCCGCGAGAAAGAACAACATCAAAGGCCACAACGGCCGGCAAATTGGGAAAACTCGAAAGAAAGGCTAAATAACTCAATAACTCACCGGCTTCTTTGTATTGACACACGGTAAAGTATGGTTCCACGTCCCCAAACACATTCGCCAACCCGCCGGGGCAGTACGACGTCGCGCAGCCGATGCGCGTCGTCGCACACCAGCAGATCTGCGTCAGGTGGCCCCATTGCTCGAAGAGGGTCATGTCCGGGTTCGCGCGGCCGTAGTTGGGCGCGAAGGCGGCTTGTTCGTTGTTGTACCATAGGTTCGTGATGATGTCGCCGATGCGGGAGGCGTCATAGCCGGCGGCGATGTTCTGGCCGGCTTGGGTGTCCAGTTGCCTATTGACGAGACCGGCGCGAGTCAATATCAATCAGTACGAGGGCTGGGGGGGGGGGGGGGGGGGGGGGGGGTGGGGGGGGGGGGGGG